ACAAAAAATGAGTATAGGAAATAGATTTAACACTAAACAGTAAACGTGATTAATTCATATGAGAAAAAATAAAATCAAAAATATAGGGTTAATAGTTTGATTAGTATATTAATTAATTTTTATAAGGTAGTATGAGATTTCATCATTAGAGAAACAGATGTACTTATACGTTTTTCTTTTTCTGTAAAATCTTGATGACCCATCACTAGTTCACTGAAATTAAATAAGCAAATATTAATATTTTCAACTATCAACTGGCTAAAGCAAAGGCTTTATATATAATAATAAAAATAGTAGTAATAAGTTTTCTTATATGTTTAGTAAAATAAATGAAAAATACAAATTTCCATAACATGCAGATGTTTACCATAATACGTTTAGACAATAATTAAGTCAGTTAATAGACGCCGAAACGTCTATTTAACCTTCAAGTAACCATAGTTAGTGGACATGTATTAAAAAAAAAAAGAAAAAGTATATAGATTTGAATGAAAACATAAAAAAAAGTAATAAAGAATATAAGTATATATGTATATGAATAATTGTTTACCGATACCTTCAATAATCGAGAAGGAAGAAAAGATAAAGAGAGAATGTTTGCTTTTTTTTGAAAGATAACATAGTACAAATCCCTTCAATATCAAGATATACATCTTTTAAAATTGAGAAACTTTTACAATACCAAGAACGACAATAAACCTTTTTGCCGATTTCTAGAAATCCGACAACCAGTTCGCTAGAAAATTACAAATCATTTTCGAATATGTTAGAATGAATCAGAGGTAAAAGAGTAATCATAACAATAATACTAATGATAATAATTATATTAATGATAATACAGCAAGCAATACTTGTTTTTTTTTCTTTTTCTATTTATTTTTACAGTATAAGTCTATAAGCAAAAACCCAGCAAAACTAAACATAAAAATGAAGGTGAAGGCTTATATTTTCTCTTTCCTCTCATTTTATTTCTAATTTTTTGTTTTAAACAAAAAGTTTGTAAAAAATTAATTTCTATTTTATATAAAAGTTAATCTGTGTTATATACTGTATATACCTTACTTTGTTTTCAATTATTAATAGCCCTATTATACAATCATACCTGTAATTTATTTCACCGTCACCATCTTTATCTAACTCGTCTAATAGCTGAGTAACTTCGTCATCAGTTAGTTTAATTCCAGTTTCCTGTTTGGAAATACACATAAAGCTTAATATTATTGGATAGAGTAAAAAATAGTAGAATATTCGATTTTTTGGTGTTTAGGTTATCAAACAAATAAGCTAGGATTATTATTTTCTGGGATATTTTTGTTAGCCGAGAGAAGATTTTAGAGAAAAGAGATTTAGATATTTTGTAAAAAAAAAAGAGTAAAAAATACTTTCTATTTTTAGCTCAAAAAGGAAGTAAAAACAAGCTGGTTTTCGTAAAAGATAAAAAATAAAACAATGAAAAATTCTATGAAAAGAAATAAAAAAGAGCTTGGTTTTCTTTTTTCTCATTTTGTAGGAAAAATTTTGAACACATTTCCGATTTGAATTTTTTTTAAATAAATTGGCTAATCAAAATGAATTGTTCAAAGCACGTCTTCATTCAAAAAGCATTCAATAAAAGTTATATATATATATATAAGAATTAATAGAGCCTGATCCAATATAAATATAATGTTAAATTAAGCGCTTTACTTAAAAAATAGCTACTTATTAACATATAATTAATTAAAATTAACATGATGTTTTTAAATATTATATACAAAAGCAAATATAAACAAAAAATAAAAATTGTATAGAAGGAAATAAAAAGGTAAATTAGAGAAGAACTTCAACATTAGAGGTTTTTTTTATATTCAATGGATTTTAATTTGGATAAATTTCTTTGTTTATCATATTATTATTTATGAATTTTCTAGTTTTTTACCTGACAAAGTTTCTGTAAGAAAATATTTAAAAAAAAATTTTGTTCAAACAAAAATTCAAGAAAGATGAAAAAAAAATGTTCTATAAAATAATTAAATAATTTTCTTACTTCTTAGAAATATAAACAACTTTTATATAAATATATATATAAATTCAAAATTAATGAAATAAATCATTTAAATGCAGAATAAGGCTCTGTTATTATTATTATTATTATTATTATTGTCTTCTTAATTGTGATCTGTTGATTTAATAACTTATAATTATTTACCTCTAAACCTTCTGTAAACTCTTCTCTGGTGACGCTCATGCTATGATCTTTATCAAATTTATTAAAGAAATCTACCAATCTTAAATTATTCTTTTCGATGTAGTTGCGTAATTTCACCATAGGATGTACTCTAGCCTGTAATGTTCAAAGGTTTGTGAAAAGTATCCGGAAAATGGACATAAATAATTAGTACCTTTGGCTTTTTAGGTATAGGATCACCTCCGTGTTTCAAAATAATTGATTTATTCAGTTGTTCTTGAACCTTTTTAAATACTTCGTCAAAATCTTTATTGACGAGGATACTCTGTAATTAAAATTGATAAAAATTTAAACGATAATGTAAAGCAACAGGTAGTCGTAGTTTAATAGTCACCTCAAAGTCAAGTATCTCCAAAGCTGTATTAGGATTTTTCAGCATAGACGCACATATTGCGTAACAACCTGCACTTTGCATAGGATTTTGACCCATTTTTAAGATTCTCAGTGTTTCATTGACAGATAAACCTTTACCAATAAGAACAGCTGCTTCAGCAGTTAATCTATTATTAGATACATCAAGCTCTTCTAAAACATTATTAGCTTTTAGAGCATCTCCCAAAGCTAGTGCTCCTTCTGTGCCAAAGCCATTCCACGATAAGTCTAGTTTTTGAAGCAATATATTTGTCTAAACGAGAAAACAGTGTAATTTTAAATAATGAAAATATTCATAAAATCAAATAATATCTAACCTTTAATCCGGTAGCGATTCCTTTAGCCCCTTTTCTTCTTAACGTATTCCAACTCAAGTCCAATTCTTTAATGGAGCTATTCTCCGAAATAGCAGGGCCCAGAATTATACCAGCCTCCTCGCACAAGTGATTATGACTCAAATTCAAGTATTCAATTCTTGTTGTATTCTTTATAAATGAATTTATTAGGTCAAATTTTGACAAAAAAATATAGTAATAGATATGATAATAATAGTAATAATAGTACCGTAATTGCTTCAGCCAAATGGACAGCAGCCCTATCATCAAAATCATTTCCAGACAAATTCAACTTTTTAATAGTTATATTTCCTTGGAGAACGTCAACGAGTTGTTTTGCAAATTGAACGTCCAGATGGTTATCAGCCAGCAACTAGAATAAAATAGTATATTTTATTAATTCTAAATAATAAAGTATCCAAAAAAAGAGGATGAATTACTTACAACATCTGTAATGTATATATTTTCTTTAAGCATATCACATATTGCTTCACCTCCAGTTGGCCCAAGCCAATTATCTGACAAATCCAATACGAGTACCTGCGTATTACTCTGGAAGAAGAGTAGGAAAGAAGAAAGGAGAAATTAATAAAAATAGAAAGTATAATATTTTTGCGTATTTATATTATCTATTCATATATTATATCTTGTAAATTTTAAGCGATTTTCCTCTTTAGTAAGTAGCAACTTAATTGATTAAAGTCGTTAAGCTAAATATTTTAAATCTCTAAGGTAAATAGATACAAACGCCACTTGATAATGAACTAAAAGGTAGGTTTGTTTCTAAAGCAATTAAAGAATACAAACAACTAATGATATTGCCAGTGGTTTAACGGCAATTGGTCCCAATCCGTGATGTTTCATATCCAAGTGAACGTCGTGCATATGTCGTAAAAAATATGAAGCGGGTATTACATTGTTCTTCCTGCTAATTTCTATATATGCGGCTTCGCTCGAGTGATCATACTTTCGATCCAGTTCATCATTTTCCAAGTCAGTATCCCAATTCATGTTCTCCGTTTCTTCATTTCTCTGATCGTCTACAATTATAGACGTCTCTAAATCATGTGGAAACGAGACGGAGCTCAAAGGTCTGGACTTTCTTCCACTTTGTGAACGCCTGACAACAATCCTTTTCGAAGTGGAACGATTCATGCTATTCTCGGTCCTCATCTTACAAACTGTTGAAAATTCCATTTCATATTAAAAATAATTATATTAAATATGTTTATTTACCTTAACAACAAAAAACTAAACAACTTTATTTACATTTAATAAGCAATTACACACAAATTTTCACAAGTTTTTCGAATTAGTATAATCTCGCTTTTGACAATTTCTCTAATATAAAAATATAACAAAGAATAAAGTAAGAGGTCACAAGAGTCAGCTATTTAACTTCGATAAATGATTTATTGTTATAATAATTTCCATAAAGGAATTCCTTTGTTTATTCACTTTTCCCATAATCTTTCCTTCAAGGTTAAAAGTTACATTTATAAAATAAATATTCAAAAAAGATATAGTAAAACCACGACTTATTCTGGATTAGTTGAATACAATAAAAACTATTAATTGTTCAAACAGTTCATTCAAAAGCAATTGTAAAAAGATCTTATTGTTCGGTTGCTATGCATATATTATGACGATAAACCGCGGGAACAGTAGTAATCACATTTAATCCAGACAATAGATAAATCTAAAGTAGTGCCTTACTTGATTATTTTCAATAATCCTAGACCAATCGTCCAAAATTCAACAGGGTCAGCTTGGACGTTGCTTTTACAATTCTTGACCCTGGGTGCTAAGGTAAACTTTGCGCGTTTCCGCTTTGATATTTAACCTTGACCTTTCATTTCAAAACATAATCTTTTACAAGATATTTTACAAACTTTGTAGGAAGCAGATAAAAAGCAAAAATTTACATATATATATATATATATATGTATATATATTTGAATATGCGCATATATGAATATACTTCCATTATTACGTAATGTTTATATATATACAAATATATATATATTCAAATACATCGTAAAAATTTATGAAAAATGCATCAACTTTGAATAAAAACTGGTTACCTGAACCGTAACTTATATACGCAGAAGAGAAAATTGAAAATTTTCGATAATCGACTGAATGATAAGGAAAAGGCTTAATGTTATATTTTATTATCATATTTGTTACTTTGTACATCTTTTGTTGACTTTGTGATCAGCGAACTTACTAGAGAAGTTTTCTTATGTGTTTTCTAATTGTTTATTTAGAGTTCATAGTTAAAATGCTTATCGAAACGATTACAAAACACGCCCAAATACTAAAAGTAATTAATTATTTGTGGCTGCTGTGTTGTTGTAGACGATATCCGCATGTAATTCGAAATGATTCTAACATCAAACTCCTTATTTTATTATTGTACATAAGTTTTCATTATCTAGCAGCGACTTTGACAATTAGTGTATCAATAATCGTGTTAGAATATTCAGTTCTTCCAACGATTACTTTCATAATCCCATTTAGATGCAACACCTTCGACAGGATTCTGCTGTTGTTTAATTGCTTTCTCTAACATGTCCTCCTTCCATTCGTCAGTGATAGATACAGGCAAGGAAGGATATACTGAAATATTCAATGGAAAATAAATGGTTTTCAACTTAAATTAGACAAAGATTGATTGTTTACCATAAGCTTTAAGCCAAACCATAAACCATCCGGCTACAGCACATCCTAATAAAGTTCCTGCAAGAATGCTCTTCCATTCTCCAGTTGGGGCCTTCATTTCGGCATAAGTATGTCTGAAGCTAGCCCTATATAAGGCTTTTTTTTCTTCCATTGAAAGTTTACTCCAATCACCAGCTTCCTTCTGCCTAAGAGCTTGTATTTCTTCAGTATTGGGGGCCCAACGGACTGCTGGAGCAGGAAATTCTGGTCTATCTTGGTAGTTGGGATTTCCATTGAATCCAAAACCAACGATATCTCGGTTGCCTATTTTTGGATAGTAACTGTCCACTTGCTCTTGATTCAAAGCGGGAGCCTTGGCAGATTGAGACTTGACGAGGCTGGTAGAGAGTGCTCGACGGGAGATGGTAATTGCGTGTCTTGATAGTTGGAATGCCATATTCCTATTCTATAAGATACAAAATTATAATTAAAGACCAACTTTTTGTGTTTTGAATTCAAGGAAATAATAACTGAAAAATTTAACAGAAAAAGAACAAGATTTTTAAATTAATTCCTGAATTCTAAATAAGACACGATTTCTCTTTAGCAGACGACACTCCGACCTTAACCAAGGACAAACAATAATAAAGTTGGAAATATTCAGTTGTAACCCTCAATATGATTATAAGAGTGTATCCGAAAGTCTTCAGCTATTCGTTATCCAGAAGATTAATATGATTTTATCAACAGAAATAGTCTTTTTAGCAATGCCCGGTCAAAGAGTATAGTACTAATAACATCTAAATCTAAGTATGATAAGCTTCAACATACACTTTTGTTTAGCATTTTTTTATTTTTTCACTATTTATCATTATCATGGACTTATTAGTTAGCAACTCAGTCTTGAGAAATAAGAGATTAAAAACAAACCTTTTATTTCCAACGCCGTCTGATCCAAAATGGCGGTGTAAAAGTCACGTTCTTTCTCGTAAGACAAAGTAGTAAAACAGTGGTGACATCTATTTAATATAAATGTTTAACATATATTGGGAGTTCCGTTTCCTATGCGAACTGTAACACATTACAGTTCACTTTTGAAGTAAACTTTTCTCATATAATGCCTACTTTTGGAGAGCCCAAATCGGTCCCAAAAATACAGTTTGGTGTATCGCTTGCAATCGGAACATTTTGGTCTACTGTCTCTCTTGTTAACTTCGTCATAAGTCTTATCAAGAAAGGTAAACTTTGGTTCTAGTAAGATAGGGTCATTATTATGGTCACCTTCAAAATTAATATTTATTTAACTTTAGAATTGTTTTTTTATACAAATAAGACAGCGTATAAAAGATATAATTTATTGGTATGACTTTTATGAGGTTTCTATTGCATAACAATTTTTTTAAACCTACTTTGATTGAATTTTTTTTAAACAAAAACTAAATCTTTAGTGTTTTGATGTTAAGACTGTAATAAATAAAAGAGATAGAAATAGTAATATTAACAGTTGATGTCGATGTTGTTATTTTTTTAAAATTGCATTCGAATACATTAACAGGACCGAAAAAGATTTTTACGGTTAATGATCACCGATTAGCTCCCGCTTGCTTATCAGACGATGAATATGGCATACATAGTTTTACCACAACATCAACTGGCGTGAAAATTCATTATGTTGCGGCTGGTAATGCCAATTCTCCATTGATGATATTTCTTCACGGCTTTCCTGAAAATTGGTACTCTTGGCGTCACCAGATATCGTACTTCAAGAGTAAATTTAGAACTGTTGCAATAGACATGAGAGGGTATGGAGAATCTGGAAAACCGGAGGGAGTTCAAAACTATTGGATTCCTTATCTTGTTGAGGACGTTAAAGATGTTATGGAAGCATTGGGGTACAAAAATTGTGTATTGGTAGCACACGATTGGGGTGGTGCAGTTGCTTGGTCTGTAGCAGCTAAATATCCAGAAATAATAAATAAATTAATTATTTGCAATTGTCCTCAAGGTAAAATACTATTTGTTATGAAGTAATAAAGCTTTTTATATAAAGAATTTAATTTTCTTCTCAGGTACAGCATTCCAAAAAATTTTAAAGACAGACCGTAAACAATTCTTGAAATCTTGGTACATGTTTTTTTTTCAAATACCTTATCTGCCCGAATTTTTGATAAAATTATCCGATTATGGTTTTATTCGCAAAGTATTTTGCAGTAAGCAAATGGGACTTCAGCAGAGGTCTTTAACAGAAGAAGAAATGGAAGCTTTCATTTATTCTATCTCACAACCGGGAGCCTTAACTGCTACTATCAATTACTACAGAGCTACATTCCGTTATATTATTCCTAAAGAGTATAGAAGAACCATAAAAGTTCCATCTCTTGTTATATGGGGTACAAAGGATGGTGCACTAAGCACTTCGATGGCTGAACTATCTTGTAAATTTGTCGAGGCTCGTTCTAGTGTAGATTACGTTGATGGAGCTAGCCACTGGGTGCAACAAGATAACCCAGAACAAGTGAACAAATCTATAGATAAATTTATTTCTGAAACAAATGATTCTAAACTATAAACACACTTTAGCCGACTATAGAAAAGATAAAGCAGACATATTTCCTGTTGTCTTGTCTTCATTATTTTTTAAATACATCTTAGAGCTTGGAAGCATTTTAACAAAACTTCCTAATTAGATGCTTCAATTTCTTTTTTACATTCTGTGCATATATTAATAATATCTGAGATTTTGAATAAAATACATAATAGTCAAACGTATTCAAAAAAAGACTTTCCCGCCACAATGTGACATTGACCTCTGCTAAATAAATATTCATGCTCTATTCAGTAAACACTAGAAGCAGTTTACAAAATGGCTGCGCCAATATCGTCTCCTAGGGAAAAATTTGAAGCTGCAGTTAATGTTATTCATAGTTTACCCAAAAATGGTTTGTCACTTAATCAGAAAATAGTTACTAATCCAAATTATTTAATGATAAATTAGATCGTTAATTTCTTATTATATTAATCAATGCTCTAATTGAGTGAACTCTTGATCGCGTAAGACAGCTTTGATGCTTTTCACTGATGATTTCAGTACTAATTAAATATCATTTTCTGATATTTAATACTAGCAAAAGCATCACGAGGATTGTTAATGTAAAAATTATTTTTAGTTTCACAAATGGCAGGATCGTTCCAGCCTTCACATTCCATGATGTTGATGTTCTATGGTTATTATAAGCAGGCAACAGAAGGAAAGTGCACAAAAGCAAAGCCTGCATTTTATGACGTAATAAATAAAGCGAAATGGTTTGTAAATTAATCGATTGAATGAAAAGAATAGAAACATATCTATATACATATATAGTTTTCAATCTCTGTACATTTTAAAACATGCATGTATTTTATAGGGAAGCCTGGCACAAATTAGGAGATATGCCAGAAGAAGAAGCAATGACCAAGTATGTAGAAGAGTTAAAAAAAGTTTGTATAAAATTCTTGATGCAAATACATGCAAAAGCTTTTACAATATAATTATATTAGTAATAACTATGTATATATTAGATAATTGAAGCAATGCCTCACACAAATATGGTGTCAGAATTTGTTGAGAAATTAGGAAACTTTTATGAAATTGTTGATGAAAACGGTTCGACCATTGGAACTAAAGAAGCAAAAAATTTAGCGATAAAGGTAATTGAAAAATATTAGATAAATTTAAAAAAAATGAAATGAAAGTTATCAAATATTATTGATATTGATATTCTTTGGCTAGAATACTCTTTAAAGGTTCTTTTGTACTTTAAAATATAATATACAGGGAAAGAGATTAGCAAAACGAACGAAATCTGTCGACTCTTTATCAAATGGATTAGAAAATGGTAATGGAAGCGCTTTAAATGGTCATGGGCATATCAGGAATGGAAATTCAAATTCAGACGGGGACGATGGCGACGATGATGACGACGACGATGATGAAGGTGATGATTATAATAAGAATAAGGATAAAATTAAGACAGACGCTAATGACGTACCGAAAAAACCTGATTACAAGCCGCGCAGAAATACCTCAAATGGTTTGTAAATCTTTAATCAATGTGAAGTTTCAACACTTTTAAAAATATTGACTTTTTTAGTAGGATCAGACGGTGAAAGCTTATCAAGTCCAGCAACGAGCGACGATGAATTTTGCGACACTAGTCAAGAACCTATTGTTGATAATAAAGTCTTAAACAGTAATGGACCTTTTGATTTAATATCAGCAAGAGGTAAGTGGAATCTTATCTAAGTATAACTTACTTCTTAGAAAAATTGATTAGTATAATAAGATTCGATAATTGCATAATCAGGTGGAGAAAACGCCCAGACAAACGAACAAGTTAGACAACCATCCGGTGAAAGTCTCTCAGCATCACAAGCACAAAGAATGTGGCTAAACGAACAACCCAGCGCAAATCAGGCACTTTTATACTCTTCTTCTGGAGGGCGGCCGCCAAATTATCCACAAAACTGTAATTATATATTCTAAAGTTTTATCAATATACACTATGCTATCGTTTTTATTCGAAATCTAATTCATATACTGTTTATGTACTTAAATTAGCTCCTAACTCTCCTTATGCTCAAGAAGTTAACGAAAGAATTGCAATAGCACTGGTCAGATTGCAACAAGATATGAATTCCGTCCTGACTCGACTAAATACTTTAGAAACATTATCACTAACAAGACAACCAAGAAGTAGACGAAGCTCTGAAAAAAGTGACAGGGAAAACTCATCATGGTGGCCTTTTTCAGCAAATACGACTTTTAAGAATATGGCTTTTTTTATTGCATGGCCATTTATTGTTCATCTAATTATTAAATTCATCAACTCAAGGAGGTAAAAGTTCATTTTTTGTTTTCATTTTCTAATAAATAAAAAAATCGCGGGAAAAATATTTAATTTATTCATATATTAACTTTTTCTTCAGATTTATATTTTACGCGAAAAGAAGAAAATAGAATAAATCAAACGATTGAAGTAAATGATTCCTGCAAATGATTGGAGTTTTAAAAAAACATATAAATGCATAATTTTTTCACTGATTTAATGTAAAAAAACAAAAAAGTGATATATGCTTAAGTATATGTCCTGACGAATTTCTAAAGTTAACCTTTAATTAACTTGAATAAAAATAAAATCTATTTCAAAATGGGAAGCATATTTTAAAATGGCGCGGTTGAGTTGGGAATAGGCGCCATTTTTTTTGAAAACTGCGAAGTACATCTAGTTTGAATTGTTTGTAATAGATGGCACTACTTGAAATTAACATGGCGGCTAGGAAGAATAGGTTCGTGGCTTGAGAAGCTTTTATTTGGTCTAATTTCGAATAACACCAGTTGACAAATGCGTAATATTGCTGCTTATGACACTGTTGAAGTAAGTGAATAAAACGTAGACACTCTACTCGTTTTCCACATATAGGATTGATACGTTTTGCCTTAAGATGTTACGTAATGTGTTGCAATACACGCATATCAATTAATCGATAAGTACGCCGTAGTTGCTAATTTTATTAAATGTAAGTATTGATAAATATGCGATTGAGGGATCTGTAATCTTTGTAACACTTATCGCCTAGTGTCTAGTTATGAGTTCGTATGATACTAAAAAAGAGAAAATAAGGCGATGAGACTATAATTGCTAAGTCGTTCGATTCAAAATACATCTGAAAGAAAATAGGCCGTTGTAAAAGTCGTGCTACTTTTTTGTGTTATATTGAAAGAAAATTCTGTTTTGGTAAATATCTTGAAAACGATCAATACACATTTTTATTCTTAGCATTTTGTTTAAACTTAAGCTTTTCAGATAATTCTTCATTTATATAAAGAAAGTGACTAATTACAATCTAGTAAGTCTATAATAATAAATTTATTAATAATTGCGACTCCCTCTTTACCCTTCCCCCACCCCGCCTGCAATATCTATATAATTACTTGAATATTATCATTAAATTATTAACTCTTCTATTATAATTTATATATCTAAAATAAAGATTTTGTGGTTGATTAATAATTGATTTCTTTATGAATAAATTAATTAAGAGATAAAATATGTAGACCTAAGATGATATTTTTCCTTTTATAGATTTTCTTACAAACGTGTGAATAATACCAAATTTTTATAAATTATCTGTTTATTTCATTATCTTCTTTTACTTTATTGATAATAAAAAAATATATCGGTGTTGTATTTTTCCATTTACGATTAGTGTGCTTGTTTAATTATTCTGTACTGAGAGAAATAGAAAATCGGTAGGTTTTCATATGCCTAATTTTAGAACGTCGATACTCCTAATCTTGGTTTGCAATATTTATAGGATTTCGGTAGTTTTCTCCTATTACTTTTCATAATGTTTTAGTTATATTCCTGCAAAAGAAATCTATAAGTAATGCTTTCGGTTATATGCTTAGTTATTCTAATGGTTTTCTTTTTTGCTACAAGGATAATGATAGTAAGGCTAGAAGAAAAATATCTAATATTTTTGGAGTCTCTCTCCTTAGGATACAAAGTTAAGGGCCAGGTAGATAGTAATTTGAACAAGCCACTATTGTCGGTTAAAGAGATCTCATTATGTTTTGTATTTTATTGGAGTCTAAATAAGAAAGGCAAAACAGCACGAATGTCCTACTTTTTCTCGTTGTATTGGATAAAGAAATTAGTACTCACAAAATCTTAAAATTTAGATATATGAACATATAGAAAACAACATTTTCAAAATGGACCATATTTAATAAAAGATTAGGGAGTTTCATTTTAGAAAGAGAACAATTAATTATTTACCTATTGTTGATATTGTTAGTTTTTGATCTTTTTTTATTGGAGGACATTCTACTAACTTTACAATGTTGTATCTACGTTTTTTTCAATATTATGACGTAGCAATGGGGAACTGAGTGTTTAGCATAGCTTTACTGTACATTTGTCGTGATATTTAATAGACTTTATAAAAGAGGTGAATGAACAATCTCTAAGTAATAATTATAGTTAATCAATAAAGACAGTTCTTGAGAAAAAATTTCAATATTTTATTATATATGTATTTGCTTATAAACTCTTTTGTAAGACGTTTATCTATTCAGGAAAAATAGGTCGCCTATTTTTTTTATAAGTATATGATATTTTGTCTTATTATTTTTTCTTTAATAGGCCATTTTTCAAGAATGGATGTAAATAACATCCTTGTTCAGCAGGATGTTGACATCGGTATAGCTCAGATGTCTGAAAGTTATTCAATTATCAAAGTAGCAAAAAATGTTGTGGAAGTATCCGATGAATTAACTAAAGATAGTTTATCTGGTGGAATTTTTGTGGATAACGAGACTGGAGAAATGATGCATGGCAGTGGAGGTGAAGCGATTTCGTTCATGGAAATTGAAGATTATTTCTTAAACCCTGAATCGGACTCTTTATCCAGTAGATCTGATTCATCCCATCCAATTTTGCATAGTATCCTAACTAAATCTGAAAGTAATGAGTTGAAAGATTTAAGATTAAAAAATGAAAGTGAAATAAAGCCGGAAACGGGTAAATAGAATACTTTTTTCTTGTAAACTATTGTTTAAAAAAAAGTATCTTATACTGTGTACATTGACTTAATGATCTTCTTTTTTCTCCTTAAATAAGTAATTGAAAAGCGAAAGCTTTTAATGGAATTATTAGCTAGTCAATCAAGTGATGTTGACACCTTACATTTTATGAGTAAGTATAAATATTTTATTTGCACAGAAGATGTAGTTTTAATATGTTTGTAATGTTTTAAAACTTAATTTAGTAAATTGCAATAGATTTGATTAATCGGGCAGCTTTTTATATAAAATCACATTGAAAAATATATAGGTTAAAATGTTGCATTAATGTATCAAATGTCAATATTTATTTTTGTTGAGTTTAACTTTTATATATTAATATTACTAAATTGATTTTTGTGATATAAATACTACTTTTTGTCCGCTCAAAGTCCAAAAAGCATATTTAGTAACAAACAACGAATTTAATGCCGAATTACTTTGTGACAAGCTTAAAATTGAGTTTTAATAGCTAATATTAATTACAGGTGTTTAGTTTTTTAAATATAGGTTATTAATTATTAAATTGCCTATCATTAGGCAAAGTACATTTATTTTTTTCAAAGAAAGAACAGTAAACTCATTGAGTGAAAAAAGAGAAAAACCATTCCATTATTTTATAATATTTAATTGTGTTAAATAAATTATATAGATATATAAATAGATTTTTTTTCGCAGGTCACAAACCTTCAGATAAGAGCGCTGATAATTTACATACAGAGGTAAGATAAGCTCTTATTCTATTCTTTTTTTCTCTCTACGATCATGACGTTAGATTATAAAATCGACCTTTAGATCATAATTATTGTTTAAACATAAGATAAATTGTGATCTTATCGGCGTTATCCTTCATTTAGAAATTAACTTTGAGAAGGCACGCTGGTATGGCAGCGACCTACTCAATGTCGGCTTTGGTTTTAGTTTAGTAATTCCGTTTATGAATTTTTATTCATTAACATTTTACGAGTTAACAGTTGAGTATTTTAAAGATTTCATACAGGGAAAATCTTTTTCGTTTTTGACGTTAAAAGTCTTATAATGAAACAAAAGGCTCTTCTAGAAGAGCAGCGTCTACATCCGGTTTATGCTGGAACAATGACTTTTACAGCCAAAAGGATTTTCTCTACGTAAAACACATGATATAATTATTTTGGTGTCTATTGATAGACAAGATTAAACTTGAAGTGTGACCTTGTGATTTACCTGTTTGATTCATTTTCAGAATGTACCCTACACGCCTTGCGAAGGGGCTGAGGGTAATCAGACCTCGCCAGACTCAACAGCTCTTGATAAAGCAACTGAACAATTCAAGGAGAAAACGCTATCTGTATCATTAGACAAAAGTGTAAACTGTTCGAATAGGGGAAGGAGTAAAGATGAAAAAAGAGCAAGAGCTCTAAACATTCCCTTTACGATGGCACAAATTATTAACTCTCCAGTCGATGAATTTAACGACTTGATCACGAATCATTCATTAAACGAAGCTCAGCTACAGCTTATTAAAGATATAAGAAGAAGAGGCAAAAATAAAATGGCTGCTCAAAGTTGCAGGAAAAGGAAGATGGATGCCATTGGAACTTTAGAATCGGAAGTTTTAGAACTTCGAGATAAGTGTAAGAGTTTGACAAATGAACAGGAAGAGTTAAGACATGAAGTAAACACATGTGAGAACAAAATCAATGAAATGTATTCGATGGTTTTTGATTTTCTTCCAAAACCATCCGGAGGATCTAACAATATCGATGACTATACTTTAGAGCAGACAAAAGACGGAAGATTATTTTTAGTACCAAAATAGGCCGGAAACAAGTGTTATATAATACATATATATATATATATATATATATATATATATATATATTCATATATAAATCTATTATATATGTACTAATATATATATATATATATATTAGTATACATATAGATATATATATTTAATATATATATATATATATATATTATCTTTTATTTTTTCTTTATTCATGACAAACTGTAGTTGAAAGAAATGTTAGATTTTTTGCAGTTATTTTGCCTTTGGATATCATAGAAAATTAAAAAAAAGAAAGGTTTTATAGTTTAAAATTTCAACAACTATTAGTTTATTATTAAAGAAAAACGTGGAATATTTCTAATTTTATTTAAGATAAAAGAAGCAGATTCAATATCTAAGGAAATAAATATCTGCAAAAAGGATCTATGTACAGCACTTTTGCATGTTTTGTTTTATTTTAGATTTATCTCCAGTAATATTTTGAATAGTTTTCCGCGTGTGCATGCTTACTAAAAATGGGCGGAAATAGAAGATATATTCTTCACACGACATCACAAGCCACTTGAAGTGTTATAAAGCACATCAATGATTATTATATCAGACATCACATGCCACTTGAAGCGTGGCTGGAGAACGAGTGGATAGACATCACTATTGCCACTTGAAGTGTGGCTGACGTTAACGTCATGCTTTTCAAGCATCTTTTCGCATGTTTAGTCACTACATTATTCCATCTCTGATTATTTAAAGGCTGTCCTTCTCTCATAAACCATATCACAAATAGTCAAGAATGAAAGTTAATTCAAACCTATTTAACTACCTTTAAACAATTTATATAAATCAAGATATTAGACACTGCCAATTCAATTCTATATTAACCATAAGAATTGGACGCCCATAATCAGCCCATTGAAGATAAATAAGTAAATAATAAAAAAAACACTTCATTAACATTTCACGCCCATTTGTGTTGTTTTTTCCCGTAACTTTTTAGAAATGCTGTTCAAAAATCGTTCAATCTTTCCTGAAAATGAAGAAAAAAACACATAAAAATAATTAATCTGAGTTTATTTATAGAAAAGTGAAATTAAAAGTTATTTCTATTTTTTCCTTCGGAAATCTTTGTCATCTATTTTTTTGTTATTTTATAGAAAAGAAAGGAAGAGTAATTTATATGTTAATTAAAAAATAAGATCGGTATTTGAATAGTATTTTAATTTTGCATGCTACAATAACGTTTTTTGCATGGAATATAAATACTTTTATTGCTTGTTTGTTTGAGTTTAGTTTAAATCTATCAGTTATCATGCGTGTCTTCCGCGTGTATGGAAAGAATATTAAAACGTTAAATTTCATGTATAAAAATATCAATATATGATTATAGGAATATATATATATATGTAGCATTATATTAGTGATATTCGTTTCTGTTTTAGATCTCTATTGTATTTTCGTTATAGCAAGTAGTTTAAATATTAAAGGTGACGAATATACACAAATATATATATATATATATCTTTATTGTAAATTTTCTATATTATTGCAAATTATAATTATATTTGGTGATTTCATCTTGCACTAAAATAACTGCATAAATATTGGGATACATGTACAAAGAAAACTTCTTGTATGAATCTTATACAAGCAAGCTATTTGATGTTTAATATTGTTAAATAACATATGCGCATGTACTCATAATTATAAATAGACTTATATTATATATAGGTCAATTTATATATATACATGAATCTGCAGCTAATTTTTTGAAAAAAAAATAAAACGGAATTTTCTCCACAAAAAAATGATTATGACTTTGTTTTATTTACTAAGCACAAAATAGTCAATTAGTGTTATTCAAGGTTAATATTTCTATTGTATATGTATATTCATTATTATACGTATATTTAATATTGTCTCTTTCGAGGGAAGATAATATATAATTTATATTTCCCGCCAAAAAATTTTCCTTCTTTTTATTTTCGTATTTTTACATAATGAAAAAACTAATTATATATTAGAAAATGTCAATATTTTATCATGTATTTAATTTCATAAAATAATTATTACGAGATATTTTATTTATTAAAAATGGCGGAACATGTGATTTCAGATTCTTCAATTAAAAATGAAAAGGAAGAAAATGTGGAGGAGAATGAATCAAAAACGACGGTTAAAGTAATTTGGGTTATTTTATATAATCATATACATCTTTAAAATTATTAAAAATCATTTATTTCTCTGCTTTAATTGTAATATTAGCTCTTAAAATCAAAGAGTTTTAAATTTATTCATATTTGATTAATTATATAGGAGCATATGTTGCAATACATGACAGTCGAGGTTCTAGACCCAGAGAAAAGGAATGGTGGTGCAGCCTTAAATGTTAGGGGCCAAGATACATTCATAGTCTATCAAGTATATTCCAGGTTAGATAATTAGTAATTTAAACAGATGTTGCATAATAACATTTATTTCCAAAAGGGTAACTGATCCATCGAAGCCCGGTTATTACGATCATCCTACAACCGTGTGGAGGAGGTATAATGAATTCGATCTCCTACGTAATTATTTGGAGGTTTCATATCCCTATATCGTAATTCCACCATTGCCAGAAAAAAGGGTAAATCCTAATTTAATTTGCAGATAAGAATACTAATTATGAATCAAAGAAAATTGATAAATTATTCAAATTAAAAGAATATAGACTTGTATAATGTTAAATCATTAAAATTAGATGATGATTAACTGATGGAAAATCGAAACTTGTTTACATTTTCACCAGGTTAGTCACACTTGGCAGAAATTGTCAACGGATCGATTTGAATCTGAATTCATTGAAAGGAGGCGAATTAGCCTGGAGGTAAATTTTTCTGTTGCATTTATTTTAAATACGAAAATAAAAGAAAAGAATTATACACAGAATTTTAATTACAACAGAAATTCTTGATGCGTTGTGCATCCCACGCTGTTCTTTGTAAAGATGAGATATTTAGAGCATTTTTTGTAGAAGAGTACGGTTTTAAAGACCTAGTGGATGCAACTGCATATCAAAGAAAGGTAAAAGTTTTATTACATTTTAATAATTACTTAAACAAGCCTTTTATTACTTTTATTAACATTTTCTTCTCGTGATATACTACATTATATATAATTATGTAGTATAATTAATATAATTTATTTATATGGTTATATATACTGTTCTATAAACTTGCTTTGTATTTGCTATTTTTTCTTAATCTTTTTTATTAAGTATCATTTGTTTATAGGCCGACTCAAAATTCTCTGCCCTGTCAGCTTCGTACGGCTTGAAGTCGCCAAATCCAGATATAGAAGCTATTAAAACATATATTAATGATCTCGAATCTACTTTATATCAAATACTAAAAGTACGCGCTAAAATAGCGGATAATTTTTGTGAACATGAAAAATTATATAGATCTTTTGGTCAATTATTTGACGATTGGGGTAACATTGAAAATGAGACAGGCATAGCTCTACAAACTGCCGGTCGCCACTTTGACATGTAAGGAAAGTGACTTTTATAGTAGAAAATATAGAGATTTTTTATAAATATTTCAGACACGCCAATGTCCTGGATAAACACGTTTCCGAAGAAGAAGCTTTTGCAGAGCAGCTTAAAGAATACTATAGCTTTGGAGATTGTCTCAGGTTTTTAGCTTGTTTGCTCATCAATAATAAATGTATCAGAACTCGTCAAAGCAGCTAAAATTCTATATTTAGAAATTTCTTTGTATATAAATAGTAAACTTACGTGTTTTTCTTTCTTTTCTTCTTTATAGGGGAGTTTGTAAAAAGGCTGAGATACTACAATATAATGTTGAAAAGACTGAAGAGATGCTATCAAATAAAAAGCTACATAAGGAAAACATTCAACAGGGAAAGAACGGTTTAATGAGCGATATGAAAACGAAATTATTAGGAAGAGATTCAGTTGAACAAAAAGAGCAGAGACTTTTAACAATCTCAGAGCAAATTGTAGATATCGAAGGAACTTTACAGCAACAAAAGGAGGAATTAGAGTAAATATATATAATATATATATGCATATATTGTTTATCATTATATTACTTTACGTAATCAATAATTAATTCTCTAAATTAGAAATTTTTTGGAGTTGGCTAAGGCAGATATCGATAGATTCAAGAGGCAGAAGGGTAAAGACATTAAAGATATTATCCTTAACTACGCAATTATGCAGAGAAATCTTTCGAGGAAACAAGAACAAATATGGAGGAAAGTTGAAGAGACTTTCGACAAACTATAATGCATATAAACTGTATTTGTAATATATTCTTATTATTAAGGAATGTTATTGAATAGATGTTCAAAAAATACCATTGTATTATACAAATAAAATATAGTCATTATAGAGTATTTAATACACAACAAGTTGTTTATTATTATTCTCATTTAGTGCGTTATATTTATTTATAAATTATTTTTCCAGCCGGATGTTGTTCTTTCTCTAAGTCTAATTGTTTCTTTATAATTTCTATTTTGACTATTAAGCACTATTTCACGGTAGTATTTGTAAACAACCAACAGATGGTATGTGGTTATAAATTATCCGCTAGATGGCTCTTATAAATCCCAGAATTCCGTGCAAAATAGAAAAGTAGCGGAATGAGCAGGGAATATTCCGTATTTTCTTAACATTCTACAACAAATCATATTTATTACGTGAGTATATTTTAACGAGGTTAATCGATCTAATTGTTGCTTTAAACATATCAACAATAAACTCTTTAACTGAACGAAAATCATAAATCTTGTTGTTTTGAATATAGGCCTACATATGTTATTTATATTTTCTTCCAGGAAAAAGAGGATAAGGGAGTATGTTTAAGGCATGGAGATCGAGAGATCAAATGAATGGTATTCATTAAAACCATATCCCTAGTAGTAATCTGTAAAAAAAAATTCCGTAAAACATATCTGTCTTTCGGTCTGGTGACTCAGAGTTTCTTATATCATAATTAACTAAAGAAAAGGAAGAGAAGATAGTTAGTTTGAAATTCAATGATTACGGTTTTCTCCACAATAACCATGAATAACGTATGATTTATCAAGTTGTAAAAAAGACATATTTTCAACTTGTTATCTTAAAACAGTAATATTTAAATATAAATTTATTGTAATATTTGTCAATGTTTTATATCCAACTTATTAGTAAATATATATTTTCATTTTTTTGTCTGAAACAGCTTTTCGACTTAGAAAGGAAGTAAAGAAAATGATTTTTATGAATATCTCTTCCTAAATTATTTAACACAGAAGAAGATAATAAAAAAATATAAAAATAATAAAAAAAAGAAGTTTTAAAATAGAATGGGTAATTCTTCTTCTAAATTTAGAAAGCATCTTATCAATGGTGATGAATATGCTGCCTTACAACTATACAATAAGTAAGTTTCACACTTCTTTATAATGTATAAAGTTTTATCAATAGTTTTTATGACAAGAGATTCTTGTAATATTTTCCAAGAATGTTTTTAGACTAATTTACTTCAACTTTCTAGACTGATATCTTTTTTCCTCTTTCTTCTTGTCTTCAGTTTCTTTATGAGACATCCCTCTCTCTCTCTCTCTCTCTCTCTCTCTCTCTCTCTTTCTATCTATCTATCTAACTACCTATCTTTGTGCTATTACTGATCTAAACATTGATTAGTAATAAAGGGAAATTTTCTTCATTCTTTGCAAATAGTAAATTAGTTTTTAGAGACGAAGTAGGAAAAAAAAATTCAGTGTCGGCTTTCCTAACTTTTTTTCTTCTTTTTTGTTTTTGTTAAATAAGAAATTTGTCTTCGTATTCTTTAAATTTAAGTTGAACGGACAGATAATAATAATAAAATATATAGGTACAAACAACAAATACAGTAGTATCTTTTTTTGAGAATTTAGATTTTAATATTGATTTTTTATATATTTTATAATGTTATAATGTAAAAAGAGAAAGGAAATTTCTAAAAAAAACTACTTTATGTATCGACTGTACATATATTATTGTAGGCCTATTAAAAATGATTAATTTTATATAATATAGGTGGAATTTGACGCCAAAAAAAGATAGTTTCATATTGATTTTGTAGTTGTGCCCATCTCTTCTCCTCCGATATAATAGAAAGACACCCTATCTGTCAAATTTCCGGATGGTTCTATAGTTATATTTTTAGAAATAGATGGATAATCGAAGTCTTATGACATAACCATTAAACTAAAGTTGACAAGCTGAGTGTTAGTGTTTCTCTATACATCAATGTATCTATTACCAAATATATTCTTATTTTATTCTATGTTATGTAAATTTTTTAAAGAAATATTTATTTAACAAACTTTTATTTCTGACTAAACCTTTTGACGTATATTTGAGTAATTTTCTGCTCAAACTGACAGCAAACTTTCCTTTGACGTTGCATTGACTTTGACAAGAGGAAAATTAGTCATCTGCTTTGTTCTGTTAAATCCATATAAAACCGGGTGCTGTGTCTCTTTCTTATGTTACCAAGGATTTTTATTCGCAATTCTCGCTGACAGTTTAATAATTGTTGTCATTTTACATTTCTTCAATATCCAGCAGAGTTTATCTATTATGACGGCTCTAAGCACTTTATACTATATACAGAATATACTCTATCTATCCTACATATAAACTTTCAAACTCTGTTAAATTCTAATCAAAGAATATTCAATGACAATAGAAATAGTGGCAAGAGAAAGAAAGAGATAGAAAGAAATTGAGGGAGAGAAAGAGAACTTGAAAAATAACTGTAAAAAGAGAGGTTGATTATATAAAAAGAAAGAGTAGAAAGAGGGAATTACGTTGTTTTTTGTTTTATAATGGGACAACCAAAAGGCGTTTCTAAGTGGATAATTGGTTAGCAAAAATAGGCTGTTTATATTTGTTAGAAAAACATTGGTTACTTTTACTTCTTTTATTGTTATATCTTCTGGATATGTTGGCAATAGGAAGCAATATCTATTCTTGTTTTATTTGAACCAAATTACAGTACATCCGTCAAAATACGCGTTGGAGTGTTAACAAAAAGCATATATTTTATATTAAATCAAAAGAACGATTGACGAAAGATCGATAAATTACAGGTTAAACCTTTTTTAATATTATGACGGCTTCTAATTATATTACTCTTAGCCGGAAAACATTGAGCAATGTAATAAATACTTCCTCTTTTGCTGTTTTTTGACTTTTGTTGAAGTTCTTTTCGCTAATTCTTTGGTCGGAAAATTCCCAAAGGAAGTTGATTAATTATTGAGAACAAACTCGATATAATTAACCCTGTTTTTGTCAAAATTCAGAGTGATTCTTTGTTTTGTTTGATATTTTTGGACTTACGGATTAATATCTTTGTCTATTCCTCTCTCTCCTTCCGTCGAAGTTACTCTGTAAAATATTGTTTGTAAAATCAATGCTCCATTTTAGTATAAGTCTTTAATACTTGAATTAGCGGTTTAATAATTAGAAACTAAACCATATAAAACATAATTATTTACAATGGCAATTAATTAAATTAATCTTTAATACCTCACCGTTGAAAGATAGATGTTATCTTCATTTTCCAGTCTGTTAGGTCTGTAATTTACCCTATGTCAACTAGTAGAGAGTACTCTGTAATTTTATTTTATCAAATTTTTTTGTTTCTTAGAGTAAATATCATAAACTGCTTAATAAACCTCGATGTGATTACTTTGCGATATATTTATATTACCTTAATCCTTGTTTAATTTTCTTTTCTCATTTACAGTTCAGCAGACTTGAAGAAAGGGTTGGATCCAAATTCCCCATATGGAGACAACCTGAATCATGACACTCCTCTACATTTCGCCGCCAGACATGCAATGAAAGCATTGCTAAGGTTTTCTCATCACTTATACCTAATTGTCGTCTGCCATGTCTAACATACTTTTTCACAGATTGTTTCTAAGCATGAAAAATGGAAATCCCAACAAGACCAATGCCTCTAACGAAACTAGTTTGCATTGTGTCTGTCAAGCGCCTGCTAACATCTTAGAATCTCAAAGGAAAAAAAGATTTGAATGTCTTCTGATGATTTTACAATGGAAAGGTGCTAAAATTGGTGATGGCCAATTTGAGAAAGTTTCAGTAAACTCAGTAGATAAGAAACAAAATACTCCTTTGCATTTTGCCGCCAAATCTGGATTAAAACAATGTGTTGAGGTAACAGACAAAAAACGAATAATTTTTAGAATTGATTCTTCATTCTCAGTATAAATGAAAATAATTGTAACAATTATCAAGAGAACGCTATCTATCTCTTTGTATTCCGATAAAAGATCATAAAAGATTTTCGACTTGTATTTATTTAAATTAATTTAGAAATCCAAGAAATTATTCATCATTAGTTATAGTTTTGACATTTCTTGTCTAAAGTAGATAAAAGTAAAATGACATTTAACTATAATAACGATTTAGTACAATTTAAAAAAAATTAGTTTCTTATGTATTCTGGTAAGTTCATTTATTGCTAATTTTGATAATTTTAAATATAAAATCAATGCTATTTTATAAAGCAAATAAGGACATGATTAGTCTATTTCTGGTAATAATATAGTATATCGCGTTTACAAGTATTATTATACTAAAGTTAAGGTTTACCCAAAATGTTAGATGTATTACCGAACATCACGCTATAATCGTATTTATATCCTGATTTTGAATGGAAGCATATATCATAGTCTGCCTCTCTATCTCTCTCTGTCTCTGTCTCTCTCTATACAATATATATATATATTTATATAAACATACAGTATAAATATATGTACATACTGATGAATTATACCTTGGGTTGTTTGAAAGAACCTTCCATCTCCAATTAGGTCAAAGAATTTTCTTTAACTTTAATCAAACTGAATAGAAATAAAAAATAATTTAGCTTTAATAATAAAGAAAGTGGAGCATGATTATTTCGAAGGCAGTGGTTTATAAAAGACTTTTAGTCGGTTCACCTATTTAGCAGATGGATCACAGATTTTTTTTGACGCCTTTTCCTTTAATTTTATAATTAGCTTGTGTTTTCTTCCGTTTTTAGTATAGATTGATGAAATCCATTGTTGAAAAACTAATAGTAGGCTCCTAAGGGATCTTCAAAACAGAAATAGCTTTCTAATTAGGTTTATGGGGTTGAATACACTTTTTTTTATTTCATCTTCTTATACATTTTCTAATCTTTTCAGTATCTCGTTTCTCAAAATGCCGACTTATTTGCTGAAAATGACGATAAACATACTGCATGTGATTTGGCGGAAAAATCTGGCTATAAAGAAATTGCCTTGTACTTAGAATCAAAAATGGTTTTTTATTCGGTTTGTTATTCTTTCTTCTTTAATTTTTCTTTTTTAAGAGTTTTATAATTAAAAGATATAGTTAGAGTGAAAAGAGTTAAAATTGTTTGTCAAAGCGTAATAATACATCAAAGTGGTGAGAGAATAAAATTTAACCTACTGTTCATGATTAAAATAATAATGATTATGGGATGAAATATAATTGAAAAGGAGAGCATATATAATCCATGTTAAAGTAGAATAATACTCAGCCATTTGATTATATTTATTAAAAGCAATATCCCCTTTCTGTCTATTATATTGCTTCAAACTGGCTTCCGCATAATAGTTTGATCTCATATATTCTGGTAACATCAAAATAAGATAAATGTCTAGTTGATATATATTTATATATTTGTCTGTTAATTTTGTTCTTGATTTTAGACGCTTAGTTAATAATTTTTCCATTATTAATATCATTTCAAGTGAAAAGTTTAGCTGTTAAGCTATTCTGAAGGGAAGTGATTAATTTTTTGTATTGTTGTTTATACAGCTAAAATCACCAAGGATATATCTAGATAACAGATCATAGAACTGTAATTAAAAACATGTTTTTTTTTTAGTGATATAATACTGATTGAATGAAGCATGAAAAAACAATAAGTGTCATGAATGAAAGAGAACTTCTGACTTATTATTAATAATCTTAAAGTTTATTGGGTCAACTTAAAATTTCTATTCGTAAATTTTACTCGTTAAATATACAGTATGCTTATTATTCATATAGCTGCACTGTGTATATTTGAGTTATTAATTTTTTGTAGCTTTAATTTATAATCGACATTTGAAATTGAAAGAATATATCAATTGAATATTATAATTCTCTTTCATATATATAAATAGAAGATAGCATTTTATACATACATATACATACATACACCGTATGAGTATATCTGTATCTCTCGAAACGTATATAAACCATATATATACTGTATAAATGTATATACATTTATATATATATATATATATATATATATATACAGTATATATATATATCATATAACAATACGAGATTCAGAAAGAAAAAAATTTATAAAGGTCTTTGAAATTAGTAAAACAAATCATGTTCTTTCATTTTTACGCTTTGCTATTATTTTCTCGAATAGAATTCCTAATGGACAATTTTGTAGGGCGATGAAAAGTGTTGGTTTTAGTGAAATGAGAATTCTGATTGAGGTTCTCTTTCAGAAAATTTGTTTTAAAAGATATATTCCTCTATACAGGATAAAATACTTAATATCTCCTTTTTAATTATCTTAAATTAATGCATTAATTTTTCTAAGTACATACAAGAAAATAGATTAATTGGTCAATGCATCAAACTTTAAATGCTATATATCTGATAGTATAGATAGCTATGCTATATATCTATATGTATATATGTAGATATTGTATTCTATTATATTTATATATAGTTATAAAAAGTATTTATATCTTTAGCTTGACGTCATAAGCATCTTTAAAAGGGAAAGTATTTAACAGAGGAAATATAGTTCACATTAGAAAATTATGATTGCTTCTTTTCGAGCCATTAATATTCTTCATAAACAGTTTGCAAAGATAGGAAATAACCATTTAAAAATAACTATCTGTCCATTAAGACTATTTCATTTAGTGAAAAGTTGTTAAATATACACATTTATACAACATATAATGTATACTGTGTATACTGTATATTTAATATTTAATCGTAATAATGCACAATAATTAATGACTATGTATCATATTAAACTGAGCAATTTTCAAGTTTCCCCTTAACTCTGTTTGGTCATTCTCTCCCTCCCACCAGTATTTTGAATAAACTATAAAAGGTACTTTAGCTAAATTAAAGTGAAATTTTTTATTTTCAATTATGCAAACTATGCAATTTAAATATTCTCTCTGGTTTGTTTTACTTGTTTAACAAAAGATCTATTATATCTAACAGCATGATAATGAAAACGAAATTGAAATGGAGATGGATGATTTATTAGATTCCATGGAGAATGAAGGTTACAGTGGCTTAAGAGCCCAAGATCTTCAGGAAGCAAAAGATCAACTTTTAGTTGAAACGTCCGATATGCTCAGAGTTCCTTTATTTACAGCTGAAGCTTTATTGAGAAATCATGGTAATTGAGTAATTATTCTTAGTAGTTTAATTCTGTTTTATTAATTAATATAAAGAAGTAGTATGATAAATCACACTTATACGTAAACAAGTCACGTAACGTCTTGTAAGAGAATTTTACCTCCGCTATAGTTTACAGTGAAATTTGTTGAAAAGAAATACAAATTTTATTGAGCTTATATTATAATTCTAAAAAATACCCATTAATAAATCGAATGGTACCTATTATTAAACATAGAATAGCCTCTTATAGCAATTCACTTTAAAAGTAATTACCTTTTTTTGTAATTGATTTCTAATTTTAAGATAAACTCAAACTATAAAGTTTTTCAAAATTAACATGTACAATACTAACAATTTTCAGAATGGTCTAGAGAAACTTTACTTGAATCTTGGATGAAAGATCCTATCCTTTGCTGTGAAAAAAGCGGCGTTGCTCCACCTAGTTGCATATATGAAAGTATGGCCACAGCTCCACCCACTGATCTTTCAACGTCTATACAATCTGATAATGTGCCTTCAAGCGAAATAACGGTAATTATTATTATCAAATTAATTTATCGAACTTTTTTTTTAATCGAATTTATTATATAATGATTTATTTTTCTATTTAATAAACTAGTGCGACGTTTGCACGTCTCCCATACCGGCTAACGAACCAGCTGCCTATGTTCCTTGCCAGCATAATTGCTGCAGACAATGCTGGACAACGTAAGTTTTTACCATAAGCCTAAAGGTGCTCTTTTTCTGTTTGTTAAAAATCCAAAATTTTCTTCATTTTCAGTTATCTTACTGTTAAAATTCAAGAAGGTGATATTCACAATATTACTTGCCCCGGTTATCAGTGCAATATGCTCATTCCTGCCGAAACGATTGAGGAGTTGGTCAGTCGTGAAATGGCACTGAAATATTTACAGTTTGATATAAGGGCCTTCGTCGATAGCAACCCGTCCATAAACTGGTGTCCACACCCTGGTTGTGGACGAGCAGTAAAGCTGCCTGAAAGTGATAACTTTCTTTCTCCGGTATTTACAGGTGATTTACGTGCTCAAAACAGCTCTGATGTTTCTCATTCAGTAGACTGCGGCAACGGTCACATGTTTTGTTGGTAAGAAAATATATATTAACTATTTAGCAACTATTATTTGAGTTTTGTTTTCTTTCTTTCTATATTTAATTATTAGGGAATGTTCTGGAGATCCTCACGAACCCGCTTCATGTGTTAACTGGAAGAAATGGCATCAAAAAGTGTTTGAATTAAGGCCTGAAACTTGTAAGTGAAAGATTTAGTATAAATAAACGAAACATATATATTAAACTAAAGACAATCTTCTTATTAAGATGTATTCACTTTGTATTATTTTTTCTTTATACCAAAGAGCATACTCTGGTAAAATCTTTATAAAAAGTTAGATATTGCTATTTTTAGAAAATTATATCAATTTTAGTCAAAGAAAGTATTAGAATGTTTTTCGGTTTGCATATCTTAGGGATGTTTAAATGCTCTACAGGATTAGGTAAGATTGCCTTGGCCATTTCTTAAACTCTAACAAATTACACAAAGGATATTTATTGTGTTTTTTTTTATTCTGTTCGAATAATTACATGAGTGATAGATTTCTGAAAGGTTGTGGCATTTGTTTATAACAATTTGACTAAGATAGTCATGAAACACATATAGGTTGTTTTGGATGTTTTAAGCTTTTAAGCACTTTGAACTAGGTCAAGACAAACTTGGGCAAAGTGTAAGAGTAGACTGATGAGGCACTGCCAGAGAATATTCTACCCAAAAAGTCATCTAGGATATCATTCTATCGGATAAGGTTATTTCTCAAATAAATTCTCTCATAAATTTCTTTCCCAGCCTGTTCCTATTCCTCCTAGTTAATGATAAAGTTAATCATTTGTAATGGCGTACATGTATCTATTTCCAATCAAGTCTAACGAAAAAATACTCATTTCAGAGAGATTCGCATCTCCATTCTTCTTTATAATTCTATTAAGCATCAAATATTTTCATAGATTATTTACAAAAATGATTTTATTTACAAGTATCTAATGAATAACTGATAAGTTACTTCTTCTTAGTAAATCTTGTATTCTTCAGAGACATTCACAGAATAATTTTCTTCGCTTAATTAATAGTTTTAGCAATTTTAAACAAGTAACTAGAAGTAATCTTTAAAGTGCAATTGCATAAAATGAATTGACGGATTAGCTAATTAATTTGGAACTTACAAATTTGATAAAGTTAAAAAATTTTAGTAGAAATATCTTTTTTTTTCTCGTATCAAATAAAAAATAATACGAAGTGTTTACTTTGTAAAAAGGGGAAATCATACTTTAGTGTAACATATATGTTGAGAGAAATTTACTATTAATTATACAATATATAGAAAAGTATATTCTATAGATACTTGATCTAATTAAAAGTATATTTCAATCAGAATTAAACTAGATATTTTAACTCATTCTTAAAACATCACTCACTTATAATCTAATTATAAAAGTAAACAGAAGATATTCATGGAGAAGACGGTGGGATGTTTGTGCTTTTTTTTTAGACTCGCTAGCATATAAACATTAACGAAATATTAAACCAAAATTTTTTGCATAGTGAGGCTTGTGTTTTCATTTTTTTTAAATAATATATTGTCTTTTACTTTCAAGATCAAAAAAGGACTATTAAAATATATTAAAAAAAAAGCAATAAATTTGCATGTTGTATTATCATTACCATATATTTTTTAAACCATTTTTTTGGAATGATAGTTATGTTTAAATAGAATCTCTTTGACAAACGTAAAAAAGACTATAAAAAGGAAGCTTTTCTCCTTAAACAAAAATATTTACATACAACACTATTGCTAATGAATTCTATCTTATATTTTACTTTAAATTCTCTACAGTAAATGGAACTGAAGAAGAATTGGAAGTGGCAGCAAACTGTCTTTGGCTTGTTACAAATTCAAAGCCATGCCCTAGTTGTAAATCTCCCATCCAGAAAAAGGAAGGCTGTAATCATATGAAATGTTCCAAATGTAAACATGACTTTTGCTGGGTTTGCCTGGAAAGTTGGAAGAAGCATAATTCTACAACTGGAGGCTATTTTAGGTATCATTACCCTAACGGGCTCTAATGATTAATATTAGATATTTATAACTTTTGAAATATTATCCAGATGCAATCGGTATGATGCTGTTAGAAAAGTTGAGCAAATGAGCGAAGCTGCAAAGCAAGCGGCAGAAGGTAATACAAAACGGTTGCAAGAATTGAACAAGTTTGTTCATTACTATATGAGATTCAAGAATCACGAAAACAGTTATAAACTGGAGGACCCGTTATTAAAAAATTCCGAGGAAAAAATGGAGCTACTCGCTAAACAGGCTACAGATAAAGGAGAGAATCCGCCACAAATCGACACGCGATTCGTGCAGGATGCAGTTATTCAACTCTTGAAGGCTCGTCGAGTTTTAAAATGCTCTTATGTTTACGGTTATTACCTCGATGATGGATTTCGAAAAAGTATCTTTGAAATGATGCAAAATGACCTTGAAGAGAGTACTGAGACACTCTCGCAGATTATTGCCCGACCATATTTACGAACGCCTAGACAAAAGATTATCGGAGCAGCTTCTCAAGTTCAAAGAAAGAGGAGCGAATTTTTAACAGCCGTCGCGAAAGGCGTGGTTCCGACAGATAGTTCTCCAACGTCTTCCAGAAGGAGATTAGAAGATGAAGATTTTCGAAAAACATTCTTCGAATCACTCAAAGAAGTTTGTCTTTTTGTTTTCATTTAATTTTTGTAAATGTAATTTTAAGTAATTTAAAAAAATTTTAAAGCAAATTTCCATTTTGCAGAGCCATGTTGATCCGAGTAATCCTTGGATAAAAGATCCTTCGGGTCGTCATACGAATGTTACCGCTTACCTTGATTGGCCAGCATCCGACGAAGAGCAGGAAGAACAACAGGAAGAAGGTAAAAGAGAAGGTGAAGGAGAGGGAGATGGAGATGCCTCCGAATCTCAAGATGTGTTAGTTTGCTCTCGAAAAGACTGTACAAAGAAAAGAGCTATGAATCCAAGAACAAAACAACGTCATCAACATTGCAGCATAACTTGTATGAGAGAAGATGTTGCAGAAAGAGAAATTAACTTTGAAAATGGGGAACAAAACTTTTCAAATTATGATATAGATCTTCAAAGGGCTATTGAAATGTCGAAAATGCAATATTTAGCTGAAACAACTAGAAACACTGTACAAATTGAAGAGGATATCGAAAAACGATTTAAACAAGAAGAAAAAGATTTACAGATGGCAATACAACTTTCCTTGCAGAATCAAGGCGAAGGGGAAGAGAATATGCCTCAAAGTTTGGGCGCAATAGCAAATACGCCAAGAATAAAACCAAATACTTTTGGAATAATTAAAGATGTAAATGTTACAAATCTCTTGTTCGAAGGTTCAAACAAAACAAACCATTTCGAAAGTAAAGATATGAAAATACGTAACGAAGTAGATGTTCAGTTTGAAGAGGAGCCCAGTAGAATATCAAACGAAGGAGAGGCAGCAGGGGAAGAAGTGGACAGAGAAATGGTTGTAGGAGGAAGTAGTTTAGGAGTAGGAATAGGAGGAGGTATAAGCGATCTACAACTTAAGGATGTGATCTTCAGGTTAAATTCTCTTACAGCAAATAGCGAAGAAGAGTGTGCCGAAGCAGTTGTGGACCTCGAACGCGAAGAAGGACCAAAAGCAGAAAAGAAAAATATTAGCTATGTGTAAATGTTGAATAATATTTTATATATAAAACCAAAGAAGAGGAAAATCAGAAATATATATTCAAGACAAAAAGAAAGAAAAAATAAATAGGAAAACAAATCAAAATGTTATTATAAAGCAACTTTTAATGTATTACTATTGACAGGAATAATCACTCTTTTTGGCAAAAAAAAAATTGTAATATGTCGTTTTCAATGTTTGTATTGGTAAAAAGCAAGTCAAGAATATATATACTAATATATGTATATATATTGTATCTCATACGTAAATATGAAAAATGATATTAAAACAATTAACAATGATATATACTTAATGAAAATACAGTAATTTCTGTTTTTAATCAATTAATTTATTCATAAAATAAACTCTAATTAGAGATTAATTATTGAAAATAGAAATAAAGAAAAAAAAACAAATAAACGAAGAAATTATTAATTATTAATTATTAAAAATTAAACGGTTAAGTTACTTTTCATCTTTTTCCTTCATTTTATCCAGATTTTTCTCAAATGAATATAATGAGTTGGATTTGAAATATGCGTTGAATGAATAATTTATCATCTACCTCTCTAGTTAATATTGTAAGAATATGCTATATTTGAGATGAAATTATGTTAGATATGTAATATGATTTGTGTATATAGAGGTCATTTTGTTATGTTTGCAACTTATCTACAACTTTAATTTCTTATTAAGTAAGTTTAGCACCTGAGCTATTTCAATATTTTTGGTATGTTTGGTTTGCTTGTTGTATTTTCCAAAGAGAAGAGAGAAGAGAAGACATGAGAAGGACTTTAAATCAGTTATAATTTTTATCCAATCTTTAACAATTATTGAATCATATTTTTTGTTTAATTTTTGCTTTTTTTTGATCTTGTTCATAGACGAAAAGGAAAGGAAAAACGTCGTTCCATCTCCCTCTCTCTCTCGTCTTCACACGCATATATATTTATATTTTTTATGTCTTGTAATTGTAGTAATAGCTCTTCAATTTCAAGATTTTCGAGATATTAAAGAAAGGAACGAAATAGTCGAATTATATTGTCGAGACCAGTTAGTATACCATCTTCGCCGTTTCCCATTTTCCAACTGGTTCTATGATTCAATTTTTCTATTCCCTCAGGGGGTGGTGTTGCGTGAGCGAGGTCAATAATCCATGCTCCGCAGTTTGAACCATCGTGTATCAGTAAAAGGGAACTGCCGATAATTTGATGCTTTTGAAAGAAATCACTTTCCTCAACATTTCGCCTTAATTCTTTAAGTTTTTCAATTAAATTTTCCAACAGTTTTTTGTTATGAGCCTTATTCAAAAAGAATTTAAAACAATCTAAAACCTGAATAGAATTGCTAATCTTTTTTATATCCTGCGAATATCTTGATGAAGAACTATGAACAGCCTCAATTCTAAAGGCGAGTTTTGATGTGGTCGATATCTTCTCTCTTACTTGCATATACCTGTTAATAATGTAAATATTTATTTAATTTTCCCTCCTACATATTATTTAAAAACTATCAACATAACATTACTGTATTATTATACACAATATCTTTAGTTTAGAAAATATTAGGCCTAGAACAATTGAATGAAAGAACCTAAATCAAAAATTGATAAAGCATTCTCGTTTTATCTAATATTTTTATTTATTTAAAAATATTCTTTAAGTGAACTTTCATGGAAAATTTTTATGTTTTCGAAAAAGAATATTTTGACTTTGATTAGAAAGATGATAAGGATAAGAAGAATTGATGTTGTGCTAAAACTTACATATAGTTGATAAGACTATAACAAAATTAAGACACGAAAAAGATTGAGAGGAGGATGAGCAGGTAGAACTATTCTCTATATGCACAAATTGAAAATATATAGATATCATATTAACGCATTATTTATTCTATATCATAGAAGGAGGATGTAAAGAATTTTCTTTTCATTTAATAATATATCATTATCTTTATTGATTAATGATATATTCGATAAGATAAAGGATAAATGGTACTTTGATTACAGCAAGTTTTATAGTTAAAAATTTCAAAAAAGAATACAAATGAAGTAGCTAAGAAGCATTAAAAAAAAACAAAAACACGCGGATGATGACGATGATGACAGCGATGACGATGATCTTATGTGCATCATATAGTCTTACTTGTTATTTTTTTCTCTATACATATAATATTGCATACTATTGATATGTAATTAGCAAATAAAAAAAAAACTAAGAAGAGAGGAGAGATCATGTTAATAAACAGTATTTAAGTGAAAAAAAAAACCCCAGAAAATAGACTTTTCTTTATGTTCTTTTCTTTAATTTAATATATCTATCAATTCTCTTTCTTTCATTCAATTAGTTTTAATAAAATTAGAATTGAACAATTCAATTCTTTTATTATTGATAGTTGCCTTTTTAATAGCTAAGAAACTATTAAGATTGTTTACAAATTGATAGTCACTAGTGTTGATTAGTACATCAAGCGTATACCGCATTTATATATATATATATATATATCAATGTAAATATACTATGGCACAAGTGTAAATATATAAATATACTAGATAATTATTTCTAATAAACTGACCTTAGTTTTGTAACAACTTTATCTCTAATCTCTTCTTCGCTACAACAATTTGGATCAAGTTTTACCAACTTTTGAAATAAATCCTCTCTTAACGTTGTACTTTGAACTTCACTCTCTTCGAATGTTCTACAACCCAACTTTATATCCATAACGTTTGGACTTTTAAAATATTGCATTAGATTCTCCAACTCTATATAGGCTTGATTACCATCTTTAAGATCTCCGTAAAATTTTGGTATGCAACGCTTAGCCAAATCGTCTTCCATTGCTTTCAAGTAAGCGGACGTTTCATTGTTACCATCTCTTAATTTTTTATAAATGGTCTTTGGTGACGCAGTCTTACATGTTCCCTTGTGGCCTGAGAGTTGAATAAATTCTGCTTTCTTTTCCTTTTCATTCTCTTCGTCTATTAAATTTGGCTTCATTCTAGCTGTAATTATAAAGTACTATTATGATAGTATATTATACATATTGATAACACATTCCAGCTATCATATTTCTTTTGTCACATGTCGTATAGTGAAAAAAAAATCAATTATCAAAAAGGCCTAATTTAATAAAATTCTGTTTATTACAGAAGCAATATGAACAATGTATAGTCTTACTTATTTATATTAAAATAATAAACTACTTCAGAGCGAAGTAATAGGTGAGGGAGAGAGAGAGAGTATTTCTCTTCTAATTAGTAGTATAAAAACAACGGTTGTTATGTGGTATAGACGTAATGTAATTTTGCAATTGGATCAATTTTAATGAATTATACTATACTATGGCTTTAAAAAATAAGTTTTGTTTTTACCAATTCCATCACTCTCTTTCTCACTCCTTCCATTAATATTTATAGATAAGTAATTAGCATAAAATCTTAACGAATAAGTGTAAGGAATTTCGTCCATCAATGAAGTAAACAATTGATTATACGGTGGGAAAGGAAAAACAAACATTTAATTTATATTTACTAGTTTCATATAATAACAAAAGTAGTAGTAATAATAATAAAAGAGAACAGGGGCGATATGAAATAAAGAAATTGTATAGAATATATGCATATATATGTTTATATATAATATATATATTCATTTTCTATATTGTTCACTATCGATGACTACTGCTGTTATTTTGAGAAGGGTGCGGAGAGGGGCGATGGTGAAGAGAGAAATTGCGAAAGGGAAGAGAGATTGGATAAAGCAATGGAGAGAATGGGAATAGAGGATAAGGAAAATAAATGAATCTATAAAAATATATTTTGACTTTAACTTGTACTCTTGCATATTATTTGGATGTAACGATCCACTTATCGATACGAATTATAGATTATCGAATAGATATATCAAGTAAAAATTGATAGTCGGTAGATAATTTAATGTACGACAATAAACTGAATACATACTATTGTACTTAACAATTTAATAATATAAAAATTGTTTATGATGCTGCTTACCTTCTCTTTGTCTTTCCTGCAAAATACTTAATCTTCTTATTCAAGCTATGCACACGTATATACTGTATACAGTGGCCGAATGCGGTCTCTTTTATATATATGCCGTATATATAATTATATACATATATATATCTATATATCTATATATATATATATATATATATAAATATATATATGTATATGTATAAGTGGCACTTACACGTGTAGAAACTCTTTATCGTTCCCTCTTCTTTATTCTCTATTGATATAGCAGAATAATTTTAATTTATTATACAAGCGCCGCCTAGCGTTACTAAATCAGATGGCGAAAGTGACGTATCAAATAGAGATCGGCCTCTAAAAGATTATATAATATTTTTCAATGAAATTCAGAAAACTTGAACATAGTTTAAATGTTTAAAGACTTTTCTTGAAAATAAAATGATTATAATTGCTAATTTACTAAATGTTCAAAAGAAGCAAATGTTTCATTCATTCTTAGTTGAAAGACTAAATGATAAATAAATAATAAAATAAAAGATAGAGGAGGAGTTTGAATGGCTTCTTGAACAAATTCAGTAAAGGATTAATTTGCTTGCTCAAAGAGCAAATATGTAATATGTTTTTTTAATTTCTATAGAGAAAGAGAGAGAGAGAGAGAGAGAGAAAGGGAGGGAGAAAGGATAATAGAATGGTTAAAACAACGAGGGCGTTAGAATATTAATTTATGAAATTAATGAATAAATATTTAAAAGCTGCGTGAAAAACTTTGATAATAAAACATATAATGACAATACATTTTTTAGTAGTAAAAGTCAAATAGATATTTGTACATAATTTCTTAGATATTTACTAAAAGGTGCTATCGTTAATCAACCGTTAGATTTGTTAGAGAGTTGCCGGTCGAGTAATTATCATTGATAGTAAACAAAGAAGAAACAAATACATATTTTTCTATACACTAGACATAATACAGCATACCTAGAGAGTGTTTAAAAAAAAACATATATACACTATCTGAAATAATCAAGTCGATATTCAATAGCTGTTTTTGCTGGTTTGTAGGATATTTCAGTGAAATTTTTGCTGATTAACAGGAACAATTGAGTAGTATAAGAATCAATAATAGATTCGTTTATAAAAGATATTAGAAAATTAAAAGAAAGACCTCTCGATAAATATCGCACAATGTATAAAAACTATATAAAACATGGAAGGGTTTTAGAATGGAATAGAAAATTAGCTATTTACCAAAAGAAACTACTAAACAACTCGATTAGACTTGGGAAAATAGGAGATCAAATTTATTAGATCCTATTGCTTGATCTTAGCTATTAGCTCTTTACTCAATGTTGGCTAGATATAAGAAATATAAACCTTCTTTTTTTCTATACAATCTATACTTATTTATAGAATCTTATCGAAGCTATGCAAAAACGATTTTTAAAAGATTTATAAAATCTGCTGTCTCATATCAACATTCATTCCATACAACTTAACAAATATTTAGTTAATATAGATGGCAATATTAAAGAGAAAAAGTTGTAGAAACAGTTTTACAATATTTACATAAAAAGAGTAAAAAACTATCTACAAATACAATGATTTTAATATATAAAGTATATTTAGCGTATATTTTATTATTATTATTATTATTATATATATATATATTCTCATTCTTTCCATAGATTAAAAACTATAGGCTTGAATTTCCTTCTACTTGGAAAAGAAACAAATTTCATAAAGTGTACAACATGTTTCTTTCTATTATTATTAAAATCATTATCATTAGTTTTATATATTCCTACTATCGGCAGATCAGTTTTTATAATTTCTATTTGAAAATTAAAGTAATGAATTAGCCATGTTTATACTGTATATATATAGACTTGTTCAAGTTTCTAACCGATATTCCATATCTATTAAATAAATCAGTGTAATTTTGATTATTTCAACAATTTTCCTCGTTATATTAGCTTACTAATTGTGGTATTTTGTTGAAAAACAATAAACTAAGCCACAATTTACATCTCGCCCTTTTCTTTCACTTTAATATTATTATTATATATTTTCTTTACTCTCTGATAAGCGCCATCTAGTATGTGAAAATAATTCTATCGATAGTCAATCTATAAACTCTATTATATATGTACAAATAACTTTTAACGACCGGAAAGCTCGTGTTAATTCTGTATTGTTTATGGTCAACGTTTAAAGAAAGAGTAGAAAAATGAGTAAAGATAAGAACAAAGAGGACTTTCAATGAATATATTTTCGCGTATAAAGAGAATATTCGGTAAATTTAAATTGTCTACTGAAATATACAAGGCTTTATAGATCACATCCCCTAGCTTTCCTTCCCCCGAGTCGGAACTGTTTACTGAAACAACAAGCGGAGCAGAGCTATTGAATTTCTTTTGCCTTTCTACTTTTAAGGTTTGAATAAAAGATTTGAAGGGGAAATTTTTTTAAGCTACGTTATCAAAGTTTCCTTGAAATTGTTTGTAAGAAATACTTAATTGTTGCTTTAGCTAGAGAGATTGATACGTTAAACTTTCTCGCAAACCTCTTATTTCACGCTTGTAAACAAATTTTTAAGAGCTTTTCAATCAAGTATCTCCTAAGGCTATCTTATACGAGGTTAGTAGGTTTGTTGATTTATCTTTACTAAAAAGCCACCTCTTATAGAGCATCTATTTTCGGCACAAGTACGTAGAGTACTCAAAACTGATACTTGACAACTTTTCTCGCCAAAGTATAAAACTTATTATCTTAAAACAAAGTCAAACAATGAGTATGTATGTACAAGCATATACGGTATAGTAAGTATTTGACTTTCCCCTTAGACACCCAAAAAAATAGAGATAGACGATAGACGAGTAGAGTGTGAGTACTCATTTCATACATATTGCTTACCTTTTATAAATTTCATCATTTAGTCTATATCTCTGTATCGTTTTCCTCTTCTTCCTCTTCTAACTATATATTTATTTAGATATAAGATTTTCATTTGTATATATAGTATTTATATTACTATATAAAATACATATTTTCATATTCGTTGGTGTAAATGTCTGCTATTCGTTGATCATAATTGAAAATCTATATATTTATATAGCATATACACAGTATATGAACGTATACAGTATATTCTTCTATGGCATATGAAATATGCCATATACTTATACAACGTATATACAGTATAGTATAACTACTGTATATGCATATGTGTTAATTCATATTTCATCAATATTATTCTTTTTAATATAAACAATAAAAAAGTGCATAAAGGCCTAAATTCTTCAAGCTGGACGTTTAATGGAAATCTTGAGAATATTCAACTCTTTACCCCTTCCGCCCTCCTTCCTTCTACCCCCCTTTTTTTTCTCTTTTCGGAAAAATGACTCATTTACTTTCCTGTTGATTATACGAATTCCCCGAATTCCAATCATGTTTTTAGTCATAGAAGGATTTTGATAATGCAATATAAAGTATAGTAAGGAAATTGTGTTTGGAAAGAGAAAGTTGCATGCTAAACAATTTTCGTTCCCAACTGTTTAACAAGATTATTTGACTATGAATTAATTAATAAAGGCGATAATATAACTTAAATAGAAAATATCAAATATAAGTATTTAATATAGAATATAAACTTATATGCTGTAAATATATACATATTTATAGTTTGTTATATATTAAAACCTTTCTTTGTGAGAGAGAGAGAGAGAGAGAGAGAGAGAGGGGGGGAGAGAGAGAGGAAAAAGAGAAATAATTTCAAAAAACTTTTTTTACACATTGAAATTGCCAGTTTATTTATATTCTATTACTTGTATTATGAATAGTAAGATTTTCTTCTTCGTTATTCTTTTCATGAATCAGAAATTATTTTTAGAAAAACACATCAAAAATAGGGAAAAAGTGTTTAGACTCTACGGATAATAAACACACAAAAAAATGAAGAGTAAAATGAGCATGCGCCAACAGAGGGCTTAAAAACTCTGCAGCAAGCTGGTGCAGATCAGTTGGACAGTTGCATTGCTAGCTGCCCTCTTACACTGCTGCAATACTGCAATACTGCAATTATATTTATAGCTATATACGTATATAAATAAAAATTTAGATATATTTATATATATATATATAAATTTTAAAAATTTCTACAAAGATACGAACAGAATCGTGCAAGGTTAGTATTGATTTTTAATTGTCTAGACGAGTAAATGCATGTATATCGATTTATAAGCTGAAAAATAGTCTGCGAAAGGTCGACACCTTAGCACTCTGAGAGTATGGAAGCAAAAAAAAGTAAAAGATTTGTCTTAGTTCTCCAAACCTAATAGTCTGAATATTTTATCGATTTTTCATTGAAAAGAAGAGAAACGTTAATATTTCTTATCGTATAGTGCTAATACTTCTTCTACTTCTTCTTCTTCTCCTCCTTAGATGATAGATAAGAGAGAAGAAAGAGTTGCTCCCTATATACGTTTTATATCATTTTCTTATCTTTTTTTAAAACAAGAAAATTGCAAGATAGAGATAGAGAGAGAGAGAGAGGGGGGGGAGAGTGGGAGAATAGATACATTTTTTCCCATTTCTATTAATAGATGTAATACTTTTTATAAAAAATGGTATGGAACTATTGATTTGAAAAAGGACCTAGTGCTTTTTGAATAGAAACCATCAGTTATAATATTACGAAGTATTCTTGAAAGATTCAAATATATTGATAAAAAGTATTCTTTATTCAAATGTTGGAAGGATAGGCCAAAAATCTAAAACTTACGAAACTCTTATACGTTGATTATGGTGGTAAAAAACCAACAGCTTTTGCTATTTATCACACATTCTTGCATATTATATCATATATTTGCAATTTCAATTCGATCTGATCATATTTTAGCATCTCTTTCCGTCTGTCTTTCTCTATCTCTCTATCTCTAAATCTTTTCCGTTTGGTTTATGCGGAATGTGAATGCAAATACGTTGCTATAATCCTAAAAGATCTATTAAAATATCCTTAATTCATCAATTTAATTGATAATAAAACAAAGTACATGTGATATAAATCACGTTCGGTTAACATTGATAAGTCTATTATAATTCTAGTTTTATCATTGACCTAATTCTTTTAACCATTCTTTTCCTCATAGGAAGGGGAAAACGCCTTCTATTAGTATTTTTTTCACTAGAATTGATGGCAAACTATTCAATTCATCTTAATAAAAAATATTCTTTTTATGCAAAAACACGAATTACACAATAAATATTGTTTACAGTGAATTCCAGGAATAAGCACGTTCTGTTAATAAACCCTTAACCAGTCTATTTGCCATATAAGCCTAGAAATATAATTATACAATGTTACAGGCTATGTAACAAAACTAAAAATCGTAGATAATCCAGTTAATCATCCCAAAAAATATTTACTATTCATCCCCAACCGCTGCACGCTCTGTCAATAACCTTCGAACCGTGTTTGTACTGTAAGCCTATACGATTATATACAATTGCAAACTGCTCACGTATATAGTTAACAGACATTTATTTTTAATATATAGGTAGAAAAAAACAGCTATGGCAACCTATAAATCAGAAATTTATATACCGGCAAAGAATATACCTATAAGGAAAGATAGTAGAAGTTTCGAGGAAAGACACAAGACTTTATTCGAGGAGATGCAAGAAAGAATGGAGCAGCGAAGGAGAGAATGGAGAGATGAAGTTGAATTAATGAGGCAGTCCCTATTTAAATTGGATCCAATTGATTCAATGAGGAATGAGATGAGATTAAAGGATATGGATTTGAAATCCATGTTTTTCGACGGCTGTGGATCACCATCGATTGTGAGAAAGGCAAAAAATTCTCCAGGTAAGATACTTATATTATTTTAAAGATATCTTATCCCTTTTTACCCTCTTTTACACCTTTTTGTAGTTAGAAAGGGTGTAAACAAATGATCATAAATTGTTTCTTCTTGAGGATTATAATGCTGTAAATATTTAATTAGCAAAGCAAATACAATAAAAAATTTCTTTTCTAGCCTAATTCAATCGATCAACTATTTCTCTTAACGAATTACTCAAATTTTGAAGCGCCCTAAGGATATTTCCCAAAGAATCGATTAGGACCGCGATGTTTCTAACGGGAATACTTATATCCTGTATAAAATATTTTCTCTCAACCTCTCCTACTCCCCCTCGCCACTCCCCTTCACACATTTTCTCTTCCAAGGGTTCTTTTTTAATGTAATGTAAGAATAAAAGTACTATAGATAAAAGAAAAGATAACAATTCTGTACAGTTCAACAATAGGACACTTTTTAAGGTGACGATAGAAAAGATATATAAATGAATATAAATATACAGTATACAATATACTGTATACTGTTTGTTTGTTTGTCTTTTTTGTTAACGATTTCGCTCCTCGTCATCTTATAAATAAAGAAAGACATTTAAATGTAATCTATCTAACAAGGTCCAATTGCGCCACATGGCTTAAGTTTATACTAGAGAGAGCGAGCGAGAGAGAAGGAATAAAAAAGAAAAAAGACAAGGATTTAATAGAATCTGTTTATTTTATTGAATTGTTAGTTAAAAGCAGAACGAATTTACTGATGGATGTTTATTTTACAGGACCCGGTAAACTCTTTAAAGTTAGCTTTGATGTTAAAGAATTTAAACCAGAAGAGATAACTGTTAAAACGAAGGACGATAGACTTGTTGTTGAGGCGCAGCACGAGGAAAAGATTGGTCAGAAAACATCTACTAAATCCTTCTCGAAAACTGTGGAACTACCAAAACAAGTAAATGCTGACTCATTAGTAAGTTCACTGAGTTCGGATGGAATCTTACAAGTTGAAGCTCCTGTATCAGCTCCTGCTTATCAAGAAATTGTATCTTCTAAACGATTTTCGTCAGAAACAAGTTCCACTTCTTCACCATCTATCGCACGGAGAGGAGGATGGATTACGGAAGATGAAAATAAAATGAAATTGGTAATTGACGTAAATCCGGAATACGAATTAGAAGATATTAAAGTAACAACAGAAGGGAAGAAGTTAAAAATTAAAGGAAAGCACGAAGTTAAATCTGCAACCGGAAGTAGATCATGCGAATTTAGTAGAGAAATTGATTTACCTCACAACTGCAATCCAGACTCGATTAAAGCTCTTATGAATGACGCTGGCCAATTATTAATTAACGTTGAACTTTTTGGAATGCAGCAAAACCAAATTGAAAGTTAAAAAGAAAGAAAGAGAAAGAGATAGATAGAGAAAAGGAAAAAACTCAAAAAAGTATACTTTTTAACCTGCCATATTAAAAGAAAATTATCCACATGCACAAAAATTTAGCGTACATTTGTCAACCTCTTGAAAGTGAGAAGCAAACTTTTTCTTGCATTAAAAAACAAAACAATAAAAAAAAAGAAAACTAAAAGAAAAAAACAAGATGATAGTTTGACCTATATTTTTTTTATACAACATAGTCTTTAACGTCAAGTGCTTTACCTTTTGATTGAATAAATATTATCTGTTTTTTATTTCATCACTATTTATATAGATATACAAAAAGAAAGACAGAGCGAACGAGTTGTGAGCATTAATGCCACCTATCGGATTAAAGTATAAACATATTATATACAGTATATACAGTAGATATTAATTTATCAACACGATAAAGGAAGAATCTTGTCTTATTCCTCTTTTTTATTTACTAAAAGAAGAATCTAAAAATTTGAATGTTTTATTATTTTAAATGAAAAATAACAAATACTGTTTTAGTAGGAAAGGCAACGGTAAATGATTAACTTTATTATATAGATTTCTATCTAATTGCTTATATATAACTACTCTTGCTATTTGCTTTAAACTCCTTGGGCTTTCTATGAAATGAATTAAAATGTTCCTAAATCTTGATTCAACTGTCGCCAAATATCCTTTGTTGATAGCATATAGAGTCGGATGACTAACACTATTGCAGATTAAATACAAGAGTTTTTCGGCGACGTAATTGCCAACTTTAGAATTTGGTAATGACTGTAATTCATCTATAGTCAATTGTAGTATTCCATTAGAGGTTTTCTTTAAAAAGAAACAACTTTGGGAAGAACGAAATTCTAGATCTAAAGCGTATGGTTCAATATCTGGATTTGCTCCTCTTTGCAGTTGCCATTCTACAATTTTATATAAGAAATTTGCACCGGCTTCACTCCTTACTGTACTTATCGCTCGGATAGTCTGAGCTAAAATATTTGCAGGTGGTTGACCTGTTTTGTTAGGGTCTAACCCATTTTTGAATAACGTCTCGTAAATTGATATCGTAAAATCTGACATATTCGGATTATGAATAGATTTTTCCGTAAGTTTCGTCAATGAAGCGACAATCATATTATGGATATTTCGATTAAGATCCAATTTGGTTCCGTATTTACATAAAGTTGACATTAATTTAATTAATTCGTTGGAATTTTTTGAAACAAGTTGCCATTTTGCTTCGAGTATCGATTGAAGAACTATTATTATAGAAGATCTTCCCGCTGCGGTTAAGGAACAAACGTCTGCTTCGTGTCGACATAAAATAGATAGGGCTGAGTTCAAAACCTCCATATTTATCTCGTAGAATTCCCTTTGTGGTAAGCTATCGGCAGTAATCCCTCTTGGTTCGTTACTCAGTACAAAATCAAATGTTAAAAGTAGTTTATGTAGTGCTGTTACTCCACTTGAATTGAAGATATTAGCGTCTACATTATGCAGTAATAGTAATTCAAGAGTTTTAATAACTTGCTCATTAAAATTCTCTTGGTCAGTGGCGTCTTGTGAGAGCGTTTCTAATTTTCTATTGCATAGTAATACTAGGAAATGTAAAACGGTATTCTTGTCCCTATCCAACGTATTTACACTGCTTTCTAAGCCGTGTCCCAAAAGAAGTTTAGTTACTTCGTATAATTCGAGAGGATTACGTAAATTCCTAAAGAAGTGATGAAGTACGCCACCATTTGCATTATGGCAATGAACGTCCGCGCCAAAATCTAGAAGACGTTGAACAACTTTCTTGCCAACTGAAACGCCATACATTAGAGGCGTCATCTGACAATCATCTTTCGTATTTATTCCTTCCTTGGTCGTAAAATATTCTAAACACGCCAAACTACTATTCTCAGCAGCCCAATGAAGAGGATAACTGGAAAATTATTAAATAATTAGTTAATTTGTTAGATAATTGATTAACTGATTGATTAATTGTATTAAATACAAAAATTAAGCGAACAGAAAAAAACATGTTACAAGTCTCTTATTTAAATAAATACTCATAAAACTATACAAACCATTTTGATAGACGAGATTTCTTCCAGATTTTATCAACAATAGCCACGTGATCTCCTTCAATTGCGCACATTAACGGCAATTTAGAATTTGTATCGCACAGGAAGATATCCGTTTCCAAAAAGTGAAATCTAGATGGAACGTGTTTAATAGGTAGATGAGGTTTAGGCCAACACATTCCGCACTTTTTATTCAGATTAGCACCTAAATCTAGGAGATGTAGAACAAGATCAATATCTCCTTTTGAAGAAGCTATGTGCAGGGGAGGAGAACATTTTCCTAAATCAGGACTTACTCCTTCTGATATTAAAAGGTCTATAATCTCTATATCCCGGTAAGCTGTTGCAGTTTGCAGTAAATTATATCCACAGCCATTGGTTACTTGAAGAAGAGATTCAATATCTGTGCAATTTTTAAAAACTTTTTGGAATGTAACGAAAAGGTAAGTTTTCTTGAGAAGGTCATCTTCTTTTCGCCTTTCTTCAAGTAACTGATAGAGAGAGAGAGAAAGAAAGAAACAAATTGAAACAAATTGAAACAAATTGAATAGAATTGAATAGAATTGATCAAAAGACGTTGGAAATTCATCTATTTACCTTAAATAATTGAGCGGCTAAAGTAACAGTTTCTTCGGATGGAGTCTGATACGAGATTGAAGAACCAAGAATTGGTTTTAAGTGATAAAAAAGGTAATTAACCCATCTGTTAGCCTTTTTCCATAACTGTGTCGATTGCATTCTATGAATGGTGGTTGAATACCGAAATGAAGATTATTGTACATTGAACGGTATATATATCTATACGTTGTATCTCTTATCGGAAAAGGTCAAATAAAGTGATAAAATAATCATAATGAACAATTATTATATAACAAAGCTGTATTTTCTATATAAAGTAATAGTAAATTGCACTGTATAGTAATTAATCTAATACTGCTTCCGCATAATAATCTATATGCTATGTCTACTTATTAACGGATTTTACACTAATCAACCTTAACAATTGATGTATAAAGAAAAAGAACAACAAGTTTGAACGTAGAATTGTTTTACTTAAAGAAATGTATGTTGTTATCGCGATAAAAAAAGTGAATAACACTAGAGCATTTAAAATAGATATCTTTTATCAGACGTGTCTCTATTTTAATAAAAAACAAAACGAAGAAAATAAGATGCAAACAACAGACAAAAAAGACATATTTATCTTCTTATTATTGTTATTAGTATTATTATTTATAGTATTTTTCAACTCGCGATTTGTTCATTAGGTTGTTCGTCAGTTTCCGGTAAAGTTTCCTTCAGAGCTATCTTTTCTGGCCTAATGTCAATTTGGTTTGGATATAAATTACTTAACCTTTTCACCTCATCCTCTTGAATTACTCTTTTCAGTAGCCGTAACGAGTAGATTTGTCCTCTATAGTCTCTTTGGGACTTGATGTTTTCAGATGTGCCTAGAAAGAGACCCGAAGTAGATCTTTCAATTTCTCCTTCGTTGCACACTTCATTTCGACTAACTTGTCTCGAGTCTAAATATTGTGTGAGAACTTTGTTAGACGCATCAAAAGTCGCCAGATAATGATGAACCTTATTATTATAATCTTGTGGACGTTTATCTAAAGGATAAAAAGTGCCGCACTGATTTTTAAAATAAAAAAATGGACCATTCTCTTCCCCAAGTGTTTTCAAATTCCCATTCCTTATGCCAAAATAATCTTCTAAGACCATAAGATAACCTCCAAAATTATTATCCGTAGGATTATACCATATTTCAACTGAAAAGTCACTATTTACTAATGTAAGTATTGACGATTTAGGTTGAACTTCTAAATAGCAATTATTCTTTTGTACTAAGTTTGATAAAGAGAATGCAATAGAACCAACGCCAGCTTCTAGAGCAGTATTTTCTTGTTTACATACAACTTTACCGTTATTACTATACGAGCTTTTATCTTTTATTATCTGTCCATTGTCGATCGTACTACCCTTAGTAAGCTCTTTAAAATTCAAATCTAAAACAGTTGATTTATCGTTCGATGTGGGCCGATCTACAAAATTAGTAATCGTATGATATAATTAGAGACTAAATATACATTATATACAATTACCCCTTATAGCCAAAAAGAAGGCTGTGTCTTTACTGATGATATTTTTTGGTTTAAAAAAAGTCAATTTAAGATGTTCATCACCGTAACAGTAACAAGTTGTCTTGGAAAAAGCAAAGTATGCCAATTGCATACAAATTAAACATTTCCTAGAACATTCCAACTGAATAGACTCTTGACGATGCAGGGTATTTAGGGTAAACTTTTCTTTTGGCGATGGTAGAGGATGTGTTACTTGAATAAGTTTAAAATAGTTTATTTTTAACTCTGAACAGTAAATTGTAATGAAAAATGATGAAATGTATAAACAATTCAATGACAAACTTTCCATTTCTCAAACTTATTTTTATGCTGTCGAAGTCTGAAATGGAAAATATTCAAGAAGCAAAGTTACTTTTATAAACTTTTTCTCTTGCTTTTATATGCTTAACATCTAAAGAAAACTAAATCACAATATTCAATGTGTTGTACATATAAAGTTTATTGAATATTCTATATACATATATATAAATATATATATATTAACAGTAGATAATCAATTAAATGTGCCTTAAAATAACACCCCAGGAGTAGGTCAATTACCTCCTTACAAAGAGCAACGTCTTTGTAATTATTCTATAAGATTCAATGAATTGTAGTAAATGATTAATAAATATTACTATGAATTATTTATTTATTTATTCCGATGGATAGAGAGAAATCACATTGGAACACTTGATACTATTCACGTTTAACTAGCGGTGCGTTTCTGGTATAAGCTGTACTTCGTTCGGATAGAGAAAACTCAGCTGTTTTATCTCTACTCTTTGTAATATTCTATTTAACAATCGAAAAGAATATATTGTTCCTCTATAATCTCTAGTCGAACCATTGGGCGCCCCAGGCAGGGTTGGTTGAATCGATTGACGACGAGTTATAATGCTTGGATAATCGCAGAGAACGTGTGAAGAAACTTCCTCACCATCCAGGTATTGTTTCACTACCTTTAAATTAAAATCAACTGTAACAATCAAATGATGAATTGTATTATCGTAATTAAGCGTTTTATTATTCGTATAGAAAATTTTTCCATTAGGACACGACTCTATAAAGAAAGCTGGTCCTATTTTATCAGTTGCGTTCTCTCCATTCAGTATACCAAAAAAAGTTGGATATAAGAAAATATAGCTACTATGTAAATTATCTTTAGGCCTATACCACAACTCGATGGAAAACGTTTTAGGATTTGACGATCTCCACGAAGCTAAAGAATTCTGATAATTAATTCGACACTGATTCTGTAAAACTAAATCTGATTCGGAAAACTTTATACCGCCTATTCCGGTTACCATTCCTCTAGTTCGACCATCGCACTCAACTCGATACGTTAACATGATACTGCTTGAATCGGTTAACATCAAGTTGGTATTTAACATACCGGGTTTCACATCTTTAAAGTTTGTATTTATAATTGTACTACCGTCCACCAGTGTAGGAAGTGCTAAATATAAAGGGAAAATAGAAACATAATATTAAAAAAATTGGATTGAACAAACTCATGTAAGCCAATTGATAGTTTTCTCCCTGAAGAGAATTCGTCTGATAAAAGGTTTCGGCCAAACTATCCTTATCATATAAAAAACATTCCGACGAAGAGAAAGTTACAAATGAACATTTCAAGCTCGATCTGCAGTAACTGAAGCATGACAGCCCTGGATTTTGTGTCGCTCCCGGAAGATTTATTTTAGATTGGGGTTGTGGAAATGGTTCCTTAACTTTTATCAAAGAAAATAATCTACCTTGATCGGCTTTTATGCAAATTGTAAAGAAATTAACGAACGAAAAGCTGAAAGTGAGACAAAGTTTAACCATAGCGTCTTATCGCTCTACGCACAAAGAGTGAAACTCTGAGTGTGTGTACAAATCTCAATAAACCGGTCATCTCAATAAAAAATCATGTCATAGAATTTCAATATATTACCTATTCTTCATACATTGATGGTAAATAAACCTTAAAGGGAAGATATCGAACATTACATATCAATAAACATCAATTTATGAATATTTAACTACAATCAATACATTATATTATTATAATGATCTCTCTATTGCTATTAATATTTTAAAACATTAATCGAAACAAGAAAAGGGAGAGAATGAAAACACGAACCTCCTTCTTAATGAATAATATTGACAATAAAAACTAACTAAAAAATAAAGGCCTATATTTAGAACTGACTGAAGAAAGTGTTGTTTTCGTTCGTCACGTAGCATTCAAATTGCTGTTGTCTCTTGTAGTATAGTATATATAATTTACAACTAAGAATAAAAGATGGAAATAATTAACAAACAACAGTCTTTATTACATTAATGTTTATTGCGAGTGGGAAAATATATATATTATTTATAAACAGGAAGAAGGACGGACTCTGTTTACATAGTATGCATCTCACATATTGTGATTTATCCGTAAAAATGTCATCAAATTGATGCTTTAGCGTCTCTTACAAAGTTAATATAGTAATATTTCTTTACTCGTGTCATACTTCCAAGAAAATTCCTATTAAGTGAAAAGAAAGAGGTTAAAATCTAGATTAGTTCATTGAAATGTACATAAAAAGTACAAGTTTGACCTTAAAAGGTTATGCAAGAGATATGAACGTACACTTGTATACTGAGAACTTTAGAGTATATTGTACTAGTCCAATATAAATACACGTGCGAGTTGTTACCAGTCACTTAAAAATCTTGTTGTACTCGTCTGACGCAGAAAGACTAAGAGACCCTATTATCTACGGTTTGCCGTATGATTAACTATACTAAATTCAATGTAAAGCATTAACAAAAACCAATACAAAGAGATATTAAGCAATTTATACACAGAATATATGTATATATATACTGTATGTATTGTCTTTTTACTTAGATCTGTATTAAGCGCTTGGGAATATTATCTTACAGAGTTTACTTCCTTTATTTTCCTATTTTTTTCTAATTGCTCTATATTAAGATTGGAAGAAGATGTACAAGCCTGAGGTAAAAGTTCTTTAGATATTAAAATAACCAAAAAAAAGTATCGAAATAGATTATTATTAGTCATAATTCAATTTTTATCCTCTCCGTGGGCGTAGAAAAATCTCTCATATTAAAGAGGAAGGCTGGAAAGGAGGAAAAAACAAGATAATTAAATGACAGTTACCAATTAAAATATATGTTGACGATCATAATCAGTAGCCTACTCTACTGGAAAAATTACTTTGGCCTAGAATAATATAAGACTGTGTCAAGGACAGACTTTTTTCTTTCATTAGTTTGGCAGAGTTTACAAGTCTATTGGGAGAAGAGAGAGTGTTACAAGAAATGTAACTTTTGTATACTTAAATCTAATATATATTCAGTATATATACAAATTATATATATATATATATATACTGTATGTATTTATTTATAGCATTTGTTTTCTTAATGTCTTTTTTAAACTTGCAAATATTTAATTTGTTCTTTTTTTTAATGAATTTCTTAAATAACGAAGTGATAAGTAAAAATTAGATAACAAGTTATGATTACACGATATTATTAATCTTCTTATGAACAATAATCAACTGTTTTGGTCATCTGCATTTAAAAAAATATATGATATATATATACATGTGTTCTATTTTAAACTATAGTGTATTTTTTATGCATTCATTTTATCCTTATACTGTATACTGTATATAGTTTTTATTTATCTATAGATAACTTTTGTTATTTAACCTTTTAAAAGAAACAATAAAGGTGTTCCTTGAAATTTCTTAATTAATCTGCTAGAGCGAAAGATGAGAGAATGATAAAGCGAAGTGTTCGAACAAGATGGAAGTTTTTTGATAATGATTCATAGAAATGCTAGTTTACAACCTTAACTCTATAGAACTTGGTCACGTTCAACAATTCCCAAATATCGTAGATTTAACAAAGATTCTATTCAGTCTAATTGATGTATTTTGTACCAATCAAAATCTCTTCTTGAAAGATAATTACAGTAAAAATATCTGGAAAGAAGCCACGTTGCCAAGGTTGTTCTTTCTCTTTCTATCCGTCTCCATGAAATTGTCAAATCAAAGGGAAAATCTTTAATAAGAGGTATTGGGAAATGGTATATAGTTAAGAAGTGAAATAGATAATCCCGATCTTTTAATAATACTATAACAACTAATGTGTATTTCATATCAAAGGAGAAAATTTAGCAAATTTGAAACAACTAGACAAAAGGTGAAAAGGGGTTAAGGTGAGAAAAATAAGGAGACAGTTATATAGAAGAAAAGTCGACAGAGTGTAGTTTAGAAAGATATCAGCCCATCAGAGGAAAACAATTAAGTGGAAAAAATGCAAAGCAAATTTATCTTTCTGGAACATTTTATGCTCTTGGGGAATATATGAACAGTGCACTTAGTACAATCATAAACTAAACTTTATTCTACATATACTTTATATACACTTTTTTATATACTTGTATATTCATTTAAAGGCATAAAATATTCTTTAGAAATATACATACATGCATATATATATACAGTATATATATGTATATATATATACTGTATATATATTGAATTATATACAGTACATGAACAAAAAAGGCAATGTATACTGAATATATGCTTTATCTGTGTATTCTTTTATTTTAGTTGTCTTTTTCCTGCTTTTCGAAAAAATTTTCTCCAAAAAAGAAAATCGATGATAGAACGAAAAAACGTTCAAAAGGAAAAAGGATAGAATAAATAATCATCAATTTTTCATCCCCAAAATAATTTTTTCTGACATCGGCAATTAGCGTTCCATAAATTACATTTGCAAGTGTAACCTTCACAGCACGTACCGCACCATTCTCCACTTAAACCGCAAAAACTTTTCAGATACCATTTCGTCCTGTTGACAGTATTATATTTAAATGTATATTGTTAATAAACGCTATAAACGTTTAAATTGTGTATATACAATATATATACAATATATATCAAACATGATCCATTATTTACATAAACTTGTTTTTGTTTTTATGTTATCGTTAAACTTTACAGTCATTTACATGCTTCAGCGAATTATTTTATACTTTACCGTTTTGCCGTTCGCAATCTATCTAATGCTTCTATCATTTCTTTCTTGTCTGGGGAAAAATAAATAACAATATTTCAATTTAGACAATTTCTTTTAATCAAAAAGTCAAACCAAATTGTTTTATATAATTTATACAATTGTACGATTTATTGTCCGCCTTTGTAGTCTTTTAATAAATTTTCTGTTGAATGAGTAATAAGAAATGGAAGATGCGGAGATGGAAGAGAGAGAGAGAAAGACGGATAGATGAAAAAATTGGAACAAATAGAAAAAAGAGAGAGACAAAGAGTTATAAAGAAAGATTAGAAGAAAAAAGACAAGGATAATTTTTCAACTGCTTTTTTTTCCCTTTTTCTTTTTTTATATCTTTCTTTTTCTCTCTTTCGATTATTAACTTTTTATAAATGATCTTTATATAGTAAACTTTCTCTTTTTTCCTTTCTTTTCTTTATTCTACTTCAATTGAAAGTAATATTGAAATTAAAAATTGACATATTTCCAATGATTTTTAAATACAAATGAATGAAAAACATGTCTTTCTACTGAATTCTTTCAGAAAGAGAAAGAGAAAGAAAGACAATTACAACCAAAAATACGCATATATATATATGTACAAACAGAAAAAAGAAAAGATGGAAAATAAAACCGGAAATAACTAGAAAGTGTTTTAAAAGGAAATTATTTCCATATAAAAAAAATAAGATATGAAACAGAAATAAAACAAACCAGAAAGAACCATAACTGTAGTTAAATACAAAAGTGCAATGAGCATCGTTTTCTTCATGTTTCGGCGTCCACTTCTTTTTGAAGCGTCACTGCCAGTGCTGCCGACTATATATAAAATTTAGAAACGCGTCAAAGGGGTCTAAAAATAGATCTGATTCATTGTATGTTTATTTTTACTATCATTGAGAAAGGGTAAAAAAAGAAAAAAATCACGCTACGCGCAATGCTTAGTAATACTATGTTTTTTGGATTGGCATTCCCCATTATAAACTGTCATTTAGTAGTATTTTACGGGTTGGAATTCAATAAGGGACTTATCGATTAAACATTCTAGACAAAACATCAAAGCTTGTAGTACTTGCTAATTGATTACTTTATTCAGTTAAAATGCTCAGTTCGGCCTTGCTCTAAAAGTTCGTCCATATTACTTCTATATAAACACTGATAATTAGCTGATAAGCCGGGATTCTGCTCTATTATTTTACACAGGTAAACATTTATTGTTTTCTATTAATCAACGCTGGCGGATTAGGGGATTTCTTGTATAGTTAACGGATTAAGAAGAAACTGAATAGGACTTGTAAAAATAAAATTAGACAATAAAAAGAGATTACAAACGAATCTAAGAAATGAAAGGAATTACTGTTAATCATATCAGTTTTTTTGTTATTTATTTAGTATGAATAAAAAGAAAAAGATAACAAAAGTATTTTTCATTAATATCTCTCATTTCTTTTTTTTATTACTCAATTCAAAGAGAGTGGGAGAGAGAGAGAGAGGGAAGGAGGAAGAGACGAAAAGAGAAAGAATAAATGAATGAATGTATAGACAATGTTCTCTGATACTTTTAATGAAAGAAAGTATTTTCCAAAAAACTTTATATATTGGGGAAAATTCATTTGATTAATAGGTAATTGTACCTAGGCCCAATAAATACTTTCTCTTAAGTTATTCCTATTCGGATTAACCTGATATTGAACCTAATCCCCTTTTATAATCGTAAATTACTAGGGGACCGCCAAATTAGACGAAAATTTCTTATCGATTCGGTTTCTTTTTTTCTTCTCTTCTATACTAGGAAATTAAAAACGAAGGATAGAGAAAAGAGGGAAGACTAAGAAAAGAGCGTATTGAATGAACAAATTCTAGAAATACTCTTGGTTATAAATAGTTGGAATAAAGAAAACCGGAAATATGTAATGACATATATCACTTTGGGTATTTTCAATATGCACTTACTAAGGCAATAGGGTGTAGAGGTCGTTAGGTTATTGATAAATTGAGGGTGGGTGTATATATAAATACTGTTTATATATATATATATATAACTGTATACAAGAAATATATATATATATATATATAAGGAAAGAGAGAGAATGAGAGAAATATTCATTGATTATTGCCACATTCCCTTTGTCTCATTCAATTCAGTTAGCAACAATTTCATTTCTTTTTGAAAAAGATTCAAACAATTGAAATAATAGAGAAAGATAGATAGAGAGAGGGGGAGAGAATGTTGAAAATGTATTATCCTCATTTAGTTAATATATCACAGCATATATTTACATATATATTTAACGCCCACATACTAAACAAATTATTAACAATGGATCATGTAATTATTTAAGGAATCTTGAAAGGGAGTACAATAGCTGGTGTATTAATTATCTTTTAAGTAGTAATTGTACATGTTTTTAACATGCCCAACTAAAAAGAGGAAACACAGAAGAAGGAAATTTCACTGTGTGGAGCGTATGGATACATGAATATATGAATGTTAGAATGAATGAATGATAGATTGAGAGATGGGTAGCTAACTGTAAAATAGAATAAACACCCTGCGTGCATATGTGTGTACAGTATATATTTAAGAATGTATATCGTATAGTATATATTCTATATTCATAATAAATCTTCTCTTTCAAGAGAAATAATTAAACAGATTGATGAATCAATTAAAATCAATATAGTCGTACTTGATTCAACAAATAAATTCGATTTATACATATAGAGAACTTATTATGAAAATAACTTATTACATATAGGGATATACATCGATTATTAGATCGATATATATAGTGTTTAATAAAGAGAGAGAAAGTAATTTTTGTTTCGTAAATGACTTTGTTAAGTTTAATTATTATTATATTGAAAAACTTTAGTTTGTTTTATGTACCGTATGTCTATCATTAAACAATGGGAAAAGATTGAATTTTCAACTTGCCTATTCTACGAATTAAATGAAATATTTGAATTATTAATTACATCTAATGTTCAACTTGATAGCATTATTTATGTTAATAAACAATAGTATGCAAGCTAGCCTTTTTACGGTTGGATTATAAGTACATGTGATATATTTTATAGGCTTATGACTACAAAAAAATAGTGTTTGCACGATATACAGCGCTCGAATCGGTTGTATCGACTACAGGTTACTTAGATATCGAACGGAAAATGAGCGAGAAGGATAGGAAAGGAGTTAGTAGATCAATTTATTAAATTTCTTCTCTCTATTATTTTCTTTCTTCCTCCCTTTCTCATTCTCTACCTGCATGTGTGTATGTGTATGTATGTATGTATGTATGTATGTATGTATGTATGTATGTATGTATGTATGCATGTATATATGTATATATGTATGTCTTTCTCTCACTCTTGCTCTTTATGGATAAATATATTACAGTCTCTCTCTCTCTCTCTCTCTCTCTCTCTCTCTCTTTCTCTCACCTACACCTCTCCTTTACTTCCTCTTTCAGTTCGTGACCTTCCCCCCCCTCTCCCTTCTCTCTTTCTCTCACTCGTTTCTTTTTCCTATTTGTTTTAAACTCGACATGATTAAGCTATAAAAATATTAAACTAATTATAACTCTACTATAATAAACAGCTCTCGAAGCTTTTTCAATAAATGAAACAAATATTTGCCATTAACTCGTATACCTTCTATAAATATATAGAACATATCGTATCATATGTATATATAAATATATATTATATGTCATTTATCTATATATATAGTATACTATATATATATATATACATATACAGTATATAAATTTATAAATCCTTTCCCAAACAAGTTCTATTCTTTAGTCAATTACACATTTCTCTATTCAAGTCCTCTGCCCCCTCTCCTCAGTCGCCCTCTCTCTTTCTCTCTCCCCCGCTTTTCGTCTATTAACAGGATAAATATGTCTTCTCTTTATCAATATATAAATATTTAGATCTATATTTCTTCTTTCAATAGTCTTATAGGAGAATGAGGAGGCCCACGCGAGCTCAAATGGAAGATAGGCGAAGAAAGTCTAAGCCATCTCAGCAGACTGTTTCATCTAATAACAACGGTGATTTTAAAAGATTTTCCGAAAAGAAGGTTCAAACTATTATCGAAGATGTTATGACTGATCTCATATCGAATAACGATTATCAAGCCGATAAAGCCGCTAGTCTAGCAACTGAAATTAGCTTAAGTATCAAATCTAAGGTCAAGGATATAGTTTCTGAGAGATACAAGTTAATTGTCCATACAACAATCGGTGAAAAGAGAAATCAAGGACAAATGGCTTCCAGATGTTTATGGGGACCGTCAAACGATTCGTACGTAAGCCACAAATACGAAAATAAAACAATTGTTGCTGTATCAATCGTTTTTGCTTGTTATTACGATTGAAATAGCTGTAAAAAACAAACCAACAAACAAACAAACAAAAATTTCTATCTTTAATACAAGAGAGTGATGTCTTTTTTTTTTTAAATAAAAGGAAAATAAATAGATGAAAAGTCTTAGTAGAGTTTTGAATTTAAACATATATTTTAAATGGTTAAAAGAAATATTGAACAGAATGCGAAAACGTCAAAGAAAATTCAAGTAAAAAGTACTTAAAGCTAATTTCCCATTATTAAAAATAGCCTCCTTAACAGATTACCGAGAGAGGTCGATATATAAGAGTTTTAATTTGTCTTAACATTAGCATAATAACTCTTATGTTACTTGTATTTGAACTGTTTCAATTTTCTACAATTTATTATCCACTTATAGAGTTTCAAAGATTCACCAATAATGTATTCATTAAATATTTTTTCCTCTTATTGGCTATTGCTAATGTTTCCTCATTGATTGCTTGTTCATTAACTTTTTACGGTATTCAAGTAAGATTATATTACTCTTATCCATCTCTATGATGATCATCATTTTCTCCTTTCTAAAAATAGCTTTTTAAGGATATAGACCAAAGGAAGCATTCGATAAAAACACTGCAAATTTCGCGATTCATTCTATACTTTCAATGTTTCTTGCAAGTTAGTTAGAAAAGAGTGTTGCTATTGTTTGATATTAAAACATAATGTTCTAACATTTCTCTTTCTCTCTCTCTCTCTCTCTCTTTCTCCTTTTTGAAAGTTTTCAACATTTCTATCTTTAGTCTACTTGAATAAAACTTTTCCAGTAAATATACAAAGGGGTTTTAAAGAAAATATGAAAAATTACGGTTACCCTAATTACGAAAATATGAGTAATGAAATAGACAAGTTTCAAGTATAAACTATCTTTAATTATGTATAATTTTTACATATTAGTAAAGCTGTTTTTGTAACATTAACTATTTAATTATATACAGTTAATTAATAATTGCTGTGGCTATGAAAACTACAAGGATTGGTATCGTATCAAATGGATAACTATATCGATAAATCATCGCTCTCCCATCAATTCCTTATTTATGCCTTATAGTCGGAATAGAAACGAATTATATAAAAATCATGGCGCCAAACAAAGAGTTCCTCTAAGGTAATTGAAAGAAAATGTAACAATTATTAGTCGTTCTTCTCGCTTTCTTTTTCCCTTTCAAAAGTTTATATATCAGTTTTTAGAACGTAAACTCTTCTTTTCCTTACTCAACACTTATTAACAAGTATTTTGTTTACTAAAAAGAGAACTGTTATTCTCTCTTTATACCAAAACTAATAGGGCGCCATCTATCGATTTGAGAACCACTAAATCTTTTTTGGAAATACGTAAGATTAATTATTAAGAGCATGGAAACATGGCTGTTGTTGTTCTCATGAGTAACGTTTTACATGGCAAGCGAAAAATAAAAAATGAAAAGAAAAAATTGCGCAGTCGACAGGATTCGAACCTGTGCGGGCAGAGCCCAATGGATTTCTAGTCCATCGCCTTAACCACTCGGCCACGACTGCATCCGTGTGAATAGGGTATCTATATTTCTAACTGAATTTTTTTATTAATATCTAGAAGAAAAAAGTTCTAGTTCACTCGAGAAAAAACAGTTGATTTGGTCGAATAATTATCTTTAATGAATGTAGGCCTACATATTCAATAGAAAATAAACATCCATATTTAATTTTTAGATACTTTATTATAAAAATTTTGAATTTTTAAAGACTATTGTTAGTGTTTAGTATGTTAATCTTTATTTAATTTAGTTTTCTGTGTCCGCCCACCACCCCATTCTCCTCCTACTGCCATTCTCTATTCTCTAATCTCGCTCACCCACACTTCCCCCACTACGTTTCTTTTGGGTATAAAAAAAAGAAAAACAAGCGCCATCTATTAGTATACTTGTATGGTTTTCTTATCCTTTTCCCCTCAACCTCCAACCTTTCCAGTTTAAGCGTTAAAGTCTCTTTCCTTATGGTATTTGTACAAATTATTTCTTTCTTCTTTTGCAGTTGCTGCGAAAGTCGTAGTACTCAACCCTGCTTAAACTCTGATAGATATTCGGGAAGTATTTTGGGAAGAAACTATTTACAGATTGGCAAGGCGCCAACTATTAAACGGAAAGGATGTTTAGTGAAACTTTTACAAATTCTCCCCGTGTGGTACAAAACGTGGGCTAATTATTGTCCTTTGATGTTAGGCCTAATTGGTTGCGTAATGAGTTACTTGTTACCGATTCTTTTGGTATCGATACCCGAGGGAACGCTTGCCACTAAGACCGTTTTTATAAGCAATAGATTTGGTTGTTGTTGATAGGGAAAAAGTGACTAATTAAACTTTTAGAGGCTTTTAAGAATTTTTTGAAATAAAAGCGGCGTCCTTTTGATATTTTAGACGAAAAATCGCGCAGCTGACGTCATGTTGTGTTGATATTTAAACAAAGTGAAAAATTCAACAAGAAGCACATGCTATATACATTATTTTTGAAAATACTCTGTTTTAAGATATTTGCAGACGTTTGTTCGATTTTCTTCGAAAGGAATTATAAAAGAAGAAAGCACGTACGGCGGTCTCCTTGAGGTGCGACCTTCGTGACGTCATGTGGCAGTTAGCAATTATACGCGAACGTACTCTACTCAATGGTACTTATTTAGTTTGGGCATGGAAGTGACGCCTATAATGTTACGTCACTTATTAAATAAGCAAAAGAAAACGATGGAAACGTGCCCGTCGCGTGGCCCTTTATTATTATTATACAACGTATGTACCGTATTGTGATTTTGAACAAAAGTGGATAGTGTTTGCTCTAACCCAACTCGGGGTCATGTGAACGCTTCTTACGCAACTAGTTTTCTATTTGTATATTCAATAAAGAAATTTACAAATTCTCCAATACTTTAGCTAGATTAAGGGAAAAGAAACGAAACGTGCCAATTATGCAATATACCTTACATACCTTTCCTATTCTCTCTTCAACGTTCAACGGTAACAAACACTACGTACAGCCGTATCCATTATACAGTATATAATTTTTATACTATGCATACTGTATATATTTGAATATTAATAATCATAGCCAGCTTCTACTCTTTTGATGACGTTAGAACACTTGAGAAATATATAGAATAAAGAGAATAATAGTAAATATAAAAGAAATTTGTATTGCAATTGTAAATCGATAGCAAAGTATACACAGGTGATTGACAGTCATGTACTAAAATTAAAGAACATTACTTGAAAAAATCTGATACGTTTCTTAGATTCGTTTCTACATCCTCCTCCTCCTCCACCTCTTCCTTCCCACTCCAATAAATAAACAAAAGGAGGGAAAGTACAGTTGAGATTAATTGATAGGTTACAATGAAAATTAAACTCTTCCGATTGCCACTTGTACAATTATGTAACCGGAAAAAAGGGATAATAAGAAACCCATTTAATTCAATCCTTCAATTAGCATCTCGTAGCGAAAAAAACGTTCCGTTCAAAAAAACCCGAAAAAAGGTTATCAGCAACTAATTGCCAACAAATTATTTATTCAGTGTCAAGTGTATCAGCACGCCCTTCTTGCAAAGCTCGCCCTCTGATTGGCTAACGGCGCTCGCGCACGTGGCGCTTATTTAACAGGAAAAGTATTGGCAGCAAAGAACGTTTGCTGCGCAAATCAAACTCTTCCGGCTTCTTTTCATCACTGAAAATATGCGCGATTTCCTAACAAACGGTGAATTTAGTGAAGAAAAAAGACGCCGGAAACGGAAGGGCGTTCAACAGCAGCAACATCAACGTCAAGCAGCTAATATGAGGGAACGAAAACGAATGCAAAGTATAAACGAAGCATTCGAAGGTCTCAGGGCCAGGATTCCTACTTTACCTTATGAAAAAAGATTGTCAAAGGTTGATACGTTACGTTTGGCCATTGGATACATTTCCTTCTTATCCGAACTTATACAATCTGATGAAACTTCCCCTGAAGCTGTTAGAGTTGCCGAGCAGCCAAGGAAGGTTATAATCCACTGTCATTCAGGTAAAACCTTCAATCCCCTCCCTGCACTCTTTCTCTTTCTTATTGTTTTCTTTATTTCTTGCGCTCCCTTGTCATTTCCCCATTAGTTTTCCTAACAATTTAGAAATTTTAATTTGTATCATTTATGAAATAACAAAAGTAAGTAGATCTTATTTATTCAGGTAAATTTTATCCTTATCACTCAAATATTTAACTTAATTAATAAAATATTAAAAGTTATCTTATCTTCTTCTTTCCCCCCAATGCTTTGATCATTTCTCGGTTCAGTAAGTTCGACCCTCTAATATGTAGAAGAGGAGTTTTATAAATGGGTATGTGTGTGCAACCAACCCTAATTTAATTATGTTTTTATTAAATCTTTGGTTATATAGTTAAAAAGTATTGTTCTTATTTGATATGATGGCATAAGAAACTTGGTATTTCTTCGGAGAAATTGTATCAATTTTTACTATACATTCCGTTCGGGTTAGTGTAGTGAACGTGTGTAATTACTTGGCGAACGTATATAATTGTATGGCTGTTTGTAAGGTAAATGTAGAGTAATCTTCGATTAACAATGAATTCGCGTGCTGAATATAATTACCGAAAGGAAATTCAGAGTACACATAGTAAAAAGGATAAGAGAGCTCTTCTTAAATTATTACATAATACGACGGATTCATCGCCCAAAGCTTATCTGTAAATAGAGAAAAATCGACTATGCTAGGGGGCGTAATTGTTGATGTTGTTGTTTTTGTTGATTTATGCTTTCATTCTAGAAGAAGAGAAATAAATTACAAGCATAAGTAATAAATAATTAATGAGATATATTTGCATTAAGTGTAATAAAGCCTATAACGATATGAATAGGATGAGCGCTTTGAATAAATTTTAAGAATAATTCTAAATATGTTGTTTTCCTAAGTTGATTTTAAATGGCCAATTAAATTATAAAGACCACTTAGTCAGCAGTCATGCGTTATCAAATAATATTCATCAATTTCTCATTAACGATAACAAACAAAACTTTTGTTTGTAATCCGGCTATGACGCTGACTGGCAGCACAATTGGCGCATGACCAATGACACGTCGTCAACACACGGCTAATTAATTTTCAATAATCCTTCAACAGTACCCGACTCGGATCAGCAACACTACGGTTATCCTCCCCTTACCGGGCATTCATTATCGTGGACAGACGAAAAGAAATCTAGTTTGGGTCCGAATAACACAATGACTGCAAAAATATGGACACCTGAAGATCCAAGAATGAAGCCGGTATCTACAGAGTGTTCATCGCTTTTAAATACAACTTTGGATTTGTGATTGAAAGGCGAAAAGCAGCAAAAACTGAAGAACAAACTAAGAAATGACCATATCTCTTTATAACCTCATTTCGAAATCTCTTTTAAAAACCGACTTCAACTATTTTCTAGTCACGTTATCTTAATTATAATATACATTAACTGCCTTAAATGATAAACAAAGGAATAAGTCATGGTATCTATTTTTTAGAGGAGACTATATATAAATATACAGTATATATACATATATCATGTATATTTTAGAGTGGGCCTTAATACTATACACGTATTTAAGAATATTGTATTGAATAAATCGTGTTTGTATAGGCAAACTTAAGCAAACTGTTTCGAATATTCGTTTGTATTTGAATAGCGATCATATTTTACTCTTTTTCCGAATCATTATATATATATTCAGCTTATAGAATCACTTATATTTATTTAATTTTTAAGCCAATAACCGAATAGTTAGTTATTTAATCGTATGACCTATAATTGAACTTGGCCTTTTATATACAGTATATATATATACATAGACGTTATATGCAATATTTCTCCTGTTAAAAATATCCCTGTTTTGTAAGAAATGGTTATCTTTATGAAAAAATTATTATCTACAAACTTATCGTACACCTGAGCCCTTTCGAATATATTTACGTAGGTAAATTTAAGCAAACTCTCAAAAACGTTTGCCATAGACGCATTATTGACAAACGCCTCTATCAAAGGCTGTGCTCGCTAGTGTTTCCCTTTCGGCACGTGTTGTATGGAATTATCTTGCTATTTTTCCACTGATTGATTACTTTTGATCTCTACTGTTGACCCGCCGCCATTTTATTCAGTCCAAGCGCCTTCGGCCCGTTCATTTTTGGAAGTTTTTTTTGTACTAAGACAAACATAAACGCCCTGTATCGATTAGACGCTTCACTCAAACTCAACGAATCCAACTCCTTTTCCCATTAATGTCGTCATAAATCAATTCAAAAATTGATAACAGAAAGGACGGCCAACATTGATAATCTAATGCTAATATCTATATTGCTTCCTCTCGTTGAAAGTTCATTATGTTGGAAAAGTTAAATGAGAAGAATACGTCGGCAGCCAGTTGGAAAATAATTGACTCGGAAGAAGACACTTTAACATATACGAATCTTTATCCGGAAATATCGGAATTTCCGCTTCAAATTAGCTCAACAAAATCTATTAATCTAAGAAGAAGAAAAAAGAGAAGAAAGAAAGGAAAAACTAAAGTAAATTTATTTAATAGGGAAATCAGTTGGCTATCAATACAACAAACTTGCGAATATAGAAATTGTTATACATCAGCCGATTCTGTGAATTATCTACCTTCAAGCATCTGGTAGAGTTTCCAGTCTGAGTATCTATCTCCATTCGCCTAATTTATGAACCTAAAAAATTGTCAATTATTCCTAGAATTACACCAATATATCTATTATTTTATAAGGTTAATTAAAGAATAACAGCTAGATATGTTCGTAATACCTTATATGTAAAAATCAATCTGCCATTTGCTTTTCTTCCCATGTACATCATCGTCTTTTGTTTTCTTTTTTCCCACTCAACAGATAAGAATTTCTGAACATTCAAAGTCTTTTCTTAGCCCTATAAACCAGCTAGCTTATATCTCCGAAATGTATTGAATGATATTTTTAGTTAATGTTGTTAAAAACCCAGCCCTTAGCTTTTAAATATCGGCCTAATGGCTTTAATTCATTAAAGAAATTATAGTAATAATTAATGTTAATAAATAATAATAAGACGGATATAGATATAATATACAATAACTAGTGACTGGTAGCTCTGCTAGGCAATACTGTTCTATGGGAAATCGACCACCAACGTCAATGCGAGATCAGTCGACCGACAGTGACGGTAACGTTGAAAGAACAGAGGAAAAGAAGAACAAAGAGCGACATATTCGATTTTCGAATAAGATCCCTTACGTTCCGCCCGGAAGCGTTCGATCGAGCCATCTAGCGGGTGGCGAAGTTAACCTTTTAAGAACTTTGAACGGTCCTGACAAAAGAAAAGAGGATAAGAAACGAACGGAAAAAGGTAACGGAACCGGACGGAAGGAATCAATAACAAGTTCCATATTCCGGTTTTTAGGTATAGTGAATCGTTGTCTTGTAACCAACTCTTTAACGGACATTCTGAGTGCTTTCGTTTTGTTCAGTTTTCTATACGTTCATTCACATTTTGACGAAGAAAATGAGGAAGATGATAAAAGAAAGAATTAATGAACTGCCCATTCTGTTTCTTTCTTTTATTCTATATTCTTTTTTATTTAACTTTTGTTCTGTCCTATCAATAAAAGAGAACACATTTTTTCCTGCTCAATCGACCTTTAATTGCCAGAGTATGTGTTATATAATAAGTCGCTTGTTATTCACCTTTACTTTCTTCTTTGCCTCCGTTCTTTCCGCTCCTTGTCTTTTATCTATGAAGTGGTTAAGAGACGTTTTTATGCTTAGCTAATACTTCATTTACCATCTACTTCATTCGGTTTCTTATCGCTCGCGTCCTTCAAATCCTCCTCCCGCTGCTCTGCGCGTATTTCAACGAAGAATAATAATGGAACGAGAAAGAGTAGTGAGGAAGCGGAAGAAAAGAACTAAAAAGATGTGGGAGGGTTAGCTTTCTCAAAAACAGTGTGAATTTCACGCTTGCAGTAAAATCTTTCCAGGTTATTTTTAATGACGCAATTAGAAACTGCTGTGGCGTAAGGTGACACGGACCGGGGCGTTGGGCACCACCCACGTGGGCAAGGGTTACGTAACATGCGGCACCTGATAGGGACATGCGCCTCCTTCTTATCGTTTTCTATTGCAATCATTACATGTTATTCGATCGCTTTATATAAAAGCTTATCTTGGAGAGATATCAGGGTAAGATGTCTCTATTGTCATATAAAGCTAATTATCAGTTGAACAAACGAATTTAATTACACCTCGACTCTTGAATAAATATAAATAAATAATAAAAATATCGCTTTTTTCCCTCATCTTCTTATACAATATAGAGTTTACCATTAAGGTATAGAGACTATTCCAGCTAACAGTTTTTTTATGGCTGAATAGAGCTAATGGAAATCCTATTTTTTTTCCCAATCGTTTTTTCTATTATTGATTATGAAGGATATTAAAGAGGATAGATAAAGCCGTTATTAAGAATTGAATATCCGCGTAGTTTGAAGTTACGTAATATACTCATATTGCAAATAGTATATATTATTGTATACATTCTATAAAAACACTATTTATATACTTACTCGTTTATTTTGGATATTTGTATAAAAAAGCTTCGATGTGTATCATCTATCAATTTGATTATCTTAAAAGGTGTAGGATCTCCCAGCTTCCGTTAGCTTTAGATAAGCTACATAGATGTATTAAGATAATCTATTAATTCAATCAGATAAAAACAATATCGGTGGCGTTTGACAGGCTTTAAGGAATCTTCATCGTGTAATAGCATCCTACTTCCTTTTCCTTTTTCCTCTCTTCTTTTCACCTTCGTCTCTGTCTGTTCTTAGTTAATAAAGTGAACATTTTTTATAAAAGACTTAGAAGCTTATCACCCAATACTTTCGGATAATAGACGTTTAATATAGCGATATGATTATAAGAGGATTTCGAAAGAGATAACCGAGTAAAGAGAAATAGTATATTAAAAAAAGAAATATTTATTATATATATATATATATATATATATATATATATATATGTCTATATGTATACATGTATATATTTACTATTTACTATATTTACTATATAAGTATGAATATACATTATACTTTTATCAAAACGCCAAATGACTAAGTGTATTCTAATCTTGTTACATTTTGTCGATTTATCTCGTTTTCATGTTTATTTCTATTAATGAGGTTACAAAACCACGAAATTTTTTTTTCGTTTTCGTAACGTATAACCTCAACTAAAGAGAATAGGAAAAAAACTGCACTTCGTATGTACAGTTCGCTCGATAAAAAAGAGCACCTGGCGTTTCTCTCACAATTCGCATCGAATGCCTAAGCGTCTCTACTATATGACGTTTTTATTATTTATCCTTTCCTTTGTAAATACTAAATCCTAAAAATATATATATATATATATATATATATATATATAGATGCCATATTTATGAATTATTTTGATAGAAATTATCAAACATATTATAACTGTTTTTATCATTGTTTAAAAATTATCTTACCTTCTGCTCCGTTCTTTTTTTTTCATAGATTTCTATTTGAGAAAAATAAATTTATTGAAAGCTCATTAATATTCATTATTTACTCTTTCTTTAATTTGCATACGAGTCTGTAACTAAAAATGTTTGTTAAGGCATAAGTTGTCGGTGGTTAGAACGGGTAAGAAGCCCTTCCCTCCTTCCTCTTCCCCCCAACTGAGCGTATATAACGTTGGAAAACTATATAAAGACATGACGAGCAAATAGACGCCCGAGGGTAAAGCGGCGTCACATTAAGCGTCACTGACCATTCTCAATTATCTAGCCCCACGTATTCCAGGTAGAAAACTTGTCAGATTTTTTTTGTACATGTCCTCTCTTTCATATTTTTTCATACAGATTTTATTTACATTCCTTTTGTCGGTTGGTGGTACGAAGGGACAATAGACGGCGAGGAGAGCCGACCGTTTTCTTTCTTTGCTTCTAAAAGGGTCGTCTTGATCGGGCCGGAAATCGATGGGCAATTAAATCAACAACGTTTTGTCAACTTTTGTCCAGGGGTATATTGAAAAAATATTCATGTTTGTCTAATTAAATTCGGGCGTACGCCTATTATACGTTTTCCCTTTAATACCTTTAAATAACGTATTTTTTCAGACAGCATTCAGTCATTAAGAAAGAAGAGAACAAGACAAAAGAAAGACGAATTACGCAGGATATGGAAAAAATATACGGTATATAATAATAATACTGTATATTCTCTATATACCGTATATATGTTTATTTGTGTATGCATTTAAACGACAAAATGTTCAATAATAAAAATAATTTATTTAATATAAATGGCTAAGTGAAGAGTTTCATCAATCAGCCGTACTATATTTAGAAAAGAGCTAACCAGCTAAAGCCGGAAAATATATCGCTGACTGACTAATTACAACGGTTAAGAGTACTATTATGTAATTTGATTACATAACACTTCGTACCATCTTAAAGGAAATGCGAGAATTGATAGCTCGTTAAAAAAGGTAATAGATTCGTAACAATTTAAATATACTTTACAATTGGCAAAAAAGCACAGATTTTCTTTTTGAGCAAAATGTGAGAGTTTTTGTATTTTCTTGAATGTTGATCTCTATTCATTCAAGCGCGGAGGGATTGCGAAGAAAGTTCGGCTTGTTCTTCAGGGCATAATTGTTCCGGTATCCATAATGTTGCAGATTTTTTCCTTTCACTAAAATGATCTTCTTCAATCTCTTTTTCGGACGTCCACGATAAAGAATGTCCGTAGACGGATGATAGTGGATATTCACCTGCTGAAATTGATTCTTTGTTGATTTTGAAAATTGCAACCACCTTCAAAGTGACGCTTAATGGATTTTTTTTAGTGCTGAAGCGTCTCTACCCTACTTTTGTATATAAAGTAACGTTATTCTTTACAATGTCTAACTAATTGTCTTTCTTTGAAATGCGTGAAAAATTTGAATAGTAATCAAGTTCACGTGTCGCCGACCTACATAGTATTTTATCTTAAATATTGAAGTGAAAATTACTCCAAAATGGCCTCGGAAGAGAAATATGGTCATTTCTCATATATCGGTGCATTTCATCAATATAGCGTGACATTTATAAGTAGCCTGAATTAACTGCTCGTTTCGACATCAAACAGTCTTGAAATTTTCAGTAAAAGACTAATAAAAACTAAAAGTACCTTGAACTTGTTGATATTGAGAGCATCTTAAAATCACTTTGCCATTCGTTTCCGTCTTCTTCTGTTTTTTATTATTCGTACCTCCACAGCTTTCTACTATATTTGCTAAATGTTGTATATAACGTACTGCCAGCCTTAGGGTATCGACTTTCGATAATTTTTTATCAGCGGCCGGAACTCTCGCCCTAAGTCCTTCAAAGGCGTCATTAATCGTTCTCATACGTTTCCTCTCTCGTAAATTTGCCGCGTGCCGTTGATTTACACGTTTTCTTCCTTTCTTTTCTAATTCTTGGCAGGGTATATAGTTTTCTTCGTAATTCCATCCAAAGTCGACACTTAGTGGATCTTCCCAGTAAAAACTATCTGTGAAAGAGAAATCTATGGTCTCCATTTTATGATTTACGAGCGTGCTATGCACGCGAATAGAGTTTTATAGAAGCGTGTAGACGCTCGACCAATCAACATTTAGCCACCAGCAATAAGCTCCGCCCATTTTACGGGTGGAGCTAGCTCGATAAACTTATCTTACTCTCCTTATCAATGGTACTGACTTAGATACATGAATTTTTTTTATCTGTGAGAGATAACATTTGTCGAGTACTAGACACGTGGATTGATTGTATTTTAAATACAGATAGGTTTATATAACTTCGAAGAAGATTGTCTATCCTAATAAAGCAAAACAGAAGTAAAGAAATAGAATAAAAAAAATTGACGTTTATATTGGAAAAATGTTTTTAATATATAAACCATGATATATATATATAATGTACAAATGCATATAACCAATCTTATTAGACTTCCAACACTTAATATTTGCCGTAAATGACCAAGCGTACTCTTAAGTAGTCTGTCTGCGTCATCAGTAAGAGGACAACCTGACGAAATAACAAAAACCCATGCTAATATACGATTTCTCCTCTCCTCTTCTCCTCTCGCATTGTAACGGAATCTTATTCGCAAAATGTTCTTTCTCTTATATTCTTTTAGCATTTAAAAATATAGTATTTTGTAAAAAGAGGGTCTTCTTCTTGTCTTTCTTTTTTATGGCTATCGTTTTTATGTGTTTGTTATAAAAACAAATGAGACTATAGACTATTTTTTTTCTTATCTATTTTTTTTATTTATAATGGAAAAATAATATAAATATATCTTAAATTGAAGAGTTTCTTTCTCTATCTTCATATGTTGGGCCTTTCTCTTACTTTCCCTCTCACTCTCTCTCTCTCTTGCTCTTTTATCATAGGCCCTCGATATAAATATATATGTGTTTACAAGTATCTTACGTAGGATATGACACTAATCTCTCGATAATCACCGTAGTTTCCGTTACGTGATGCACGGACGCATTCCAAAAATTGCGTAAGGAAGGAAACCATCTAGAATATCGCAAAGGTACCTGACTGCGCGAAAGAAGAGTACGGAACTCAGCTGACTCCCTTTGAAGTGAAGGACGGCCGCGTGCATGAAAATTGTTTAACACGCATATCGGAGGGAACAACCCCTTCAATATATATTCACGCGACGTTACATAAGGTGTCACGTGACCCTTTAACAGATATGCCTCGAGGGTTATGGAATTGTTGTAAGTGGTTATATTTAAGGCGCGTGCAAGCTGAATGTCTATGGAAAGAGTATTGTCATCAGTAGGTTAGAAAATTTTTGGAAGATGGAGATTACTGTGGAGAAAGGCCTATTATTATAAGAAGAATGATAGCAGAAATATTTTAATAGATAACCTAAATAAACTTGAACCACATTCGAATGGAAAATTCTTAAAACGTGAGCATTATCTGAATAAGTTGATTCTATGTAAAGAGTGTATGCTATTTGACTAGAAGAGCCGGTACAATGCTCTTGTCCTTCTTTTCTCTTTTCTTTTTTCTCCTCCTGAGGGGAGGCGAGCGTGTGTGTGTGTGCGCACGTCGTTGTATACAACCTTACTATATAATTGCTACATGTTACATCGCGTATAACTTATTATGGGCGTGTTCCGAGTTGAAAAAAGATAATCAATGCTCATTTATTGACGTGACGTGCCAAAATCATAATAGAAGGGCCGTTCTCAGCACGCTATCTGATTCTACCCAAAAAAGAACTATTTATCCGAAGAGATACATAATTTTGTTTTAATTAACAAAACTACTTTTAATTCTAATAGGAAAATAGGAAAAGCGATTTGAAAATCATGGCTAATTCCCCAGAGGGGACGATTCGTTTAACGAACCCCTGTAGATCGTCCGCTAGAGGCGCACGTGAGCTATACACGCAGACACGCGACTCAACAGCAGGCCGCATGTTTTCCAACAAACAAACATTTAGCATTCATTGTTTCCTGGACATTAACAATGACGGAAACTGGACACAAAGAGAGGTGAAAGAAGCAAGTCGTTCTGTAAACAGAATGTTCAGCTAAGAAGGACAAGTGAGATGATGAATGAAACTCGCTTGTCTTAGGCGCCGTTTAATCTCTACTTTAAACAATTGAGGAGCTGATAGAAAAAAGTATAGGTTAAAGAGTAGCAAATGTGTTTAATGTGTATCCGAGTAAAGTGATAAGAAATATTTATCTCTCCTTTTCAAGTTTTATCTTCACAAGTCGCCTTCTTAAGTAAGATGAGTTCTACACAGCTGTCATTAGGATCTTTTCTACGTATAATTAGCCCTAATATTGTATGATTATCTGTTTTTATTCTATATTTTTGGCAAACCGTCACTTTTTTCTCCTCGGCTATAAGCAGAGGATTGAAAAAAATGTAAACATACTTGAGACGCATCATAAAAAAAACGCTTAGAAAAAAAGAAGATTTCCTAAGAACGCCGTCGTCTAATAACTGGGGAAAAAAGTTCCCAGTGAAGGAATACGTCGCCCTATTGAAACGTCACTATACAAAATACTATGAAGCGTTTAGAAGATGTAAACATTAGGTACTAGAAATTCATAACCCCTTAAGTTTACACTTACGTTGACACGGGCGTCGACTGACGTCAGCTAGACAAAGAACTGGGACAGGTCAGACAACAGGACCGAAAGGCGATTCGCCGCTGACAGTGCTCATTTTCATCCGATGCACGGATCGTGCGACTCTAGACAAATCTTTACTGTCAATAATAGTTTTTTCCTAACCATAACTATTGATGATATAATAATCCTATGATAGGATCTATTAAGGATTATCAAGACACGCTTAATTAAACAAAATCTATTGAAAATATCGATAAAAGATAAAAATTAAAATTTAATAAAAAAATCATTTTTCCCTATGGAATGCCTTTAGTTCAACACTGTTGTTAGCTCTCCGCCTTTACCTTTACGCCTCTCTCTTATTCTCTTCATCTTTCTAACATTCTCTGCTCTTTTTTTCTCTTTCTTTATTCCTTACCGACGGCACACGATATCCGCATCTTAAAACGCATAAATCCAGACAGTCAACAAATGTCGGCTCCATCTGATCCTTTTGATTCCGATTCTATTCCTAATAGGCCACCGGCACCAGAAAGTGTTTGCCATTATAGTCCAATGTTTAAATAAAGGTACTGAAGAGCAAAAAATATAGAAAGGTCAACATTACGGGCCAGGTGCACTTTTTTTCCTTCCTTAACTCTGTTTTGAATATTCATGATGATTTACTATCCGCTCTTGAATCCTACTCAAAACGTTTACAAACTGTGTAGTCTTATCTTTATTGCTCCACAATTGTCCCTTTGATTGCGTCGGAAAAGGTGCACGTGCGAATAACTACCTTTTTCTTTATTTATCAATCTGTATTCTCAATCTCTGTCTCTCTCCATCTCTCGCCTTCTCACTGTATCTCTCTTTCTCTCTCTCTCTCTCGTCTCGCTTTCTCTATACCATTCCCCCTTTCTCTTCGTTAGCCTATTCATTTACAGTCAATATATACAGTATATGGTGTATGTGAAATAGGTATCTCTCTACCTATCCATATCACTTTCTTCTTTGTTTTCATTTAATATTGCCCTTCTTCGTTCCCTTGCTTTTGCAATTGAGTACTTAGTAGCTTGAATTAGATCCTTATTACTTAAATATTTTCGATTTTCTATAAGAAACACTTTAAACTCTTCAGCCTAAAACCCTAGAATAAATTAGGAAAAAAAAGGCGACAGTAACACCATCTGTACTCTAAAAGAGGAATTATCTTGGGTAAAATATTTTAATAGACTCTTTCTCGCTATTCCTAAGCTTTTAAGTAACAAATAATAATAATTCGAATTAGTTATTATTCATTAATTAATCACGACAAAGAATTAAAAAAATATAATTAAATAGAGTGAAATTTATTAATTGTTTAATAAAGTTGTTTGCAATTGTATTCTAATCATCTTTGTTAATTATATATGAATCATAGGAAATAAATTTTAATAATTTGTATCACAAGGCAGCTATACAACAATTGTTAATTAAGATAACAATCTCATCTAATTGCAAGCTGTTGCAGGTACCCTTATATGAATTTGTATGCAAAATTCATTTCCCCATAATGATGGCCAGCTTTTTTTCAACTTTATCTTTCATTACTCTCTTTGGCCACTAAATTTTCATTCGATGAATGCTGTTTTAACAGAATGGAACTTACTCAAAAATGTTTGTAGATGTTTACATAACTAAATTACTTGTGTCATTTGTGGTATTTTTTTAGATTTGCAGGGAAAGTACGCTTTAATAACTGGATCTACATCCGGCATTGGCCTAGGTAATAATATGTAGATTCAATCTATTTATTTTATAGTTCAAATTTGTCTACCTTTATCGTTTTGGTATTTAAAAGAATCCTATTTATGAATAGCAATAGCGAAAAGCTTGGCCGTTAAAGGGTGTAACGTTATCTTGAATGGATTTGGCAGTGAAGAAGAAATTGATAAAATTAAAGAAACTATTCAAAGGTAATATATATTCTAAAATAGAGAGAGAGAAAGATCAGCAAGTTAATGGTGAAATTCCAACGTTTCAGCGATTATGACGTGACTGTTCATTACTGCTATTGTGATTTAGCCAAGGCAGAGGATATTGATAATTTAGTCCAAGAAGTCTTTTCTCTTTGTCCAACACTTGATATTCTAGTTAATAATGCAGGTAAACGTTTACCTATATTTCATTGATAATGAAAAAGCTAAAACAAATTTATCATTTCATAAAAATACTATCAAAGGTTTCCAAAAATCTGCCGAAATTGAAGATTTAACAATTGAAAACTGGCAAAAAAATATAGATGTTATGCTAACTGCTCCGTTTAAATTGATTAAGGTTTATATACGATACATATACAAATCTTTTTCCTCTAATTCATTCAATTATTCAAATTAATTCAAGGCTTTCCTTCCTAAAATGAGAGACGAAGAATTTGGAAGGATAATCAATGTATCTTCCATCCTAGGATCACTAGGATCTACTGGCGAAGCGGCATATTGTTCGGTAAAACACGGTATTATAGGTTTAACGAAAGCTGTAGCACTGGAGGTTGCGGAAGCTAACATCACTTGTAATGTAATATGTCCCGGGGCTGTTAAAACTCCACGTAAGTGAATCAAATGGTTATGATATACATGGTGTATTTAACAATAGTCTTTATGGAACAGTTTTCATGACTTATATCAAGGTCATGTCGGAAACTTCCGGAATTCGCGAGAAGAAAATACTACATGAAGCTATGGACAAATTTCCCTCCAAGGACTGGGTTCCCGTCGAAAGCGTTTGTTTCTTTTCCTAATATACCTTTATACTGTAAATTACAAATACAATGTAATAATTGAAGTATTTCTTCTTCAAAAGATCTCCGAGATGATAGCTTTTCTCTGCTCGCATTCCGCAAGAGGAACTAATGGAAGTACATTAGTCATCGATGCGGCAACATCTATTGATTAACTTGAGAGTAAAAGGCTATTGAATATTGAAATAATCTTGCTCTTGTTCATGTTCATGTCTTGTTGTTCTTCAAATTTAAAGGCTAGTTATGAATACAATTGAAGTTACAAGTGGGTTAAAAAGTTTTAGGAACATTGGGAACATTTTCATTTTCTTTTGTATATAGCATAGAATTTTATTGAAAAACTTAGTCGAAACTTGTAGAATATGGGATAAAAGAGGAATAATTAATCAAAAAAATGTGGTCGTTTAAAATCCAAATACATACTTTAGATTGATAAATTTCCTATGTAATACAATGAACCTCTATGATATTGAATCACTTTTTCTCTTTGTAGTTAACCACAAAATTGCTTAGATTCTTTCAATTGTGTATAGTGAATAAATGGATCATCAAATGTTCAAAATTTTCTTCTAAACCCGATCCTTCTTCACTATAAATATTGATTTCTTTTATCCCCGCTATTAAAATACCATTGTCATGTTACTAGGCGGGACAAAAACCAGTTTTTACTGCTACTTTACTATTTAAGGCTACTTTCAAAGGGATAGTTTAATATCCTACATTAAAAGCTTCAATCATTAATAAAATATTCCAATAGAACGAGTTTTCATTATTAATAAGATTAATGATTTATTATAGTTTGGATCACATCATAAGAAATTTTCTTATAATTTGAAATTATTGGCGTAAATTCAGATTTGTTATTGTTCAAAATAACTTTATTAATATCCTTAGCGAAACTGATTTTATCTTCGGATTTTTCCTCTTCTTCTTTTTCCAAGGAAGAATAATCAATTTCTTCTAATCCATAGCTTAACCATATCATTATACCGAAAATCAAAAAATTCAAGCAAATATACACTAACATCAAAATAGGCATCCACTGATAACCTTCAAGTTCCATTACATCTGCTGTTACTTGAGGCAAAACTATGACTCCAACTTGTCCACTTAAATGGAAAATACAGCCTAAAGATTTCCTAACACCTATATATTTATCAATGAACACTATTGCACATGGATAGATAATGGATATACCTAAACCAAATGCAGTAGCTGCTACCCAAGTTGTTTTCTCATCTTTAAAGAATAACAACAGTATCATGGAAAAGAAGCAGAGGAAGAATGAACATACCAATAATGTTGTTACTTTTATATACTTTGCTAATAATGCACCAAAGAATGAGTTTGCAGCAAAACACGCAGACATTAAAAGTATTAAATAAATTGTTCCTTTCGATGTCCATTTCAGATAAATTACAACAAAATGATTCAGTAGGCTAAATATACCGTATTCAATGCCCACGCAGAGGACGTAAAAGAGGAAAACACATATCGTGAATAATAACTTCCGATTGAATCCAAACTCTTTTTTCAGCGTTTGTACTTTTTCTGTAAAGCTTTTCTTTTTTTCTTTTCCTTTAAAAACAATTTCCCTTGAATAATATAACCAAACTCCAAATACTATTATAGACGAAAGCGCGTATAATCCCCCACTTATTAAGAAAGAGTATTGAATTTGAACATTTTCGGGTCCAATATCTTTTGCTAGGAAAGGTTGAATGATAATTGGAGCTAAAGTAATACCAATACCGAAGGCTACGTAGAGACCTTGTAACCATTTTGCGGCCTCTTTATCCCATTCTCTTAAAACTTCTATATTAGCTGCAATGAATATCACTGACGAGGCCATCCAGCTAATGTGTAAAAATATGGCCATCCACACAACTTGATGAAAATATACTCCTATTACTTGAAAAATAGTTGCAATTATTCCAGATATAGACATAAAAAAGTATGGATCAACAGTTTCCAGAAGATATCCAGCTAGAACACTCCCAGTAATTCCTCCAAATGATTTTATAGTAATTACATTGGTAATAGATGATAATGTTGAATTAGTATAGTTTTGTAATTCAATTAAGGCATATGATGGCAAGATAGTGTAAAGACTCTACAAGAGAATTTTAGAAATTAGATAATAATAACAATAAACTAGTTAATTAGTTCAATTTCTTCATCTTACCTGAGCTAGAATAATTCCGTATATTGAAAATGTTCTTAGAACAACGTGTTTCTTTTCTTTCATTTTTCACCTTTTTAATAAACAATTTAGATTGTAGACATTGTTGAGGTGATATCTTTTGGAGTTGGGGCAAGTGCAGTCATTATAACTATGATGACAGTTCCAGCTCAATACTATTTTATACTGTATATATTTTAGAAATAAGTTTGTGAAGAATATTTTCAATATTCAATAGAAAATGTACTCTTTTTCCCCTACGGTATTTATTTATTTGTGAAGATCTGCCCCCTCCTTTTCATATGTTTTCTTTGTATACTTGCATTCCTACATTTAGCCATTCAATTTACTCTTTCCTAGTCATAATTTTGTAAAGAAAATGACAAAAAAGCTATTCATGATAAAACTAGTTGTAAAGTGTCCTAAATAACCTCACTGTAGGAGATAATATGTAAGTATTATTTGTTCTTTTATTAATTTATACATTATTTCGTTCTTGCCTATGTAATTTTACATCTTCTGAATTTATGTTCAAGTAAGCTGATTGTATCATAAATTGAATTGAAAGGGTAACTTAAACAACAAATAAACTTAAGTCATTTTTGGAATGTTTAGCTTTAAAAAGTGTTTAAATTGTACAATATTTGTATATTTGCATATCAATATCATATACAATATCGGTGAAAAGTCATTGTACACCTCATAAAAATAATATTTTCCTGGTTTTTTCTCTTTCCGTACTTACAGAATGAAAATGAAGGATATTATTATATTTAATAATATTCTTCTTATCATTATAGAAAGAAAATATATGTTTTTCATTTTAAATTTCCGAAATACGATCGCTTTAAAGTGATAGACCTATTTATGGAAAAGCATAAGCATCAGTTATGTTCAAAAATTTACCCTGACCATTGAGTAGTGTCACTTTTAACCAGATTTTAAGGTCATTTATGTGTAATCTAACAGTTGACAAAGATAGGGACCTAACTTTAGTGTCTAATTGCTTGACAGCTTCAGACTATATCAAAATTTTAAGCAGTCGTCTTGTTTCAAATTATAAGAGAGGGGAAATTTTCCAGCAGGATGGGGCTAGCTGTCATACAGCATCCATAACAAAAGTGTACCTCAAAAGAAAGGAAGTGGAAACACTTGATCCATGGCCAGCAAACAGCCCAGACCTGAACATTATTGAGCAAATATGGGGCATATGCAAAAAACATTTAATGGCACATAAGCCAAGAAACAAGGATGAGCTGTGGGAGATGTTCAGAGAGAAATTTTTTAAAATTTCAGAACTGGAAATTCAATTCTTATATGAGACAATGGAAAGAAGGCTTAGGGCAGTTGTAGAAGCTAAGGGTATGCACATAAAATACTATTATTAAATATAATAATATCCTTCATTTTCATTCTTTAAGTACGGAAAGAGAAAAAATCAAGAAAATATTATTTTTTTGAGGTGTAACAGTGACTTACCGACGGTACTATATGAAGAATTGAATAATAGAAGGTCTTGCGACTAACGATGACTTTTAACCTTCTTTTCGCTAAAATTTTGAGCATAATGAAAATAAATATCTTTTAATTTAAAAGTAGAATAAAACATAAAAATAATTAAACTCTTTTAGTTTATAATACTTCATATGTCTTTAATTTCTTCACGTTTATCATTACTCGCTATTTGGAGTATGAAGGGATATTAGTGTCGTTAATACTTGAATGGATACTCGCTTCGTCTGTTTCATTCTTTGAACTCTTTTCTTCGGACATAATGATTTTTTCGTTAAGATCGTCGGAGACATAATTTTGAGGTTTCATATTTTTACTTATCAGAATAAGTATATTGAATGAAATAAACATGAGAGAAGTTATAACCAATAGGGCAACTCCATACCACTGATAGCCGTATGATTGGACAATACGAGCTGCGATTTGAGGTAATATTAAACTTCCTATACTTGCACTTAGGTGAAAGACGATGCCTAAAGACTGTCTAACAGGCAGAAAATGATCGACAAAGACAACGCAACCAGGATATAACGCTGCCCTTCCAACACCCATCAATGCTACAGATATCCAAACGATAGATTCATGCTTATAGCTAAACGATAATAGAAACATGGAAAAAATTGAAATAAGGAAACTGCCGACCAGGAGAATAGTTGTCTTCAAGCATCTTGTTATTCCTGCATTGAAAAATCTGGCAACTGAATAGAATAATGTCAAAACAAAGACTAGTAGAGCAGCCTTGTGCTCGCTCCAGGCCAGATAGTGAACACAGTAGTGACTTAGTAGACTAATAGACGTTGCTTCCATTCCGACTTCCAATATGAAATAGAGAATTACAACGACCATGAAAGAGAATTTCCTATTAAATCCAATTGCTTTTATTACATTAAAGAACATTTCTTTTAAAGAGCTTTGGTGAGCACTAACATATTTAATAGTCCTGTAGTAGTATAGCCATACAGTAAATAAAAATACACAAACACATAGTAGAATTGCACCGTCAATCAAAAATGCTTTTTGAATGACAACATGTTTGGCAAGTTTTGATGTTGTAAGGAAAGGTTGAATCATTAAAGGTGCAACGAGAGCACCTACAGCAAACGATCCGTGCAAACCTTGTATCCATCCGGCTGATTTTGTGTCCCATTCTCGTAACACTTCAGCATTTGAACCAATAATTAAAGTGGAATGACCAAGTGAACCAATGCCCATAAATAATCCCATTATCGTAATATCTTTAAACCAAATTCCGATTGACTGGAAGATAGCTGCGACTAGTCCGGTTATTGTCATATAAAAATACGGATTAACATATTCAAGTAGAGGTACAGCTATGAAACCACCTAAGATGTCTCCAACAGCCCTTAGAGTAACCAATAGAGTTACTTCAGAGATTGTCGATGAAGTATATTTACCAATTTCAACCAGACTACATGGTAGAATAATCACGTGAATACCCTGTATTATAAACAAATTCAAATTAAAAGGCTTAGTTAGAATGGTGTAGAATGAACAAAGATTAGACGCCTATTGGATACTTATTTTTCTATTCAATCTTACCGTTGCAAAATAGCATAAGTACAAAACAATCGTTCTTATTGCTGAATCTTTTACGGTAGACATCTCTAAATATTTTGTAGCAGCTGGGAGCGCGCTCATTCACTGAATCAATATTGAAAATAGGCTAAAAAATGTTTAAAATAGACTTAAAAATACATAAAAATACAGCGCATGATGTATAATGTATAGCATAGTATATTGGTTTTAAGATAGAACAAAGACGGTTAGAAGTCAACTCGGATAAGACGAAGAAGAAGAAGAAGAAGAAGAGAATAGTAACGTGTTTATTATGAAACGTTTCTATAATAAATACAATACTATAAATTCGTATGAAAGGCGTGAAACTACATTTTTCTTTTCCTTTTGATTGAAATAATATTTAATATTTTCTATCACTAATATATGTGCAACAAACATATTTTATAAAACATCTGTTACATTTATCGATTATATTGCCTCTTCCTACTCTTCTTGTATAAGAAACTATTATTATTATTATTTTTATTATCGTTAAATTTGAATTTCTTTTCATTTCATTAACTAGACAAACTGTTACAAATTATTAATTAAAACAATTCATATATAAAATATGGTACTAGCTGGCTAGCTGGAAAAGAATGTATTAACACTCTATCTATGTATATATATATATATCTATTGATATATTATTTTCGCTATATCTACTTTTAGGAAAATCAATATCTAGGCATATCAAAGGTACTATATATTTGAAAAGAGGAGGAGGTAGGGGAGAAAGAGAAAGTATGAGAAAAAGAGAAATGTAACATTTCTTTTTTTAATATAAATCATTTTCTTTTTAAAGAAGATCAATTAAAAAGAAAAAAGAAAAGAATTATGCATTCTCTTCTTTCTTCTTTTCTTTCTTCTTTTTTCTCCAGAAAAAATAGACGCTAAAGGCAAAAACATATTTATAAAAATTCCTAAATATAAAGTATAACGACATAACACGCGATCAGAGAGAATTCGGTCACATTTCAAAGTCAACCCTTTTTAACTCTATTGACATACTTCTAGTTATTTCTCTATTATTTCCTTTTAGTTTTAGGGAAAATCTACGAGGAAGATGGATTTTTTTTTCCATTTAACGGAAATTAAGTCTAATCTATTAGAAACTTAATCGTAATAATAATAGATTTGGAAAACGCGCGTATTTGTAAGGCAATACAAAAGGTTAAAAGATCTTGATAGGATAAGAAAATTTTCCTCCTCTTTCCCTCTCTACATACAAATAAGACAATAAGAGATTGAAAATGATGGAGGAAGATAGAGGAGGACAGATTCGTAAAGAGAGAGAGAGAGAGAGACAGTGAAGAACAGAGAGGAAAAGACAGACAGACAGACAGACTAAATCAGAGGAAGAAAAAGAGAGACAGAGAGCTAAAGAGTAAGTAAAATAATTGGTCAATAATTACTCTAATACGAATTAATTAATTAATATCCATCAGACTGACTCATTCCCCACCTGTTAGACTATTTCTTTTAAATTTAATATTAATCAGGTCTAGAAGTTAACAAGCCATCACGAATGATTTTGCTAGTTGTATATAATTTATCACTTTCGTATACATCTTTCAAAAACAAATATTCCTATAAATTATGAACGGGAGATTGAATTTCATTTTTGAATAAAACAAATGGTCTTCATTCAGCACGATAAGGAAGCAGAGTACAAAAGAGCAATATATTAGCTTTTATTATTGTTAAAATTAAGCGCCATCTATCGTTGAATATATAAACTGCATTAAGTACAGTTGAATGATAAATGGGTAATAAAATGCTTTTTATATACATTATATACGCAATTCTTGTATAATATATAGTTGGATTCCAGAGTTCAAGTGGCAAATAGCAAATATATATTCAAAGCAATTAATATTTTGTCAGAGTAACAGCGTGAATGTAGCAAACTCCAATCTGTTTAATAGTTATTATTCCTTTTCTTTTTCTTTTCTATCCGCCATTTACTCTTTCAAAACCAATGGATATATACACTTTATATACTATATATATATATAGTTCATGTAATGGCTTAATAAAGAAATAACGAACTAATTTGCCTAGAGTTAATTATCGATGTTTTTTTTCTCAATTATTAAGAAGCCTCAACGATCATTCATTAGAGGAAAAAAGTAGAAAATAAGAAAAAGAGAGAGAGAGAGAGAGAGAGAAAGGAAGAAATAAAACATCTAAAATTTTCTAATTTAAGAGCATTTAGTAGGTACTTTAAACGAGTTAAAATTAATTGTTGGCAGCTTGAATCGGATTAAAACAAATCACTATTTTAAGTCGGACGAAATAAGAGAGAAAGAAGAAGAAGAGGAAGAAAACAATATTCTTCAGCTGATCTGTTAAAATATGTATATATATATGTGTGTGTACGTATAATTTACTATGTTTAGTACATGCAGCGTATAACCTGTTTGTAACACGATGGGTAAAAGTATTATGGGAAACACGCAATCTATGAATGCTGGAATGGAAATGGAGACTGATGGAAATCTTCTAATTGTACCCTAAAAAAGAACCATCTAAAAGAAGTATGAAGGGTAGAAGAGTTTAATAAGCAGACAGAAATACGCCAACAACGAATTAGCATTTATTCGACCGGAATTTTACAAAGTAAAGTTAAATGAACCGAAACGACAGATGGCGCTAGTCTATTCTAAAAAAATATCTGGAAATCCAATAAAATGACTGAAGAGACTTGCTAAATAATTCGATCTAAAAGACTCATAAGATTTCCATTTTAGTTGGTTTTAAGTTTCTCGGAAAAAATTTGTATATTTAACTATTTTTTAGACAAACAAGCCGAGTTCAAAGGGAAAATCATTGCAGAAATAAATCGAAATATATATAAATAATCATATTTATACGAAAATAGTAAATTCTTTAATTCTCTTCCAAAACATCATTCGATGAATCTAATTGAGGCAAAATTTTTATTTAGAATATCGAAATAAGATCCATTGATTTATATTTCGATTAATAATTGTTAGTCTTCCTTTCTTTTCCGCTTTCTCTCTCTCTATCAATCCATCTCTCTATTTTCCTTCTCCATCGTTCCTTATTTCTTTAAACAAAACAACAGCGGCACAACAGCAAAACTTAAACAAGATTATTGAAAGTTAATTACGTTTGAAATGATATTAATGATAATAAAGCCGAAGAAGAGTAAAAATAGAAGACAAGGTAACCTTTTTTCTGTTACGCATTCTCTTTATAATTTGATATAAATTTTAATTAACTTTACGCATTGATAATTTCTTTCTTCCGGCTTATGTTGTTAAAGGTTCTTGCCCAAAAAAGAATAGAAACTAAATTCTATACTGTACTACTGTACTAAAAGTACAGAGCGGGAGAGAGAGAGAGAGATTGGTAATACCTTTATATAATAATAATGATATTAATACTACTATTAATAATAATAATAAGAAAAAGAAGAATCATAAAAGATTTATTTTCTATTCTAAATTATCTTTTAATTGTATTTCTTAACATTATAATTAAAAATGATACTTTAAATAGAATATACTTTGAAAATGTCCAAATTCTTTTGATGATTACTATATTGAATTCTAAATTGGTTTAACAACCTTTTTAATTTAATTGACCTACTAAGAGAGAGACAGACAGAGAGAGAGAAATAACTACTGCCTATTAGAAATTCCATTATTTTCTTTTTATAAAACATACATGGATTAACATTTGGTAGATAGGCCTAATCATCAAACTGTAAATATATACTTATTGACATAAATATAATTTGGCTAAAATCTATACCTGCATGCGCCTCCCCTCCTCTTCCTTATAATTCTCCCTCTTCTTTTTTCCTATCTGCACAGGTATGTCAATATTGGGATTGTTTATTTAGCTATTACATTCAAGTTGTTTCTTAATTGTACAATGGACAAGTTTAAAGATATTGAATTAAAGCTAAAGTGTTATAGAGATATGTAAACACAGCAAAAGCACGCGATCGGCAAAATCAAAACACTGCTTATGCATACAAAACCATAGCGTGACTAGACGTCGGTGCGGACAGGTGCGGTGCAGCGTAAACTCGCGTTGCGGACAAGCTTCGTCACGAATCGGCCACAAAATAAGTCATGCAATATTTTCTTGTTCTTTTATTTTCTTTTATAAATCCATATACGGAAAGAGAGTTTAGAAATTGGTGACGTCTTAGAATATAATTCGGGCAATGCCATTAAGTTTCCTGATTTATAACCTATTTTTTTTATTTTGTATAATGGGCGTTTTTCTATCGTTGTACAATTTGTATTGAATGGCGTTAGTGGGAGTGCATCACGGACAAGTGAACGGGTAATAAAATTCTGTACAAAATAAACAAAAATACTTTATCCTAAAATTGCTCTTCGTGCATAAGGAAAATTTTCTCACTGATAAGGCCTTCAACCATTTTCACACCTAATTTTCCAAGCGGAAGATGAAGACTGCCATATAATGGAGAGAGAGAGAGAGAGTTTGGCGTATGACGCCACGTTACATGGACGAATTTCGAGCGTCGGTGCATCGGTGCAAATGCGAGTATGGCGTGAGAGACGGCGGGACGCCATTCTCCGGCACCCACCGCCTAATTCGCCTCTCTTTTCCTCTCGCGCTCGCTTCGTCAATACTCATTATTCATTCATACGAGTTCATGCAGTCTCTCCAGATGTATATTTTTATGATACATGCATAGATATTCACTTTTGCATAATTGAATAAAAAACGAATCTATGCGTGGTTATGAACAGAAAATGTAGGCTTGGAAGAACACATGCGATCAATCAGGCGCCATTACAAGCGTTGCTGCTTCTCAATTACTGCAACGTTTCGTTTAATTTACGACGCCCGTGAATATCTACTGTGTTGTTTATGTTCGTTGATACTCTTATTTTTTCTTTAGGCTATCATTGTTGTATCATTGTTTGTTGTTTATATTTTGATTTTCTCATTAATAAAATATAAACAAGAATTTGCATTAGTAACTGTATTTTCTATCTGTTTATCTATCTCTCTATCTCTAATTATCTATCTATTTATCTCTCTATCTTGTTCAATTTTTTCTCTCTCTCTCTCTTTCTCTCTCGCTCTCTTCATCCTTTTGCGTTTTTCATCCTCTTTCTCTTTAATATCATCTGCTTTTGTTATCGATTGTTTTCAGCAAAGCCTCTGCTGCCCTATTGTCTGCTTCCTTTAATTTATCAACACTTAAAAAATTCTGAATTTAAAAAAAAATAAAAAACACACACACTCACACCATTAAAATTTGAACACAAAGGGGCTTTTTTCCATCAAAACTTATCCTATACTACTACCTTACGTATAACCAGTAACTTAAGAGGCGTCGGTAATGGGCAACGCCTAATGACGGTCGAACGGAAGTTCTAGTGACGCTTGTTGTGACGAGCGTAATGGAGCCAGAAGAAGTCGTGCTGAGAAGCGTCTACAGCACCGAATATAACAAGCTGCAACGCCCGCACACCCAGCACTTTTATAGGAAAGGGGAAAAAAATAATTTTTTTTTAGTCTTCCTTTGAAGTTTCCGACGGAGATGGGTAAGCGATACAAGTCCTACTCCATTTACTCCCAATCCATCACTCCTCCTTCCCCAGTGTCGCCAGTGCTGATGAGGGTGAAGGGTCAGCGGCTATATGTCTTCCTCTTACTTTCTTAGTCTAGCTTAAAAAGCGAGTGCAAATGTCGAGTGGGAGACGTTCGTTTTCTTTTTATCCCTTTCAAAGTCTATTTAACAGTCGCAGATAATTTTTTATATCTGATAGAAATTATTGCAGTCATTTTCATAATTTACAAAAGCATACTTTCCAAACTGCAAATAAGTAATAAATTATGTAGAAAATTTGCTGTATGGCCTTTATTTATCAAGATAAAGGATATTTATATTGTGTTTGTAAAGAGAGTATAAATTTCTATTTAAAATAGATTAGGTGTTGAAAAGTGAAAAAATAAATTTATATAAATACATTGCTACCTCCTCAAAAGCATCTGTTGTTAGCTCACGACAGTTTTATTGTACGTAAACTTTACATGCACAAATCGAATTTAACAAGCTTTCGGTCTCGTCGTCGACTGCAAATTAATGTTGTTACGCAGGTAAAGTGCGCTACATACACGATCATGATGAAAAACGACCGAACGGTCGCCATGTTTTTTTTGCCTTAAACAAACAACAGTTATTAAGGGGCGTTGTTTTTAAAAGTCGTTTCTCCTCAACATGTGCAATCACATCTACTGCAAATCTCTGATGGCGGCCACCGACGACGCTTTACCACTTTGATGTTTGCCCGGCGGCGAGTTTTTTTATACATAAACAGTCGGCCTCGTACGTTACCATTTGTGAAGCAATTTGTAAGACGGGCACTTTGCTGTTTACTGATATTCGACGCCGCCACTAGATGCTGTCGCACGCACAATTTTTTTTCACATAAAAAAACTTTTTACGGCGTCGAAGCGTCGCATTTGTTATACTCTCCCTACATGTAACCTGTATTTATCGTTTATAAACTTTGAACGATTAAGCAATTGAAAGAGTTGACATCAAGATTGCTGACATTTGACGCGCTGACTGCAAAATTCAACGGTCAGTCGTCCTTCCGCTAATTTCCATAATAAAAGAGTTATACGAATTTTAAAAATAAAAAGGTTAAAGTTGAACGAACGTTAAATATCATCGCTACTTGGGACTGGTATAAGTACCGGTATTGAAAGCACAAGAAAGGATTAAATATATACATTTATACAATGTTATTGTTCCCAAAGGATAAGCAAATAACACCGTACAAAGTGGAATTAATGAGCTTTATAATCACGGAATAATTTCAATTTTTCTTGTCCCTCTCATCTCGTTAGCTAATTACCTATAACTGTTAGTATAAACGAACTACCGATTGGCTTAAAACAACAGCCACATTTGCGTATCATGAATATTGACAATTTTGAATTGTAATGGATTATGCCTGAGGCAAAACTATATAAAATGCATGCAGCAATTGTGCAGCTGAGCCTTCTTTATACAATGTAACGATGGTGCATATCAAGTAGAGAAAAAAATATAAGTACATATTGTACATAGAGTACCATTCGGATACTTGCTCTCGACGTCATTCTCGTCGTCTGTTTCAACAAGCCTTTACGAAATTTATACTTAAAATGACTCGAGACGGCGGCGGTCACTTCAAAAGCAAACCAAATGAATAGGATGACAGAGCTTATAGATAAATCTTTAACTAGATAAAAGTCAAAGCTTATTTGACGATTTGACACGCGAGCAATTTTTGCAGATTTGCGGCGGAGCAACCGATTGAAGTGATTTTTCCAGATATATATGCAGATGCGTACACCGTAAAGATGAAAGAAAATGGCGGCAGCAGCTGCTTGAAAAATTTTATATTGCCTCGACGAATTGGCTATAATTTCGTTCGCATCCTGTTCAAAACCGCTCGCATACCGAAAGCAGCGGGAATTCAATCAAGCAAAGAGCTGCCTAACACCCGATATCGTCGGCTTATATTGCCTTTGGCCGCCATCTTCCTACCCGCAATCAAATTATCACGATCTAACTTTTCCAAGTGTACCTTACGTTATACACTTCGTTTCACCTCTGCCCAATTTATACTTTTGCATAAATTCGTAACAACTTGTGAACTTTTCTGCATTTACTCTTTAAAAGACTTTCCTTTCTCTCTCTCTCTCTCTCCTCTCTCCCCCTTCTCAGAAAATGTAAATAATTAGAGGATAATCTATATTCTTTTCCCACTTCTACCTTTCCCATAACTCTTATGCTCATTATCTTAATAATAATAATAAAAGTAATAATTATTATGATAAATAACTGGTTTATTTCAGCTAAATTCGACGTATATAATCAATTCGTACAAGAAAAAGGACTGAAGTAGTAGAGAATTGGAATAGACCCTTTAATAATGTACACTACAACAATTAGTTATCAGACAGTCTCTTCTGTGCTTTATTGTTGATATATGCTCTATATAAAAAAAAAACTGAATCATAGGCCTGCAGGCTGGTGAAAATATATATAAAAAAGAACCGTTTAACGTTGGGAAGGTGGTATGAGAATTGGTATTATAAAGTATATAAATTTTGTAGCTCTTTCTAGAGGTCGCTAGAGGTTGTTTGATTGACAAGTCGGGTGGGCGGAGAATAAAACCGAGAAGCGAATTCGGACAGTGCGAGCGGAGCTTATCGGAGAGAAGGACTAGTTCGCAGCGGGTGTTCTCCTTTACGGACACAATGTACGCAACGAAGCGTAGAAGACGCAGCGTTAAAAGGTCAGTTTCTTCCGCCGACTGCAACAATACATATTTGCGTGTTTTCCGACTTCAAACACCTAGAAAGGACATTTCGAGTTACGTCTAGCTATTATCTTGCACCGCAAACCCCTAAATTTCACCAATCAACTTGATTGTAGGAATTTTTTTGCAGTTGATAGTTTTACTGTTTTTGCGCATGTTTGTATACCAATCCAGTACACAGTGTAAACAGTATTTAGACTTTTATAGAACTTCTAATGGTGTATAAATAAGTATATTATGGATATGTCAGATTGTCCGAGCTTAATTTCTCTTGCAGTCGACTGATTAAGCAAGAGAAGCGGTAGAGAGTCAGCTTGCAGTTGATGGATAAAAAAATATTAATCTATATACAACATACAATGTATCCTAGATTTATCCAATAAGTAGAGATAAAGGTCTATACTCTTCTTTCCCCCCTCCCTTCCTCCCTCCTCTTCCTTAATTAGGATTGTCTGATAAGGAACCGAAATAGAAAGGTATAAAAAAAAAACTGTAGATAATCCCGCTTTGTGGTAAGAGAAAGTCCGAGCGATGGTATGCGCAGATTTTTTCCGCGTGATCATTTCCTGCCGACTAATCGGCTTACGAAAGCCGCGTGGAAACTAAAGGAATATTGGCAGTGTTTATCGCCGTGTCGTCCAGAAAGGTCAAGCTTGTAGGGACGATAAGGAAGAGGAGAGTGCGACGCAGGCAGGGAGTATATTCTCCTTTTCATTCTGTTCAATTCGCTGTGTAATAGCGCGAAGTGTCGACTGATTTTCTTGTCAAAATCCATCTTCTAGTCGGGTGAACACGAGCTTGGGAGGTGCATCTGTACGCAGCCGAATGAATGACGGTGGCGCTGCAAACATTATATAATTCCCGTTGATTTCTCAATCACAACTAATTGAAGGTGAAAATGTAAAGATGGGTCGAGTGTCAAAGTCTCGTAAACGATATCATCTTCAATTATAACGGTCCCTAACCAGTCCACCTAATTTTCGAATATATTTTTTTAATAAAAATTCATTTAATTCCTCTATCAAGCTGTCACGTGGTCGAATCACGCGACTAAATCATGTATGAAATATTTATGCATAGTAAACGGCAGGTATTTTTTTTTTACCTTCTTTTCTCCCTGTCTCCGTTTCTTTCTAAGTATCTGTCCTCTCTCTCTATCTGTCTATCTATCTCTTTCTCTCTCTTCCTTTATCTTACGTTTAAAAGTACAGAAACGAGAGAAGAAGGAAAAAGATAAACAACAAAAAAAATTGTTGTCTACTTTTAAAACGGTGAACGAAAAAATATAAAAGAGACAAAAAAAAGCATAAAATCCTCTCATTTTACAATTTTATGATTCAACTAACTCAATCTCACCTCTTTTTTTTTCATTGTTATACCTTTTCGTACCAAGTTGTAAACTGTGACGTCCCTTCCAAGGCTTCCCGCCACTTATATAACCACGAAACTGGCGTTAACAATTAAACTTGTACCCTCTTTCGCTTAAAAAACTTTGGGGCCATATACAATAGGGAGAATACGCCCATACTTAGGGACACAGCTAGTTTCCTTAAAAAATTAGAAAGAGAGAGGGAGGGAGAGAGCGACAGAGGAGGAGAATCAGATTTTAACGAATGTTGACAAACTTTTTCCTTTTATTCGGCTTCTCCTATGGCACGCGTTTCTTTCACTAATTACTCTCTAACGCGTTATATTCATACTGGCACAAGTTCTTTGAAGCTTTGTTACCGACCCGTGCGTTTCCTTTCTCCGTAACAATTTTATGTAGAGAAAAAACGCCGAGTGTTCATTGGCTGGCGTCACATGGTCAGCCGTATGGTCAAAAAATTCGAGAGGTGGGGCGTCATTTTCGGATACGCCATGCATACCGTCCGACCGTCGAATTTTCCACCAATATTCTATCAACAACAAACCAGGTAAAAAAAATTGATCTAAAGTCTTTTTTTTCGTCACTTCCCTAACTTTTTTATCTTTTTTTTCTACAAGCGTATAAATACATGTGAGATTATGCCTATAGGTAGTCTTATATATATACTATTCTATATACATAGCGCATTTAAGCATTTGTGTACTCATTTGTTTAGGAATACCCTTATGTACTACATACAGTATATATATATGTATATATGGTCGAGCCTGTAAGTTATTTCGAAAACCTTCTCAGCCGAGAATATCTTGTTCGACAATCTCAATTCAAACGTCACTTTTCTATACTGAAAACTGTATATTTGTCACACTGATTCAAATAGCTCCTGCCACAGGCAGTTTAGAGAGTTTGAAAAATTATTTCCGTTCTTGAATCTAATACCTATTCTTCTCTTCATCATTTTCTGGTTTTCTATTAATTCTTATCTTTCTTTCCTTCTTTTTTATTTATTTAATTTCTTTATTACTTTTTCCTTTCTTTTTTAATACAACCATTTTAATGAATATAAGTAAATTAGCAAAATTCTCCCTCGGCTCTTCAATTCTCTTCAGAATCGAGTGTTCTCAGGAGAACAAAGCTATTGGATTTTCTCTATTAGTGAGGAGACGCCTAAAAAAAAAAGATCTTTTTTTTTGTTGCCTTTTAACTTTTTTCCTTTTTTGAGGCCTTAGCGAAACGTCAAGTTCAATTTTCTTTAACGAAATGAATTAAATTGATAATAAACGAACTATGATAACGACCATGTCTACTTAAAAGTCCATTAACTTTCATTAACAATTGTATTATTTCACTTGATTTGAAAGATGAGACGGAGCTAGAGTTTGCAATTTCTTCCTCAAAATTACGTAATATCGTCGTTAAACAAACTTTTTCGTTAATAAATCATGTTTACTCATAAACTTCTTTTTTATGCACCTGAAATACTGATAGAACACACGTCTATGTAAACTGAAAATATAGGGCATGTGTAAAGGTGGTGCAGATGGCAATGCTCACGAAACATTTCGTGCGCCGTTCGATGCAGGTCAGCCTCGTTTTGAACGGCGCCTTCTCCTTTTCTTTTCTTTTTTTATAAAGTCTGTCACCTTGTCGTGTGACGTCCTAGAAAGTCTTCTTAAGATGGAATATAGGTTAAAGAGCTTTTTTTTCTTTTATTTTAATATTATATTTGTATTAATATCTGAAATATATACATGTTATTTAAAGTTAAAGAAACGTTGTTTCGCTTTTTCGTTTGTCTTTCAAATTACTTATTGAACTTATTGTTTATCGATCTTGTCTTCTTTTTCTTTCTGTTTTATAATAAATTAATAAAGCATTAACTTTTCTCTCTTTTCTTTACAGTGTCAAACCTCCACCTAAAGAACCTCCGAAAAGTAACCCTAGTAAACGTCATAGGGAACGTCTTAACGCCGAATTGGACCATTTGGCTAACTTATTACCATTCGAACAAAGCGTCATTTCCAAGTTGGATAAGCTTAGCATTCTCCGTTTAGCCGTCTCCTACTTGCGAACGAAAAGCTACTTCCACGGTAAGAAAAAAATTTTCATCTCATAATCTTCTTTTCTCTCTGACGTCACTTTCGATCGCGTTTTCGCGTTCACAACGGCGTTATAATCGTTGCGTAATCTCCTGGTGATTTTTCCGATCGAACGACATCGCGCTGCATGTTGGGTATGTTGAAGAAAATAAAAAAAAAGAGAGAAAGAGGGTGAACTCTACGGCGTTTCCTCTCTCAAATACAAATTGTAGCAGAAAAGTATCCATAGATCAAGCGTCGGTGTCAAGTGAACAATAAGTAAAGTGCTACTTGTGACGAACGCCAGATGCCACATTTGTATACATAATATATACATACGTGTGTTCTATGATAATTAATATCATATTTTTAACGTAATCGACAAAAGAATTCACTCTTATTGTTAAAAAAACGTCTGGAAGTTGACAAAATTCCTCGACAGTAAAGTCAACTGATAATATACTTGTATTTCCTTTCGAAAGAGTCTAGGTATGTGAAAATGGATAAGGAAAACAAGACGGGAATAACGCAAGACTTTTTGATACATGATACTGTTTCGTTTATAGTTAGAGGTGCTGAAAAGTATAGATGTACTCTTAGGATCCTTTTCAATAACAAAGCAAAACAAATGCAGTAAATGCAGTACATGCGTATATGATTTACATCTTGTTTATAAAATGGCTTCCGCCCAACCGTTACTCGATATCACTTGTCCGACTGGCCGTTGTCATCCGACACGCTTTTAGAACGTAACGCTCACGCAACTATAAGGAGAAGAAACGATAACGAGTTCTGATAAGCGTTGATAAGAATGGAACGTCACCTGCGTCACTTTATGCGACCGTAGATCACGCAATTTTTTTTCTTCTTATTGTTACGAAAAGGCGTTTCTTTATGTCGGTTACGCAATTGACCATAATGCACGATGATGTCACAAAATGTATATGACGTAAGACGTTAAAACAGTCATAGAGACCGACTGCGCGGACGAACGGTTGGCGGGAAAAAACGGCTTTCGAGTGCCTTAGTTGAGGGCTATTGAACAGTCGAGGGCCATATTGTCCAAGAGCAATTAGTGAGAGAAAAAATGTTCAAGTGTACTATAGATTGGAAATGTTTAAATTGACTAGAATTTGCGTTGTGAAAACAAAGAAACAAGCTTTTCTTTTTTTTAAATTTCCCTATTTCTTTTCCCGCTATACCTTCCCCCCTTCCCCCGCTCCCCCTTTTCTCCCCTTTACACGCTTAACCATCGGGAAAAAACCTACCATAAAAAGTTGTAAAATTTAATAAGCTCAACCTTTATTTATTCTTTTTATATTTTGTTAAAACATTCATTTACCGTGTAATTCGGTAAGTCATGCAAAATACTAAAATACCAACAAAAAAAACCCGACTACTCTGTCTATTAATAATCATCTATTTTTTTTTAATAGTAAGACATTTCAAAGAGTTTTATGTTGTGTTGTAGATGTATGGGGGGTGTTTCTTATATATTAGTATATATATACTGTATATATAGTTCAACAGCCAAATTACTGTTTTCTCTTTTGAATTCGAAATGATAAATATGGGCAAGAAAAAAAATGCGATCTCTTTCATCCGTATGTCTACTGATTTCGATCGCAATTTTCTCTTTTTAACCTTCTACAAATTGACAACAAAATTGCTTTAAACAACATTATTATTTGCACGTAACACCAGATTTAAGGTAGAAGATGTTCTTGCGCGTAAATTATCCGTTTGAAATAGAAGATGAAGAACTCAAAATCCTATTGGCTCTCCTTCTCGAATATTTTTTATTAATATTAACGGTCATTTTTAAATGAAATACCATTATGTTCTATATACTATATATATAGTATATACAATAAGGTGTTTAAGATCAGGGGTGCGTAGTAAAATTCTTTCTACGTTTAATAGGACAAAGTGGATTTTTTCGCAAAGTGTATTATAATTGGAAAAAAGAATAAGCGTAATTAGGTCACGACGCAACTCCCCACCGAGTTAATCATTTAAGGCAAAACTACCATAAATAAATATGATGTTGATAGAAGGAAAATAAGAAAAAGTTAATGAAAAAAATAAAGGAAAAAAAAGGAAAAACGGGTTAGCAAAGGGAACTAAAATAGTAAGCTTATATACCGTCTATATAGGCCTGAATATCGAATATCTGTAAGGGAATTGAGTCACGCAACGCGTCGACAAGAATTATTGAATAAAAAGATTGATTGTGAACGTTTCGGGCCAGTGTAATGCAGAGACGCTTCAATGACGCTTGATTGGCGAGACTTAAATCAATCACACGCGCTGCCCGCTTATAATTTATCATATTCATGTAAAACTTTTCAACACTTATGAGCCTCTATATGAAATCGTTAAAACTGTCTTATTGTTCACTAATTGAATTAACTAACCCTGCGGTGGCATTCGCATAATTAGCGTTAAGTTCTCCTATTTCTTCTAGTATTTCCTTATATAAATTTTGAAAGCGCCAATTAAATAATATACGCTTAACTTTATTAAGTATAAACACATGTATTTATTATAAAACGTATAGAATATGTAAAAATTATAGTTGAAAAAAGAGAGATCTACTAGAGATAGATAGTACCATTGGGCTCTTTTTAACCGACAGATTTAAATCATAACCGTAATTTTTTCCTCCATACACATTTTCCAATCTATCAGATTGTTCGAAATGAAGTGTCAGCACGCTGAATTGGAACGTATTGTTACCTTCTGAGTCCTATCTACAGTCAATATCTAACGTTATCTGATTTAGTCGAACCCTTTCCATGGGTTTTTTCACCCAAGCAGCCGTCCGAAATAGCTTCTGAAAAGTCTCCAATCTGTCAAAATATTGAAAGGAACCGGATCTGGTTAGGCAGAAAGTAAATCCTCTGTATATGGTGGTGGTGAAAAGGCGAATTTCCCCCAGTAGGTCGGAGCTTTACCCTATATAATTACACCATGTCAGAACAGTATTTGACTGATTACTCTAGGTACATACTCTTTTCTCTATCAAAGACTTGGTGTAGATGATAAAACTATATATAAATACAATATGTGCGACCGGCTTTGCAGTAATTAATGAAGAATGCATGGATCAAGACAGGTTAATTGCTGTAATTAAGCATAAGAACATCTGTTCGTGTGCCGCCTCTGACGCCCGCCGCTACCTGTCTCTCTCTCTCTCTCTCTCTTTGCTATCGTCGAGCTTGAAATATTTTCTGAGAGCTTTTAATAATTCATACCCTCTTTCTACTCATCCTACATTTATAAGCAGGCTTTCCATTTTCTTTTATTTTCCTTTCTCCTCTCTTTGTGCCCTGCTTGTTATTTGTATAGGTCGAACGGGAGAGGAGGACAATTTGCGAGTGTAGGTTGTACGTATATATCCAGATCTATAAGTACCTGCTTATTGGTGTGAATTTTTTAAGTTATTCTTATAAAAAATCTCTTCAACGAAACTTGCCGATATAATTACAAGAGGTTCTCATGCGAATAATGAAAAAGTTATCTTTTTTTTTAATTTATAGGTAACTATGGAAGTAAATTTGAAAATTGTTTGATCTATGCGTGACTAGTCGCTTATCGCCTTCTCTCCCACTGGACCGGCCTGGCGACGTTCTGATTTAAGGCGTTTAACGCGCATCGCCGCTCTCGTTCCTCTCGCTCTCTCTTTTCCTTTTTTTCTTTTCTCTCACCATATAGAGCCAAGTTGTATAATTAAAATCAATTATTTTTTCCATCGAAAAGCCGACAACACGCCAATTTTATTGATTTTTTTCTCTTCCTCCGTCGATCGTATGAGTGACAGATAGAAGCGACATAATTTATTGTGGCGCAGCCTGCGTCTATTATCGTGACGTGACAGGCACCTACTCAATTATTTATACCTAAATTAGACCTCGCCACTTTCTTCTTCTCTTTAACTATTCTGCGCATGCGCTACGACCTAGTTTTTCCCTTACGTGTATATTTAATGTAATTGTTTATTAAGCTCAAAAAATCCTCTGCTAAAAAATAACTAGTTAAGAGAGTTATAGATAAGTAGTCTGTGAGAGGAAAAGGGTAAATGAATGAATGAGTGAATGAATGAATAGCTAAATGAATGAAAGAAAGAAAGCGAGAAAGAAAGAAAGAAAGAAAGAAAGACAGACAGGCAGAAAGAAAGAAAATGTCTGTTTACAGTATTAATGTACACTTTATGGTATACAATTAATTAGCACCAGCTTTCTTTTTTTCCCCTATACAGCTGTGCTACAAAATCAAAGGTACGCCTCCCACCATCACTACTACGGCGGAGCCGAAGCGTCTTTCACAGAAACCGACAGTGTTCTGCAAGCGTTAAATGGTTTCCTTTTTATTGTCTCTTGTGATGGCGAAGTTTTCTTTGCCTCCAAAACTGTGGAACAATATCTAGGCTTCCACCAATCCGACATTATACATCAAAGCGCCCTCGAATTGATCCATTCAGAAGATAGGGAGGCGTTTAAGAGTCAGCTCAACTGGCGTTCCCAATTGCCCGCTGACCGACACGACATGTCTCTGCACGATGCTTTGCAGGCCGAAAATTCCCAGCTCATGACGCGTTCGTTCACTGTTCGGTTTAGGTGTTTACTGGATAATACTTCCGGCTTCATCGTAAGTTCTTTTTTTGCAACAGATGGCGCTAATTAATTGAGACTACAAAATTATTAATGACTTTTGAAAAATAATTTTCCTTCATTTCCTTCTTTTTACTTTATTTTCGTCTTATTAAAAAAGCAATTAAGAGAAATTGAAAGAACTCTACATGTAACTTGTTTTTCACAACTTTCAGACCTTGGAAATTACCGGCCACATGAAAGCGTTACTTGGTCAAAATTTAAGAGGTGAAGATCAACAACAGGTGGCGTTATTCGCCATGTGTTCTCCTTTCGGACCCCTGCCTATCCTGGATATGCCTCCTAGGGATTACACTTTCAAAACAAAGCATAAAATGGACATGGCACCGTTAAGTATAGATCATAGAGGCCGGTTGCTCTTTGGCTATTCAGACAGAGATCTCTTGGATAAGGGGGGCTACGATTTAATTCATCCCGACGACATCAACTACTACGCTGCAGCTCATCAAGAGATGATTAAGACCGGTAGCTCCGGTTTAATAGCCTATAGAATGCTAACGAAGGACTATAGATGGCTCTGGCTTCAATCCAGTTCTAAAGTTGTCTACAAGAACAGCAAGCCCGATTATGTTATGTGCACGCACAGGCACTTAACAGACGACGAAGGACGAGAATTAGTAACGAAACGTGGAACCGAATTCAAATTACCATATCCTTTAATCGACTCGGATCCTTCGAGTAACGCTTTCGAGGATGATAAAAATATTGCCCTAACAACAACAAAAAAGCCTAAAGCACAACTAAAAGAATACCTCCATACTGGTAGGAAACGAAAAACTCCAACAACGTATGCTCCAATAAACAACCCACCATATCCTCCAAGCGGCTATTCGTCTGACTTGGTTTATTCTCCTTATGCCAGTTATCCACTGGATACAGCGGATATCTATAGGACTAATTATATGAGCGTCTACGACAATGCCTATTACTCACAGTACCCTCTCTCCGCCTCCCAATACGGTTACGGATATGCACCTTACACTGATGGATATGGTTTGGATCTGAGACGACAGCATTACGAAAACTATTACGGTCTTACGGCCGACGACGCCCGGCAACGTCACTCAACAGTTATTCGAAGCGCCTGTTGCGAACAGAAAAACGGTTTAGACGACGCTGTAGCGCTATGTACGTCCATTTCTTCAAACTCATCGCCCGCGTCCGCCACAACAGCGACATCAGTGATACAAACGAAGAACAAAGAGAAATCAGGTGCTATTGCAGTACCCGTTGTTAAATCGTGGCCAACTTGTTCAAGTGCCTACGATTGGCCAGACTATACAGGTACTAATTATCATCATACTGATTGTTTGGCACCTGCCAGATTTTCTTACTCCGAAGTCTCTCAGACGTTGCTCAGTCAAACTAGTTGAATTTTTTGTTTGTTTCATTTTTTTTGTTTGTTTTATTTTTTTAGCCAGATTTATCTAGTCCGCCTCCTCATTCCTCGATTCTCTCTCTGTGCGTTCACTGTCTGTATATGTTAACGAGTATGTAAAATATATTATCTAAAGAGAAAAAATTGTACAAAATGACAGCAAAATTGGTATACAGTGTGTATAAATGTAACTCTATGCTGTCTGAACGGTATATGTAAAGATATTTTATGTATATATGCATATATATATATATATATATATATATATATATATGTGAATATGCATCATGAATAGATTAATATTGATATCTAAATACATATGCATAGTATTATACGTACTGTACATATATTTATGTATACGTATATATTATATTTATATACTTGTATAACTATATATGTATAAATATATATACATATATATTAATTTATTTTCAAAAAACAAGAAATACAAACTATTCCTTTTGTTGCTTCGTTCCGAGATAAAAAAAAAAAGAATGAAAATTTTCTCATAGAAAAAACAAAGAAAACACATCTTTATATTATAATTTTTTCCTCTCCAATGTAACATTTATAAAGGAATTTGTATTGAGATCATTTAATTCTTAATACATAAATTCCGAACAGCAAGCAATAATTTCTTTTTCATTTTTTAAAAAAAAAAAAAGATAGAAATAAAACAAAAAGGTCTCTGCTTGTTGAACAACACAATAACAGACTACAAAATTTGTATGTACAATTATTAAAGTTTTTTTTTGCATATACATTTTGTTATATTTCGTATGATAAAATATTTTACAAAATGAAAAAAAAAAACAAACTGTAATATATACATATATATATATATGTATATAAACATTTGAATCATTAATTATACATATATATATATATACATATATATACGACTCCTTAAAGCTTAAACTTTTTCTTTTTATAGCATAAATAAACTTTTTACACCTTTTACTTATGCATATTCATTATGAACATTTATAATTATAAAATTGAATGTATATAAGTATACATAAAGCAATTGTAAGTATACTACATACATATTTCCTCTCTCTCTCTCTCTCTCAACAATTTACGGGGAGGGAAGTTTGCAAATTGTTTTACATTAGAATTTTATCAAAAAATGTCAAATATCACAGCAACAAACTAGTGGCTTATTGTTTCAACGCCGTCTTATATAATAATTTCGATTTGCTAAGATGTCTATCATTTTCCATAACATGAATAACTTCTCTTGCTGTAATACGCTTCTTACGATTTCGAGCCTAAATTAAAGAGGAAAAACTTAATAAAAACAGCCAAAATTATCATCTCTAATCATCTATTTTGTCCGATTTTTTTTATACTATTAAACGAAAAAACAATATTCATAATTTACTAACCAGATTTTGCGGAACCCGATTTTGTCCGTTTGAATTCGAGTTTGATACTGGAGAATTGGCTAGTCTACTCTCTTCTTCTAACTTTCTTTTTCTAGTTCCTATGGCGGCCAATGCTGTTTCGTTTGCTTCCTTGTGTCGCAACTCCTCAGCCTGTAATTGCTGAAATTCTTTAGCTTTCTGCTTCAATTTCACCTGCTCTGGATCTTCATTCTTTGATCGACTTTTTGCCGCTCGTAACATTTGTTCACGTTCAACTTCGTCGTGTCTTTTCTTCTCAACTTTATCTATATCTTCAATAAACTTTAACTGAGTCCTGACGTCCGATGTCATCTCTAGATTATATTGTCCCCTATATAATTCAAGCCGATGTTCAGAAAGTACGATTAACTTTTCCATCATTTGTGTTAACCGTAACTGACAGGCGTGAGAGATCAATTTTGTTATATCGGATTGTTCCTGCTCAGTATCTAACCCGTGCTTTCTCATAACAGAATTTAAATAAGTCTGAAGGGAAGGTTGGGCAAGCAGTGCTTCGTCTTTATACGACCTTAATGTTCCTAAATCGTTTGCCGCCGCTAAATTTCGGGATTCTTCCGTAAGGTTAACTCCTCCCATAGTAGCAACGTCATTGAATTCGTCGTCATCCCTAAAGAGAAATGTTATTATAGCACTTACTCCTGCTATGCTTAATAGATTATAAAGTTAATTCAGTACTACTATATATTCTGTATATCATTTGACAAGCCGAGGTTGCATTTTTACACAGCTAACTATATAAGTTATAAATAATAATTTTCAACAAAACTACTAAAGAGTATCAACCTCTGTTTGACAAATAAATACATATATACTATATATACAGTATATATACTAATTTGATAACGTACTTCGACGATTCATATTTGTTTTTTGTTCGAACTGGACTTGTTGAACCTATTGTAGGAGGGATTGGCTTCATAAGCGTTGATAATGCTGAAACTTTGTCGATGCTTCCACCCGCTATATTTGGTCTTACTACTCTTTGTGTACTTAATTGTTGTATAGTTCTAGGCGGCCTTATTCCTTCTATTATCATATTCTGATTATGCATGGCATTACGAAGCAGGGGGAGTGATTTATTTAAAAAAGGCACTAGATAAGGTTGAGGCGAGGACTTCAATTCGCTTTGTAGTCGTTGAGTGAACTCTTCGGGTTTCATAATTCCATCTATTAAATTTTGTATAAGCTGACGGACGTTATTAACAGTAGACTCTGGCTGGTTCGCTGCTAATTTTAGAAGAGTTTGGAGAAAATTTTTGCATTTTTTCATATTCTCCTGTTGAGCTGGGCTTGCGTGCTGAAACAATAGACATTGTTACACTTTTGCATCAAATAGTTTTGTAAATAACTCCATTTCAATCGTTTACTCACAATTTGTTGAGAAGGCCTAACGGGTCGGATTGTAGTCGGAGTCTGTTGTCTGACGACTGCAGTAACAGGCTATAGAAAATTATTAAAATTATTACAAACGTCGTTTTTTATGGATAATTGTGTAACATCAGTAGAAGTTAGCGAATCGAATTGTTTGTAAATTGTTTATATTAAGATTTATGATCGTTCAGCATATTTGTTACTGATTTAGTTTTGTTACTATTCTTTTAAATAGTTATTCTTTATCAAAAAATATCTTTTTTTAAAATATATCTATATAGGAGAGAAAGAGAAAAAATCAAATAGTTTCTTTAGGCTAAACGTTCACAATTCAAAATAATTGAGATGACAAAGGATACTTTGGTGTGACTCAAAACAATAAAACACATTTAAAAGAACAGCAGAAGCTTTGGCATTCAAAAAAAAATAAAAGGATTTTTAAGCATAACAAACACATTTTTTTAGCAAGATTATGCCGAAAGGCAGTGAAATTCGTCGTCCAACTTACTCTGGTCTGCATTGCATGTTGTTGCTGATGAGAAACGGGGATCGATGCGGCTTGGGGTGGTGGAAGACCGAACTAAACGCAAACAATAGGTTTCTTTCACAGTTATATATATTTATGCATTCCACTATTCAATAAAAAACGTTGGGCAAAATGCAAATGCCTGCAGTTTTTGTTTGTTTGTTTGCTAGCAAAAGTTAATTAATAAGACCATCTTGTTAAAGCATGTTAAAATCACTGAAATAATAATATTTAAACTGCATATACGATTTTATAAAATTCTCTTTTCTATCTTTCTTTATTTTAAAGTTTCTGTTAAACTTTACGAAAGTCAATGGAATATTTATAGTATTTGTAAAAAAAATTTAACACTTTTTGCTGCTGCTGCTGCTAGAACCGTGTAGTTTCTTTTCGAATTCAATCTTTCTCTCTCTTTTCTTTTTCTGTTACCAAGAACTAACGACATCTGGTGGTATAAATGTAAATAACTTAGGGCAATGAACGAATGTGCATACAGCATTTGACCCCCTCATTTTATCAGAATATAAACAAGGGAAGTTATTACTAAAATAAAACTTAGCTTTGGTACATATGTTTATATGTATTTATATATATATATATATATATATATCCTCAGGGGTTTTCGCCAACTGACATTTGTTACTTATTGGAATTTTGACGGCATGGTACTCTAAATGAACTTTGTTCACTAAAGGATGAAATATTTAATTAGCTAAGATAACCTTGTTGAATAGTTCTAATGAGACTCCATTAATTAGTTATTTAACCAATGCTATATAAAAACTATAGAGACATTACACGTATTAAAACAGTCACTTTAACGATGCTTAAGGTCTTTAGATTGTTAATTAGCAAAAAAAAAACTGAGTAAAAAAATAAAAGTAAAATAACTAAAAGAGTAAAAATGAATAAAGTAAAATTGTTAATTAAAACAACACTCACTCGACTATTGACGGCGGAACGGACGGGTAGTTGCGTTCGAGCGGGCACTGGTGACGACATCATGACGTTTTGCTACACAATATAATACATGCACTATATTTTAGTCGCACAACAAAATCTTTAATATATCTATCCAGAAACGCATTCACAACATTAATTTCAAGAATGCAAGAATAAAGATTCTCGGAAGTTGTTGATGAATTACAATCAGAATAAAAAAAGAAATTGCATACATTCTATTTTTTTTTCTTTAAAATAAACAATTGAGTAGAGTCTCTACATTTTTTTTTTAAAAAAGATTCTACATCCTAGAATCAGAGCTTGTGTCCTAAGGGAAAACTTACGCGAACAGTTGTTGTGGTAACAGGACGCTGTTGAATTTGAGCACCAGTCTGACCTTGCAGAAGAACCCACTGTCCCTGTTCACTTTTCATTATGAGAGCATTCTGCCCCAAGGATTGAGGTAAGACGAGTCCCGGAGTCTGCTGCCTAGCTTGTGGTGCAATCCTTATTGGAGCACTGGTAACAGTCCGTGGAGCTAAAACTCTTTGTGGGGTATTTGGAGAATTCCTATTTCCAATCGTATTTCCACCAGCAACAGTGACAATTTGAATTTGCGATCTGATTGCACCAGTCACTTTTTTCGGAGTAGGAGACCTGGATTGAGCTAGCATACTAGTTGGAAGAGTCCCAACATTCGTAGATCCGACATTAACTAGTACAGGGTTAGTCTTGGCTGATACAACTATCGGTTGATTACCATTTTTTGTCACAATTTCAGCATTCTGTAATTCTTCAATGTGGTTATTGTTGACTGAATTACTAGGAATCTCTTTTGCGGCTGTTGGTGTACTACTTCTCACCAAACTATCAAAACGGCCATCGTCAGTGGAATCAGAATTTAAGAATTCCTCTAGGCCAGTCGCAGACATGTTAGCTTAGATCCAAATCCTAAAATTTATAGCAAATTTCGCTCGGATTCCTAGTCTTGTCGATGCCAAACGAGAAATAAAGTGCGCATGCGCGACAACGCCATGTTAGCGTTTTTGAGCATGCGCAAAGGTGAGACTACGAGAATGGAAACTGGTTACCGTTCCGTGTAAGATCAAAGTACAAAGGTAAATTTACGTTAAAAACGGTAAAGAAAAGCCCGTAAATAAATAGTTTGGGTTACAAAATAGTAGTTCGTAACTTCTAAAAAACTTGGATCTGTTATTCTGTCGTGTTTATAATCAGTTGTTATTGCAATGAAAAAGTACTATATCCTTAAATTCTATTCAATAATTTCTCATTTAAAATAGATGAACAGCTGCACAAAGCGTTTAACATTGACTGTTTGTTCTCTATATCCAGGAAATAATTAAGTAACATGAAAAACAGCCCTCATAAGCAGATGATCGAAAAAGCCGTTAATTCAAATATTCAATACCAGCATTTATTCAATAGATTATCCGCTAAGTATTCTTCATTTGTAGTACAATGCTAAATAAATTGCAGTTTATTGGAAGAATAACAAAGATTCCTTGAAAACTGTACATATTTTATATACAAGTGCAAACTAAAGATCGATCACCTTACCGCCGTATTTTTAGTTGGACAATTGCTGACTAAAACCGTAAAGACATTAGTATTATGTAGTATAATTATTTATTAGGTTCTTTTATTATGTAAATAGACAAGAAAATTATTTAAATAATAATTATAAGCATTTATTGCACCGCAAACTTAATTGAAAAAGGTATACTAGCTTTTGTAGCCTAGAAAAACTAGAGACACAAAACAATCTTTTCATATAAAATACTATAAGAAAAAGGGATGAACAGTTTTCTTTTATATATTATTAAAATCAGTAGAAAGGATTTTTTTACTCGGAATGTAAAAATCTTTTCGATTTCATTTGTTTTTATGATTTTAGTTCGATGAACACTTGAGAACCATCATCACACGTTAGCAAAACTAGCAAAATTTAAATAGAAATGTAGAATATTTCTTGAATGTTCAAAAATATAGTCATTTTCATTTCTCTAAGACTGTATTCATTCATTATTTAATTTACTAGTCATTCCATATGGGTAGAGGATGAGCTTCAGAGTTAAATACCCATTTATCAATACTCATTAGTTCGACATCATCACTGAACAGCAAGTAAAGATATTTGAGAGTTTCACCCGTCCAGAATGACTCCATTTTATTTCGATATCCCACATTTGATGGATTTTTTACATTGTCGATTGAACTGTTTTTTTTTTACAGAGAATTGTTAGAAATTGTTATTATTTTAATACCAATTAAACATTTACCTGTAGCCATTTTCGACTTTAGTATATTTTTCAAAGGCCTCAAAGATCTTCCATCCCCACTCTCTATATTTTGCATCTCCAGTAATTCGGTATAAGTACATTAAACTTTCAACTGTTTCGGGTCTTTGTAAATTGTGCGTATCAGCTGGTTTTACAATTATATCTTCAGTGGCACCCTCAACTTGGTTAAAGTAAGCAATTTCAGGGCTTAAATGTGTCGGCATTGTCTCGTACATTTTGTAGCAAGTTTCTCCTAATCTCTTACCAAGATCTAAATGATCTTTTCCAATATTATTGTGAGCAGCTAAAGCGAATGTACCTGCTAGAAAGCAGACGAGGTGATCCTAAATATAAACAGAATACAGATTATAGTATTATAAGTTAAGCATTTCCAAGCAATTTTAAGACAAACCATTTTAGGACTAAAAGTTCGGCTTCCCAGTAATTCGCCAAAATACAAATATCTATTTGGAACTGTTTCTCGCATTAAATGTTTTTTCATTCCTTCAACAGCTTGTAAATATTCATTTTTCATAACTTCATTCTTTCGGTTGCTTTGCAACCATTGTTTAAAAAGATATTCATAATAACTATCAGCTCTGGCTCCAAGAGTAATAGTTGACATTGACCGAAATTGACCAGTTCTTGCATTTATAAACATCGGAACCAGACCATCTTTCTTACCAAGTTGTAAGATGTGATTGCTAATTTTCTCTACGGCAGTCTGATAAGGATAGACAAATAGTAAATGAAATAAATCATATATTACAGCAAAGTTTGAAAATACAAACTGCATATTTATTATCACCAGTAAGTTTACTCAGATCTTTCATTTCTAACTGTACAGTTGTTACTTCTGATACACTACTATCTGGACCCCAGCGAGGTGCATGACCTATGCGAGTCTTAAGATTTACATCAGAGTATGGTATGGCACTACCAGATGAAAAAGCTCCCAGTAGTCTATCCCCAATGTCTGTAGCTTTCTCTAAAAATACATGTTCCTTTGATAAGTGATATGCACTAAGAAGTCCGCCTAAGATTCTTATTGTGGCCTCAAAAAAGTTGACATCTCTGTTCTTGTCGAAAGTTAATTCCTTTGCAACCCAATTCTTGGCTTCGTTAAATTCTTTAAACAACAACAATCATAATAAATATATGTAAGAGAGTATGTCTATTTTACTAACCGTCATGCAATCCCATTATATACATAGTATCAAGAGAATCGATTAAAGTTAAGCCAACACCAAACCATTCACTAGACGATTTAGTCAAAGGACGAAGTTCGTCATGACCCCAAGCAAAAGTTTTATAAGCTTTCCAAGAATATTTGAAAGCATTTACTACTGCTCGTTGTTTTTCATTTTGCGGCCCTTTTTTAATTAATTCTTGCTCTTTCTCATCCTATTTATGCATTAAATAAATGTTTTGATTATTAAAACTGAGGAATTGCCATTCAAAAACGAAAGTACAAACACTTAAGCCCCTTCCTCGTCTCTTTTGTAAAATAGGAGGAGCAATACGTACATTCTCCCCAGCGTTCTAAATGGACATAAAAAAAAGGATAACTAATATATTCTTATATATTGTCTTACGTACTCGTTCAGGTAATTTTTCCTTAACTGTCTTTACTTCTTCTGGCCGATTTGCAACACTTTTTTTAAATTTTTTTGGTTCTTTCTCTTTTACAGATATTTCGTTTTCTTTATTATTTATATTGTCTTTTACGTTCTGAATGTACATCAATTAGTAAGATATTTAATAAATATATGCTTCTATTTGCTAACTTGGATTTGACTCTCTTCTAAACTAAAATATTCCTTTTTTATTGTAGGAATGAGATAGATAGCTGATATAAGACCCAGTATAAGCATTACGAGTACAATACTCCTCTGTAAACTTGAAAGTCGATTCCAATACTAAAATTTAAAAATAAGAATAAATTTTCAGTTATATTTTATTTTTGAAAGTGTAATATTGCCAAATATAAATGATAAGGTATAGTTAGACTTTCTGCAAAAAAGAAATATTTACCCTCCATACTGCTTGACGTTTCGGCCGATTCGTGCCGTTGGAAATTATAGATATCGATGTGAACTCTCTATTAGATAAATTTGATCTCATTCCGAAAGTTACTGTAAAAAAATCGTGATATTGATAAGCTTATAATGACAATTCAATCAGTAAACAAACTATATATTATTTTTTCTTTCTTTCTTCAAATTGCAGTGTTCTACTAGAAACTCTTTCCTGAATTAATCAGGAAAAGGATGATGTTTAAAATCAATTAACTTAATTAAATTAATCTTAGACTTGTCTTTCCATGTGTATCGCTCATAGAAGTAAAACTAGCAAATTTATTGATAACGCCCTCTACATAATCTAAAATCGAAATAATGCTCCCGTCCAATCACAAAAAGCTATTCTATTCTGCTCAAACTATATAAAGAGGACCACTGTACAATCTATTCCAGACAATCTCGGGAAGCACCATTGACTGGTTAAAGCTCCTAGTTCATTTTCTCGAATAAATGAAAAATTTAAGGGAGCTGGATACCATATTTCATAACAAAGGAATTCTCATGTAAAAACCCCCTCATCGCCATTTTGCAAAGCAGAAGAAGAAGTGAGAGCAGGAGGAAGAAATCAGAAAAAATCTCTTGTATAACTATTAATCTGTAAAAAATGGCTGCATCTCAGCAATCACAAGCCGGAATTCCATATTTGGGTAGTCGAATCAGTCTCATATCAAAAGCACAAATTCGATATGATGGTATACTATACACAATTGATCCCAACGAATCTACTGTTGCTCTGGCTAAAGGTTAGTGCTGTAAATTAAAGCTATTAATTCTTTAATGCAAGAACGTGTCAATTTTTCTCTTTAGTGCGCTCATACGGAACAGAAGATAGGCCAACTGATAGACCAGTACCTCCTAGAGAAGAAATATACGAATATATAATTTTCCGAGGATCTGATATAAAAGATATACACGTTTGTGAACCACCAAAGCCACAAGGTCCGTTTCCTCATGCATCTTTACCTCACGATCCAGCTATTGTTAAGGTAAAATTTCATTGTCCATTTACTGGGACGCTTTCAGTTTTAAAATTAAGTAGAACCGATAGTAGAAATTCTTGAAATAAAGTTTAAATAGATAATAAATCCAGTAGAGCACATATGCGTACATACTAAGAATGAAATTCCATGTTAATTAATAACTATGTGTAAAAAGTCTTGAATTTAATTTGCCTTGTCACAATTTCAACCCAATGATTGTGTAAATTAACTGATGTTTTGATAATTTTTTTCAGTCGTCACAGCCAGCACAACCTACTTTTGCACCTTCTGGTTTAACAGCAGCAGCATCCGGTGCGTCTAACGCGACAAGCCCTTTGCAAAGTCGCGATAAGTCGGAATACGCTCCCCCCATCCCTTCTTCCCCGCAACAACCCCCCCAGGTTCAATCACCAGGTACAGGACTTAGCTTGGTATATCACTATATACTATATAAGGAAGTGCTTACTGTCTCTAAGTGGCTTTCCTGCAAAAATCTTTTTTTGTTTAATTATAAATTTAAAAACCAAACGAAACATATATTCTTTACTTAGAGCATAAAGTTATTTTCATGTTTTAAGAGAATAACAATATACTTCCTAAATATAGTATATATATTACCATTTATTCTCCATAGACATAACCAAAAATGAACTTGTTTTAATTAAATGCCACTCTATTAATTATATAAAAAAATGTGGTTTACAAGTTGTTTTATAGACAAGAAAGGATGAATATGGAATTATATAAATTGTTGAAAAAATTAACAAGATATATATATATATATAAAAGAAGTAATTCCTTATTCAGAATTTTTTTATGAAGAAAAAATTTTTTTCAATCTATTTGACCATTTTAAGAAAAGACATTATGAAATCAATTTTTTTGTCAGGAGCATGTCTGGGTTATATCTATGGATCATTTAAAAGACAGGCTCAGCTAACTTGCCCCCTTTTTTACTAATTTTGCGCTTCTCTGACAAAACATTTTTTTCGGTTTTTTCGGCAATATAAGGAAATAATTAAAACATTAATACAGCGGTCAAGTTTTTTAAGCCAACCCTCGATCAAGGTGTGCAAGTTAGCATGAGAGTTCCATTTAAAGGTTTGACAACGACAATAAAATCTTCATAAAAATATTAAATATCTGGCTCACGGAGGACATTATTGAGGATTTTTCAATAATCGTTGATGGTTTTCTTTTTGTTTGCTTTTAGTTTCAAGTAGTGGACACCACGGAGGAAAATATACAGAAAGAGATCAGAGAATGAAAACAGACGACTCGCAAAGAAGGGGAGGGCATCCCAATCGTGGGCGTGGCGGTAATAATATGAGAGGCTTTTCGGGAGTTCGAGGTCAGGTATATAGACAACAAAGTGGCCCAAGAGGTCGAGGTGGTTCCAGTGCTGGTCGTGGAGGAAGAGACTCGAGAGAAAGAAGCAAATTTGATTCAGATTTCGATTTTGACGAAGCAAATGCTAAATTCAGTAAAGAAGAATTGGAAGAAGAAATAAAGAAAAAGTTAACAATTACCGACGGTGAAAAAGAAACTAAGGAAGAAGAAGGTAAAGAAACAGAAGAATCTGTTTATTATGATAAAAAGAAAAGCTTTTTCGATAATCTTTGCGACGACACCGGTGAGGACAAAGAAAGACCCAATTGGAGAGAAGAACGAAAGCTGAATTCTGAAACTTTTGGGGTATCTTCGGTTAGACGGGGTAGAGGGGGCGGTTTCCGACCGGGCTCAGGAAACTTCAGAGGGGGAAGAGGATATAGGGGACGTGGTGGCGGTCGAGGAAGCTACAACAACTTTAGAGGAACTGGTAATGGAAACAACGGAGGTTTTCGACAAAGTCGCAGGGGGTGGGTAGACTATGAATATGATATTCCTGAGAAACCTTCGACAAAAAATCCATCGAGTAATTAAATTAATTTTGAAAATTTGTTGTTATTACGGTTATTATGAAAATTGAAAAATGGGTTGCGGACTGAAGAAGATTTGTTTTAGTAAGACCGCAAACTCCACATAATATATCGAGCTGAATCAGACTGGTTTTAGTAAGCTCGATGTTCGTTCTCGTTGTTTTTTCTTTTTGTTCCGTCTTTTATCTACATATTACAAGAGATTTTTTGAGTAGAAAATTTTAATAAAACGGTTATTGTATTTTTGTATCGAAAACAAGAGAGAAAAAGAGAAAAATATGGAAAATGGAGACAATAGAAAATTAGGAAAACTTGACAGAAGATAGAGCGACTAGGCTTATTTGGTTTTTTATTAGCCATCAATAAAAGGGTAGTATTAAATTATAAGATAAAAAGAGTACTCTAAATAGAAATGCCTAACTAATTATATATATATATATATATATATGGTATATATATTGTTTCTTTTTACTTTTCCGCAATGTTTGCTTTGAATTAAGTAATGTAGATTAATATACTGTTAAAAATAGACCTAGTGTTCGAATACACTTGCGCATATATTTAGAAACATGTGCCATTTATAGAAAAAAATAGCAAAATTTGAAATATGAAATCGGATTAATAAATACCTTGGATTTAAAGAGATTTAATATATGTCGTATATAACATGTGAAACCACGAAGATGGTTAACACGTCATTTATTATTTGAATATATTTTGTGAATATTGATAGAGAACTATACCGTTCCCCGCCTCTTTGATCTATTTCCCATTCAGTCATATTGTTTAACGCAAAATAAAAAAAATCTTATGAGATTGATTGTAAGATTTATATTATGAAAATTTGTATTTGGCGCTCAGCGATTATATTTATCGACCAATCAGATACTAAGAAAATTTTACTGCAAGACTCGCATTCATACGATTCTCAACGTATGTAAGAGGTAAGTCTGTAATTTCTCGTGAAAATCTATGTTACCGTATTATTCGCTGATAGTTTCATATTTTTAAAGAAATCTGTATTCAAATCAGAATTAGTTTTAATTATCTAAACTTATTATTTGTAACTCATTCGATGGATTTATATGTATATAAACAAGTCGGGACAACTACTAGATTTTGTAATGTAAAAAAAACTATTAGATATTTCAATATATAAAAAAGGACATGATTAAGCAGGCAGAGTGCTGAATAGATATTTTATATTTTCATTTTCCCCCTATTTCTCTGCCCGATTTTTGTTGTTGAAGGTAGAATTGTAGACAAAAATGCCAAGGATAATGCCCTATTGATTGATGATCGATTAAAGTATATCGATTTTTTAGCTTAGCCAAAGGAAGAGACTTTTATACAGTTGGAGCTAGACAATATCTTGGAAAAAAAACGTCTCCTTGGTAACGCTGCGCGATATACCTGAAAAAAAAAGAGCGTCTGATTATATTGAGAGTTTTTGTTATATAGAGAATTGAATGGGCGAAATATCTATTGAAAAGCCAAATATATATATATATATATATATATATATATATTTTGTAGGCATAGTCACATTGGACAGACGTGTTTGATTAATAACAAATTTTTATTAAAATCTATAAACTGTCGATTCGAGAGAAAGTAGATAATTAAGGCTTAAAAACATATGTATATATATATATATATATATATATATATATATGTATACATCTATAGACACATATGTGCAGATACGCATTTATACATAAGTATAGGCTGAGTATTAATAATGTACTGATTAATATATAGAAGAAATATATCTTACTTTTAATAATATGCGACTATTAAAAAGGTGTATATTCACTTTGATATTCGCTACCTTAACTGTATGCTTGACTACCTCTCAGAAACGTAATAAATCTTTAAAAGTTCTTTGTCGTAATTTATCTGGATATGTTTTATTATTATGATATTTTTAAATACCCGAATACGTAATAATACTCATACATACCGTAATACATAACGAGGAAATGAATATAAGTATTTCCAGTCTTAAAAACTACTCTTAATGGCGATTAGAATATTCTATGGAATTCTTATAAAATATTTATCATAGAAAATGAAATTGCTTGAATGACAGTGTTTACGCGTGCGCTGACGAGATAGGAAAATACGGCTTACGATTGTAATTTAATGGGACTTAAAGCACTATTTATTCTTATTCCACTATTTAAAAACGTCTATCTATTCATTCCTCTTGTGCTTCTACTTCTTCCTCTAAATATTCTTTATTTTTTGCAGATATGTCGTCTGGAGGGTGGATGGGACCTCCCGGCTCCGTTTGCGATCCGGAGGATGATCGCGTTGGCAGTGGAGGAACAACTCCCGGTCGGGACCTTCGTCAACAAAAACTAGATGCTCAAAGGGCCCGCATGGAGGAGGACAAAATCAGGAAGAGAAATCGACCAATAGGCCAAGTAGTCAGTACGTCTGTCGCGTCAAACAAAACGAATCGAAGTGCAAAGAAATCTGGAAAAGGCTACGAGGCCCCACTTATAACAGAAAACCAAATTGGTGAAAGTCGTCCAGAACCGTACGCTTACGTGGGTCCATACGAAGATAATAGAGAAAATAACGGAGGAAGAACCGCTATCCAAGTGAGTGGCTAACCTATTAAAATAAGCATACAAGATATCTGACTTTGGCAATTGTCCTCATATGGTTTGGTTCCCTCAAACATTAGATATCGCCTAAAAAAAAAGACAGAAATTCTGACTCATTCTGCTTAGATGCAAGTTCAGACCAGTATATAAGCCTTTACCAAAGTCAAATATCAAGTATATGCTATTTTGTATGTAGTCATTGGTTCTTGTTATGACCGTTTTTTTGTGAATAAGGGTCTTACGAATGCATATTCTCATACACCGGTTAGTATTTTATTGAATTTGCCGATATGGCTTACTACTATTGGCTGATTAGAGGCTTTGGCGATTTAACAGTTTTTTGCATGATAAAAATGATGATTCATTTTTTTATTTTTTTAAATTTATTATGTATTTTAGTAATTAGTTTACTAAGCAATACTACTCGACGAATATTTGTCAAGATATAAATCCATTCTGCTAAATGAAAAAAAATATTATTGATAAAAAGTCGATAAGAAAATAGGAACAAAACGCATAAAAGTATAATATATTTAAACGAAAGCCGTTCTATATATATATATATAAAAACATAATCCTAATTTCTTGCTTAACATTTATTTGCATATATACAGAGAACGTATATGTGTATATATATATAGATATACATGCAATACTTGTATTATATATATATATATATATATATATATATTGTATACTTTAATCGTTGAATAATAATCGTATATATATATATCATCATTATTCTAATTAGTGAATTCTTTCTGGACTACTATATTGTTTGCTATTCAATTTATAGGTGGTATCTGTTAAGGGAGTGGAAAATAGCGAAACGAATGACTATGATATACAAGACGACGTTGACACAATTCCAACAATCGAAACTCAAGGTAAAGTATTTTTTGCTAGTATTTTTCCTGCTTTCCCTCCTTCCCGGCAAGAAGAAAAAGGGGGAAGTAAAGTTTACAGGCGTTGTGATTGAAGCCACTAACAGAAGGGAAATTGCCCGAATAATGTATTTATTGTAATTGACAAAAAAAAGTCCCTTCCTAGGATTTTTTTTGCATGTCTATGTTGCTCAGTTGACTAGTTGTTGTTGTTCAGATGATTATGAAATAGACAATGCGATCGGGAATAGAAATAATGCCCGAAAGCCAGAAGGAAGAAAGAAAAAATCCAGAAGAGAAGAAAATTCACAAAGTTAGTGACGTTGTTGCCACACGTTTATCCTTCATTTTAGATAGATGGAAAAGTCTTGTTCAATAGATTAGTATTCTTTGTTAACAGGTGTATATTTTCTTTCTTAGATGGTAATCAGAAAAGAAATGATAGGCAACCTAGAAATCAAGGACCACCTTCGTACGAAAATTTCGCACCGAATCCTTCGGGACCAGGAAGAAGTCGTTCGAGTTATTCGACTAATAAAGCTCGGGATGAAGAAGAAGAGGTACTTTTTTTTCTTTTTCAATTTTTTTTTGGAAAAAAAAAATAATAGTAATTTTTTATATATTTCTAACGACCTTCCGTTTCACAACGGAAGTGCATAGTTTTTCGGTATCATGTTGGTCTAATTCCAGTGGAGAGATTTATCAATGTGATATGTCACAAGAGGAGAGAAAACAACAGGTTTACTTAGCCATAAAATAAGCAGCAAAATTATTCAACTCCTCGGAAAATATATGTAGATATATATATATATAGATGCATTTTGTCTATATATATATATGGTACTTTTAATGTAGGCAGTAAATAAAGGTTTTAGACTTTTTCGTGTCATACCCTAATAGACTATTCATAACTTCCTGTGTTTTTTTTTTAATTTGAAGGATCCCCAATATGAAAACTCTCTTGGTATTGATCCAGCAGAGGATCTAGAAAATTTTGTAGTGCAGCCAGCTCCTCAAGGTGTCCAGATAAAATGTAGAATTACTCGAGATAAAAAAGGCGTTGATAGGGGAATGTATCCAACCTATTATCTACATATGGAACGGGATGATGGGAAAAAGGTTAGTACATTGACTATTGTAATGATAAAATCTAGGATAATAAGATAGACTTAAATACTCAAAGACGAAATTCATTATATTAGCATTTGCATAAAGAGCAAATACATTCTATTTAAAGTATTGATTAAAATTAAACCAAAGCAAAGAAAGAGAGAAAGACAAACAAACTAACAAAAATACAAGCCAAGAAAGTTATTAAATAAAATGAAAAGGTTGTTTTATGATATCGTTTGTGTTTTTTTCTTTCATCTTATTATGTAGTTGAGAATATACAAAAATTGCTGTATGAAGAAATAATCTTAGCCTTTATTCTATGATGATTAATATATTCTGGCGATAGGATTATTACTAATGTAGATTTATTTACTTAGCATAAAAAAAAGAATATCAATCTATAAAAAAATAAGCGATCTTACTTATAAACTTATGCATGTGCTTTAAAAAAAAATACTACAGGGTGAAAAGGTAAGTAAAGAATACTAAAAATAAGAGAAAGAATGAAAGAGCTTGTGAACTTTTATTCTTTTTTCTTTTATTTTTCTTATATTATTTTCTTCAGTTCTCACAAACTTAGTTTTCATCTAAAGCTTCTTATTTTTATTTAACACGAAACACACAAAAAAGATATATTTAGGGTTTTTTTTTATTTATTTATTTATTTCTCTACTCTTTCCATTTTATGATATGTCTATATATATATATATATATAGACATATATATATATAAATTTGTTTTATTTCTTCAATAACAAACACAATTTATAAGATTTTCACAATTTTCTCTATTAACTATATCTATCGGTTGGTACAAATATATGGACTGCTCATGTTTAATATTTTATCGGATAACTGATAAGAGGTTGATATGATAATCAGCCCTTGTCACGACTAAAAATAAATTAAATGCTTGTTATTACTCATGATCGGTCCTAAATAGACCTTTTTTTTCTACTTTATTTTTATCTCAATTTATAACACTCAGTCAACAAGCCTTCGTTTTTTTAGGTATTCTTACTGGCTGGCCGGAAACGTAAAAAGTCGGCTACTGCAAATTACTTAATTAGCATTGATCCCACGGATTTGTCGAGAAATGGTGAAAGTTTTATTGGAAAACTCAGGTCAAATCTGCTGGGTACTCAATTTACTATCTTTAGCAACGGAATAAGTCCTAAAAAGGGCCATCAACATCCAGATGGATCAAATCTACGAAAAGAATTAGCTGCAGTTGTTTATGATACAAACGTCCTGGGCTTTAAAGGTCCTAGAAAAATGTCTGTAATAATACCTGGCATGAATATGTCGCATGAACGAGTCGAAGTTCAACCACGTACTGAACATGACGGTCTCGTTGAACGGTGGAAGCATAAAAGGATGGAAAATTTATTGGAATTACATAACAAGACACCAGTTTGGAATGAGGACACACAATCCTATGTTTTAAATTTTCACGGTCGCGTTACTCAAGCATCCGTCAAGAACTTTCAGATAGTACACGATAACGATGGTTTGTAGCTGACCTTTAAATAAATAATACGACTAATCACAAAAGATACGATTATTACCTTATTGTTCCTACAGTCGACTACATTGTCATGCAATTTGGAAGAGTAGCCGAAGACGTGTTCACTATGGATTATAGCTATCCTATGTGCGCCTTGCAAGCCTTCGGAATCGCCTTGTCGAGTTTCGATAATAAGTTGGCGTGTGAATAAACTCTGCATGGACTCGTTTTTATTTTCAAAAATCAAATATTTTTTAAAAAATAATTTGAAGAATTCGCGTTTATGCAAAAGAACTGTAAAAATGATATTGCACGTTCACGCAAGCAGCATTTTTGAAGGGTTTGTGTATTATTTTTGTTTCTTTTGCTTTTTAATTGTCTCCAAACATTTTATGCATACATTTTATATGTATATATATATATATATATATATATGGAACTATATATATACAATATTTAATGTAAATTACTTTTTCTCTTTTTTCTATTCTTATCTTTCTCTACTTTCCCCAATCTCTATTTCCTTTCATCCCTTTTCACTATACCATTCCTCCTTCTTTCCATTTGCATTATTCCTAACAACAACTCTTGAAAGAAAATTAATAAAGATATTTTATCAGCATTCCTTAAATGCCCTTCGAAAAAACTGCATTTACGAGAAATGATTGTTGTTTTCTGTATCCGTCCACACTGTATTTGTCTGTGTGATTTCTAAAGTATTTTATTTTATTATGTTTTTTATTTTAAATATTTGTTTCTGTCTCACTTACTAATGAATTTTAAGTTATTTGCACTTAAACGTATTCTTTTTTTTTCCAATGTCAAGTATTGTTAAATTGATTAACCCGCTACTAATAAAAACATACACTATGGATAATTGGAATTAATACCGAAGATATAACTACGTTGACCCATCTATAGAAGATATAAATTTATAATATATATTAGCGATATACTTGAATACTAAAAACAGTACACCTACATTCTATTTAATGCAGTTTTTACTGAACAAAGTTATCTTTAAACTTTTATTCATATATTTAATACGAAATATTCATAGGGACTCGACTGTGTTCTACTTAAGGGACTATGTTAGCACTTATTTTACAACTTAAAATATATTCTATTTCTTTAATAGAAACAACACAAAGGAGATTTTCTTCTCATTTTGTTCTTTTATTATTACATAAACTATACTGGTTTAAGAAGCACCCGTTGTAGTGTATAGAAAATAATCAGCTTATTATAACCACCAAGTATAAAATTGATATATAGGAAACAACCAGTTCCCTTACATATAATATTTATAAGTGTGTACTGTAAACACTATATATATATATACATTATTATATATACTAGTATACACATCAAATATATGACCTATACTTCTATAGAATTATGCACATATAATTGTTAGTGTTGTCTTTCCGAGTTATATGAACTTTATGAAACAAAATTTATATTTATTTATTTATTTATGAAATTAAATGGAATTGTTTACTTAAGTAAAGCCGAAGCGTTTTACATATAAATACTATATAGAGGTCTATATATTTATTTATTTATTTATTTAAGAATTAGGATATTCCAATATTATTTAGAAATAGACTATGCCTATTGATAAGTTCCAAAATAAATTCATAATTATTTTCGTATCCTTCTTCGATCAACGCTAAATATTTTAAAAAATAATTTACCGTAAAATATTTTTTGATAAATATCTATTAAATTTAATTAACTCAGTTTTATAAAAGTGCCACATATTCACCTCCCTACTTGGACACGAAGTCAGTCACGTGACTTCCGTTTTTACTAACGTGTCCAAGCTTTCGTTTGTCTCAGAATGACATCGACAACGAATCCTACTCTCCATAAAGGAATTGTTAAGCAGGTTTGTGTTAAATACATTAAAAAAAGTACTTTTGATTTAACGGGAGAAAATTTGGAGGGCAACAATATGTCTGTCTCAAGTAAAAAGATGTTTTTGTCGGCGAGCATGCCGGATGAGTAAAATTTTCAATAAGCTTCAACAGTTAAATAAAAAATTTTAGCTCACAAATGATCTACTACCAATAAGAATATTATTCTGGAAACTTCTGTATCTAATCAAATTTTGTTTTGACCTAGAAAATATACCTTATGATGACAATCAATCTACTTAAATGATCAAAGTTCTAAGACACACAACTTTTATTCTGAAAAACGTATGAAACACTCAACAAAGCATTTTCACTTTGATTACAGATCGTTTCTGGCGACTGCATTGTAATAAGAGGGCAACCAAGAGGAGGTCCTCCACCAGAAAGAACCATTTGCTTGTCAAACATCGAAGCACCCCGTCTTGCTCGTCGTCCCAACCCAGCAAACACTTCTGAAGTTAAAGATTCACCTTGTGCTTGGGAAGCAAGAGAATTTCTTCGAAAGAAACTAATTGGAAAGGAAGTTTGCTTTTCAATCGAGTATAAACTACCAACAACTGGCCGGGAATATGGTTTCGTTTGGTTGGGAAAGGACAACACAGGAGAAAATGTTGCAGAATCTCTTGTTGAGCTAGGATTTGCAGGTGTTAGGAAAGGAAATGCAAAGAATGACAGCGAAGCTCAGGTTTTTATATATATTATATCTTAAATATATGTATATTCTTTAAGCCTATAATCTTTAATTATACAGTATATTGTTTTTTATCTGTAATTTAATTTATATAATTACAAATAGTAAATTTTTTCGTTTTAGACCAGATTAGTTGCTTTGGAAGAGAGTGCTAAGGCTGCCCAGAGAGGTAAATGGGCAAACGATGCTGATAAAACCATAAGAGATATCTCATGGAATATTGAAAAGGATAGAATGAGAAATTTTGTCGATTCAAGACGTAGCAAGCCGATAAAAGCTGTTATCGAACACGTCAGGGATGGATGTACAGTCAGAGCGTTTTTATTGCCGAATTTCGAATATATAACCATTATGTTAACTGGAATCAAGACGCCTATGTTTAAACAAGAAGGTGACAAGCAAGTTCCCGAGGAATTTGCAGAAGAAGCAAAATACTTTGTCGAATGTCGACTTTTACAAAGAGATGTCGAAATTATCCTAGAAGGACTCTCTGGTATGAATTTCTTGGGAACTGTCTTACATCCTAATGGAAATATCAGTGAACTATTACTGAAAGAGGGTTTCGCAAAGTGTATAGATTGGTCTATGGGCTGTGTAAGTAAAACATAAAGAAAGAAAATTACTGTTAAATAAGAATGAAAGACGAAATGAAAGAAAAAACATTAATTTTATCTATTCTTCTTTATAGGTCACTCAAGAAATTGAGAAGATGAGAAAGGCTGAAAAATCGGCTAAGGAACGTCATGTCCGTTTGTGGAAAGACTACAAACCACCGTCGAATTCGCATACTTCTCCCGTCCAAGATGGCTCAAGCAGATCGTTCTCTGCTAAGGTCACTGAAATTGCTAACGCAGATGCACTTGTCGTCAAAATGGACAATGGAACTGATCGCAAAATCTTTTTGGCTAGTATCAGACCTCCAAGATTGCCTAACGATAGTGATAAAGCATCTCCTGATAAGAAGAAAATTAAACCTCTTTACGATATTCCTCATATGTTTGAGGCTAGGGAATTTCTTAGAAAGAAATTGGTTGGAAAAAGGGTTAAGGTGTCAATTGATTACATTCAACCAGCATCTAACCAATTTCCAGAAAAGACATGTTGTACTGTGCACATCGCAGATATTAATGTTGCTGAAGCTTTGGTATCCAAAGGGTATGCAACTGTCGTAAGGTACAGACAAGATGATAATCAGAGAGCTGTATGCTACGATCAACTTTTGACTGCTGAGAATAGAGCAGAAAAGAAGAATGTTGGAGTTCACAGCAAAAAAGAATATGTGCCCGTTAGAGTGCAAGATCTTTCGGGAAATGTTAATGCTTCAAGGCAATTTTATCCATCCTTGCAAAGGGCAGGTAAAACTGACGCACTAGTCGAATTTGTAGCCTCCGGATCTAGATTAAGAGTTTACATGCCCAGAAATACGTGCATAGCCACTATTTTACTGGCTGGAATTGAATGTCCAAAAGCCAGTAGACAAAATGTACCCGCTGAGCCTTTCGGAGAAGAAGCTTTAGCTTTAATAAAGGAAAAAGTTCTGCAACACGATGTTCAGGTATACTTGAGAGAGCATATGTGAGAAACATTTTACACAACAATCGCCTTATATTTCAGGTTGCTGTTGAGAGTATGGATAAGGGTGGAAATTTCATAGGATACGTTTACACACTTGACGGACTTAATTTATCGGAATATTTGGTTAAGAACGGTCTAGCAAAGTTACACTTTTCCGCCGAGAGAGGACCACATTATGGCGCTTTAAGCTCTGCTCAAAGTGCAGCTCAAAGGGAAAAGCTCAACATCTGGCAAGATTATGAAGCCGAAGCAGAAAGTCATCCCGAGATCGATATCGATCCATCTGATGAGAAGCCAGAGGAAACCGGAAAAGACACAAAGGAGTACGAAAACGTAATCGTTACGGAAGTAAGTGACGACTTTTTCTTCTTTGCTCAGGACAGTGGCAAGGGTCCAGCTTTGGATAAATTAATGAATGAATTGAGAACCGATTTAGCATCGAATCCACCAGTACCAGGGGCTTTCCAACCAAAGAAAGGTGATCTTTGTGTAGCAAAATTTAGTGAAGACCAAACTTGGTACAGAGCAAAAATTTTGAGCATTGATGCACAAAAACAAGCAGAGATTCTTTTTATCGATTTCGGAAATGTAAGTAAAAAATTAAATTGAAAGAAAAAAAAAACATCTACCTATTTTAAATTTACAACGAATACCGATGTTTTTAACAGTCTGAAAGGCAGGAAATTTCTAAATTGGCTCCACTTGCCGCAGCCTATAGAGACTTGCCTGCTGTAGCGAAAAAGTACACTTTGGCTTGCGTTACTTTGCCTTCAGAGGACGAAGATACACGATATGTAAGAATCATGATATTTTGCCACCTAGTAAATATTTTTTCAAATAAATTCATTTATGTTGTTTACAGGATGCTTGCGATGAATTGAGGCGATTAATTAACGGTTGTGAGTGTAGATTGAGCGTCGAATATCACGTTTCAACCGATTTAGATGCTGTTCAACTTCTGCACTCGCAAGAGGATATTGGCCAGCAGTTGGTAGCAAATGGATTCGTTGTTGTCGATAAGACTAAGAGGAGGGATAGGAAAGTTCGCGAGTTGTTTACGAAGTATACCGCGGACCAAGAAAAAGCAAAAACTAAACGACTAAATATTTGGATGTACGGTGACATTACCGCTGACGATGCAACTGAATTCGGTTATAATCGTTAAGTTTGTAAGTGAAAATAAATTCATTAAAGAAGCAAACAAAATATAAAAAATAATAAAGCAAACTATATATAGAAAAATTTATATTCAACTATTGTAGAAAATTTATTTTCAGACTTATGAGCCTTTAACAAAAAAATTGTTGAATGTATGCTATTTTATTGTGGTTTGGGATCACTGTTAACATTAATCCTTCGAAGACGTTGCTTATTCATTTATTAAAGCCTATAAAACTCCCGTGTACCCATTCCAAAAAAAAAAATGTAATGTTTGTTTTTTTTTTCTTTCCTCGACAGAAAAATGACTAAATATAAATATATATTTGTTTGTTTGACTATAAAATCAAGGTGCCAAATTGTAAGCGTACCGTTTCAAAAGTTTCAGTTATAAATCGATTATGTTTAAAAAATAATAAACGTCTAATGAATGATAATTAAAAAGTGTTCAATTCAATTCTATTGGGTTGGGGATGAATTCATATTTCTAGTAGATATTTGTTGGGTTTGGGTTATAACATATAGACATCTCTAAATGTCTATAGTTCAACTGATGGACAACTGACTGCAAGATATTCGGTTGGTAAGTAACTATTAAACTTTTTCAAACTCCGAAGTGTATTGTAGAACAATGAAAAAGTCTATTTTTCTATTGCAAAAATCTACGAACTGTATGTTTTTTGCATGTTTTTCTATTAATGAATTCTTTGCAAATTGAACCAGAGCTATATATTTATACATTTTACAAGCATATTTGGCAAAACTGAGAAGAAACTTTGTAAATACATTAATAAAATGTGGGGCAAAAATTGATTTCTTTTTTTTAGCATATTAAATGCAGTTTTTAGTCTTTATTTTGTACATATGGTGCTTTTTTTCCCTAGCGGACATTCAATTTGTTCCGTAGCTTTCATAAATCATTCATTCTATATGAGCAGTAGCAAACTTTGCAAACTTTCTTTTGAACATTTTAACAGTTTTAATATTTTCCTTCGGCAACGTTCGTTGTCTCTCTTATGGCTTTGTTCAAGCCTCTCCTAGCCATTATATAATCTCGAACGGAGAAACCAAAATCGAATAAAAATGCAAATAGGGCCAAGAAACCGAAAGCTACACTAGCTTTTTCAACTCCATTGCAGGCTTGAACAGCCAAAATAAGGTCTCCAAAAAAATAGAAAACGCATATTATGCCGTAAAAGGCAAACATCTGTAGTTGTGAAAAAGACAGGAAATTTCCAAAATTAAACTAAAATGCATTTAAAAGAATATATGTAAAACATACTAAAAATGGCCAATTTATACATGTACACCTAAATATTCTTCTTTGTAATTTGCAGAGAAATAATAGCCATACTATGCAAACTAATATGAAAGCTGTTATGGTAACAAACTTGAAATATCCAGCTGTAATCGATGTCTTGACACAAGATGGAGCCACCATGATAAGAATAAATGCAATTAGAGATAAGATTGCTTCAAAAGCCTTCGTAACAGCAGGAATACCTCTGTAATAGGCTCTATCCATTATACCAGAGTTTTCCTCCGTCGTGGTTGTCGTCGTCGCTGAATAAAAATGAAAAAAAAATGTGTTAAAATCCGGGCTAATTCATTAGTTATAATTAATACAAAAAGAGTAAAAAATCCCTATTAGTCATTAGGATAGTCAAAAGTCCGTAATTTAATCAATACGCCCCCTTGCCAGTGTCAATTCGTTTTCCACAGTTTATTCTTATAGTATTCCAAGGTATTTTATAAAACTTGAAACTGAGGTGAAGTGTATTGCACTTACTGGTAATAACTGTCTGATTTCTCTCCATATTTCATAGGTAGGTGCAAGGAAACTCTCGTCAGACGAAGAACGATTTTCAGCTAGTAGTCTGTTCGGAGTAGAGATCTTGTGATAGTATTGAGTATATAGTCAGCCATGCGCCAACTGTTGTATAGTTTATTGATTAATATTATTGTTATGTACTGCTTTACCTTTTAGATAAAGTACTCTATAGAACAAATTTTGTAAAATACATTAACCGCCGATAATACTATAAATATATCGCAATTATGCAAAATATAATATATGCGGAACTATTAACCTATTGGTTGATTTTGTCAGTCTGTCTTCGTAGAAACCATAAACCTATAGCTTATATATATATATATATATATTATATTTCGCTAATCTTGTTCTATGAAAAATGATAAAAATAGTATTGAAAAAACATAAAGTAGGTATATTATCAATTCCAACAATACTATTACTAATACTTTATACCAAAGATATTTTCTTTTGAAAACATTCAATACTATTCCTTCACCTAATAAATAAAAATTCAACGAACACATTCTCAATGTTTGATTATTTTCTACACAATTCTATAAAAACGGAGAAACTAATACTTTTGGACCATTATCCATGTAATATTGGTATGCATGTTCTCTTTTGGTTGTTTTGTTTCTTTTTCATTAACTAAACAAGGCAAATTTATTTGTTTTTTTTTCCACATTAAGAAGTTCATTTCAATTTTTAGAAAGCACAAACAAAAACGTGTTACCAAATAAGTCTTTTACGAAACCTAAGTAAAATATATATTTCAATATTTCAATATTTTGTAATTTTTTTTAACTATAACTTCAAACTGGGGAATGCCAGCATTTATAATTCGTCCTTGTCGTGATCTTCGTGAGTTTCTGGCTCTTCTTCTTCTTCCTCTTCTTTTGAAGGCTCTCCTTGGTCTTTACCGCCAGAAGCGATAAACTTTTCGAAAGCTTTAAGGGTTCTTTCCCCATTGTAATCAATTACTTCATTTGAGCCTTTTGGGAAAAATTTAATGGTTGGGAAGCTCTGTACTTTGATGTCTTCCAATTCGTTAGCAGTGGCGTCCATCTTAGCAATAACTACATCTTCGGTATTTTCGTAGTTTTGTCCTAACTCATCCCAGATAGGAGCCAACTGTTTGCAGTGTCCGCACCATGGGGCGTAGAATTCAACAAATACAGATTTCTTTTCGTCTCTAGCAACTTCATTAAAGTTCTTTCCGACGAGAACTTTGACGGGCTTGGAATCCCAATCTGCTGGAACTTCTTCAGTCATCAAATGGGGTTTGATTTTACCATCCAAAACTTCTTGGACAAAGTTGTTGACGTTATCAGTTGTGATTTCTTCGGCTTCGAATTTGAATTTGGTCATATCATCGCCAAGAGCAATGTATCTGACGGCTGGACATTCTTCCATCTTGAGTGCGAAAAACTCCAAGATTCTTTGGTTGTCTTCTTCATCAATATTGATGTAGATAAACAATACTTTACCCTTGAATTTTTGAGCTGATTCCTTAAAGTTTGCGGTTAATTCATTGAATTTGTCAGATTTCTTGCTGACGAAAAGTAATACGTGATTTTTAATTTCACCACCGAAAACTTTTTGGGCGGAATCTTGGGTGAATTCAATGACAAGTGGTAGCTGGTTTCCGGTGATAAAAGTTTTGACGCTTTCTTCAGTAATTTCTCCTAAAAAAAGACAAAATTATCGATTGGAATATTTGCGTTATTCATTCCGACTCTTATCGAATCGAGGTTATCATCTTTATTAAATATTTTGATAATAACAAATTCGTACCGTCAAAGACGACTTTTCCCTCATCGAACTTCTTAAATAGAACAATTGCTGCGTCTTTATCTTTGACTTCGTATTCGCTACGTACGTCTTCGTTGTAAGAAACGGCAAAAGGCATATCATCAACTGTAGCGGCAACTTCCAAGAAAGTTTTAGCGCTGGCTGAATCAGCGCTGCTAAAGAAACCGATTGTGACAACATCGTTCTTTTCAATAAGAACCTTAGCGGCATCGACAGTTTCTAAAGTTTCGGCAACTGGCCCAGTCTTTTTCTTCAACCAGTTGACAATATCGCTGGCTTGACGACCGGCTATTTAAGAAAAAGGAAGATAATAAGTAAACAACTGATAAAGTTGATGTCGCTGTCTATAATTATTTAACAAAATGGTTGACAATAAGTCATATACCTTGGAATTCGATAGGTTTTCCGTTTCTGAAAAATTTGATGGTTGGATAGCCTCTAACATCGTGCTTCTCAGCCAACTTTGTAAATTCCGTTGCATCAACTTTAGCAAGTTTAATTTCAGATTGTTCATCAGATAGTTGTGCGGCAGCCTTTGCATATTCAGGAGCTAGAGCTTTACAATGTCCACACCATGGAGCATCTGTTTGAAGAAGAAAAGAATGATCAATACGAATAATAATAAGTTTTTCCAATTAAATAGAAAATATGACAGTGTTTCATTATATGTAATTAACACTATTTGTGTTATTATCTATAATAAAACAGTAATTAAATGACCATAACATCGGGCATTTCTAATTTGTAGAAAAAAATTTAATTTAATTTTCTATCCTAAATAGGATGAATGTTGGCATTCTTAGCTTGCCCGAACGCGTTATTTTTAGCTAACCTTCTAACCTTTTGTTTTTTGTCTCTCTCTTTTATAAATATTATAACAATCCTCTGTAATGTGAAAAAGTGATAAGCTATAACGTACATATCTTGTGAAATTTACACTATAGGCAGGCTGTGAACTTCTACCTACCACATTCTTTTTAACATAAAATCCGTAATGTTATTAACTTTAACTGATGATTTTAATTAGAATATTAGAATAGTTATTTAATAGTAATGTTAATTTTTCTCAACATTTTAGCTAAACCTGAAAAATAAGATAAAGTTACATGTTCAATTAACAACTTACAAAATTCAACCATAATGTGCTTGTTATTTTCGAGAGCGAAATCAAAGTTTTTGTCATTGAGAACTAGCACCTTTTCTTCTTCCTCTATAGTTGGGTCTGCGGCATTAATTATTGCCAAACAGACAGAAAAAACAACAATTTTCCACATTTTCTTCAAGAAGTTATCGGCTCGAGCAGTAGACGTGGCAAAGAGGAAGTGGTCGAGTAGGTCGCACTGAAATATTAGTACACATAATCACTTTGCCAAGAATTTTTTTCGAAATATTTAATTTATTATTATTATTATTTTTTAATTAATACTTAATTGGTTTGGGAGTTATGTGTTTAAGCTGTTCGTTATGAAAAAATAAGTGCGATACTGTCCTTCTCCTCACGTTGACCTCGACCTTGATAATAACACCCCACGTGTTATAATTAATTATTAGTTAATAAAGAAGTAAATAATCAAGAAGAATGTTGTTCCGAGTACCTATTACACAATTATATAGATTATCAATTCGCCGGTAAGTGCTATTCTTTATTTAATAACTTTCCTTTAAGACAATCATTCTATTCTGAGCAGATCATTAAATTCGTTGGCCTCGAAAAGACTTTGCTCGACTCTATCTGCTCCTCATATCGATGGAACGGAAAAGAAATTTCCCGAAAAGATTCACAATATTGTAAACGAGATATCAAATTTGACGTTAATTGAAGTAGCCGACCTAAATGAATTATTAAAGGTATATTTTAAGAGATGAAAATGTTATTATAGTTTATCGAATAAAAAAAATATGGTGTTTTATATCATATTTTCTTCGTTTATTTCAAAAAGTCTAATTAAACAAATACCAATGAAAGAACTTTTAAATTGATTTAATAAAATTAATTGCAATATTTTTTCCAATATAAAACAGAAAACACTTAATATACCGGATACACCAGCGTTTGCTGTAGGAGCAATGCCTGCCCAAGCAACGAAAGAAGTAGAAGAAGAACAAGAAGAAAAGGTGGTCAAAACAATTTTTAGTGTTAAATTGGAGAAATACGATGAAACTAAGAAAGTACCTTTAATAAAGGAAATAAAGAGCCAAGTTGCTGGAATGAATTTAGTTCAGGTAGTTGAATAATACCATTTATTAAGAAAATGATGTTCTTAATTGATTGTTAATGATCTAATGAGTCTGTGTTTTTTCAAATAGTCGAAAAAGTTTGTCGAAAGTTTACCTCAAACAGTAAAAGCTGATATTCCAAAAGAAGAAGCCGAAGCATTGAAGGCTGCATTAGAAAAAGTTGGAGGAACTGTTACCATTGACTAATAAGAAAATACCTCTATAAGATTTTTATGTTTTGTTTACTTTTTTCTGTGTTTTTTGAACACAAAATGCATAAAATCTATGTAGATCAATAAAGTATATATACAGTATATTAATATATATATTAAAACGGAAGAAATTAGACAACAAGGCTAATTCTTTAATAGAATATTCTTTAATTATTTTCGTCGGCTTTTTTAAATACAATAATCGATTTATCAACTAAGAAACAGACTTGTATTTTCACTATACGTATGACCGTATGGTGGCGCTAATTGAAAACAAAAAATCGTCTGCTAAATTTATAAAATAAAACGTGCTTTACCCATTTGAAAAAGTGTAGACAAGTTTTCTGTTAATCTAGGCGGGAAAATCATTGAAATAAAGATGAAAAAGAAAAAAACTAACAACAAGAAAAAGATAGACAAGACGAAAAAGGTAGATAACAAGAAACGAATCGGTAAACCTCAAAAGAGCCAAAGACATAAGAAAATAAAAAATATGGACCCCGATTCCCAAGAGACCAATGCTAAAAAGAAGTAAGTAATATAAAGGAAGGTTTTAAACGATTTCAGGCTGCTTAACATTTTTTAATAGGCGAGGTTCGAAACAAATCAACGAGGTTCCGGATATGGAACAAAAGGCTCCCAGATCGCTTAAAGATTTGTTTGCTTTTAAGAATGCTCCTGATAAACGAAAGAAAAGTTTGTCTTATTGATCATAATACCAAATGAAAGAAATTCAATTTATTCTATATTCATTTAGAAACGAAAGCTGAAATTGAATATGGCGTCACTTTGAAAGGCATGACGAAGCCAGTCGCTACACCTAAATCATTCAAACAAAAGAAAAAAGAAACTGATGCTGCATTTATGAGACGTGTGAATAAAGAAACAGAGGCTGCATTAAATATAGCGAAATTTAACGAAAAATTTAATGTTGACCTATTAAATATGAAAAAAGGATCAAAAGATTCTCCTCTAAAGCCTATATCGGAAAAAAGAAAAAGGTAAATAATAAAGGATATCATTTAATTAAACGTAAATCGATATATACAGTCTGTAGAGACTTAAAAATTGATTGACTTTTGACATCCATTTATTGAATATTGCATTATTCAACAGAATACTACAGTATATATTGTTTTTTCTTCCAATTATATATATTACTGCCTACTTGCTCTATAGTAGATTTTATTTATATATTCTATATCTATTTCCTACAGGAGACTTAAGGTTTTAACCGAAAGAAAGAAACAAAAGAAATTAGCCAAAAAACAAAAACGTTTAGAAAAGGATTAATACAAAATTGTTTCATATTTTTCTCCTTTTTTTATGAATTAAGTGTTTTTTCTCTTTATTAAAAAAATAATAATAAAATAAACAAATTACAATAAACAAGACGATGAAGATATCAATTTAAAGGATTGCACAAAAAAAAGGAAGGTTTCGAGGAAGGACAGAAAAACAGTACAAATACAAATTTTTTCATTCAATACCTTTTACTCTATTCAAGGGTTTTGAACAATTTCTAAATTAATAGTAGAAGGATAGAACAATGTTTTTTTTATCTTATTTTCAATTTTCCCTTTTTATCGACTGAATTGTTTTCTGCCATATTCTCTAAACGTTGTACTCGACCGCTATCTCTTTTCTAGTTTAATAGGGATAGATGTCATCTCCGCCGTATGCGTTGTTTGAATAACGTGAACTATTCCTCTTCCGTAGGCCATCGCTCAACGATCTCTCGTTTACTTTATCAGCGTCCATTTGTTGATAGAGAAGGTGACGAACTAATTGTTTCTGGTAGGTTTCCAGCTGCTGAACTCTCGCCGGAACGTCGGGTATAAGCAAGCCAACTATCCAGGTTATTAGAAACACTGTTCGAGAAAAAAAAAGGCTCAAAATAAACTTTAGGCTAATTGATTTGTGTTATTAACTGATAAAGAATAATACTATTTATTTTTTACCTAAATGCTCGAAAATGATAACAACGGAAACCCTTGCTAGTAAAACTCTCCAATAGAATTTCGTATGTTCGTAGCGATTCTTATATTCTGTCTCGTTAGAGTTGTAAGCGTAGTATCCAGCAAAACGGCAAAAAGTTAAGTTTGCTTTTCCCTCCTCTTCGTCAATTTTCCAATTATTTTCGTTTGGACCAGTATTTTTGTTGACCGAGTCGTAATCGGACACATTAAAGAAAGACAATTTGTGTTCGACGTAACCGTCGAGGGTTTTGTTTGATGTAACTAAATCTGAGAATTCGTAGACAAGTTTCGGCACAAATTCCGATGTCCAAGCAATTATAAATGCGTTTGATAGAACAGCAATAAATGTTAGAAACTTTAGGATACTGTACCAAGCTCCTATATCTTGAGCCTTAGTAGCTACAGGCCTTTTCCAGATATTGACAAATTTAATAGCGTCTAAACGAATCTCAACAATATTATTAAGTAGAGCCATTAGAGGTGCTAAAGGAAATGCGGCAACGAAAATCGTAATAAAACCGTATTGAATAACCATTTCTAGATACTCGTCAAATATAGTGTCAGGAGCCGGAGGAAGATCATTGTCCTGTTCCCATCTCATATATCTATATTGGAGAAAGGGAGGGGAAAGGGTTAAAATTTGCTAGAATTACAAGTAGAATGTAATTCTTACTTGTTTTCTTCTGTTTCATCCTTTGCAGTTCTAGACTTACAAAATTTAGCTAACCAAGGAATAGCAATCTCTTTGAAATTATTCAAAATTTGTTTACCAGTCATAATAATTGCCAATTGTATAAATAAGTCGACTATACAACCGGCTGGATCGCATTCATCCTGACGGTATTTTTTCAAGAAATACGTGGAAACATCGCCAGGTCTTCCTGAGAACTTTCCCTTGAAAAAGGCTATATAAAAGATAGAACCGTAGTAATTAACAAATTGAAAGAAGAACATCTTAAAGGTAAAGCTATCGTCGAATTTCGTTTGAGTTCTTGGAGACTCCATTTCAGTAAGCTTATAAGCCAATTTTTGATAAATCATATTTAATAGTGTTATAGCAATTAAATTAATAATCGCTCCAGTTATTGAAGTAATAATTCCAGCAAACTCTTGAATTTTTTCGTGATGAACTGCGTAAAAGACGCCTACTATAATCATTCTATAGACAATAACGCCAAATATTGCTGCTAGTACAAGGGCTATCATAAAAAGTATAACTGAAAAAGAGAAACATTTTCTTGTTGTTTTACTCCATACTGGCATATGAGGTTCCGCTTCGGCCGTTATAGGATTTATTCTAATATTCTTATTTTTCTTCTTTTTTGGTTTTAATTTGAATTCGTACTCGGGACGCATTTTTTCATCTTCTTCGAAGCCGGCCACGTCCCAATCGTATTGGAGGAGACATTCCTTTCGCTTCCAAAATTCAAGGAAGAATGTTGCCCATATTGCCATAAATACTGCGAAAGCAACTGTTGCATAATTGTCAAAAATTTGAGTAATTTTTGAATAGATACAGCTTCTATGAAGCCTTGTAAAAGTGCATCTTTCATCGCATTTAGGACATAGAACAATATCTCCTACTCCATTTGTATCACAGATATCTTTCCTAAAGAAACGGGTAAAACAAATATAAACATAGTAAAATATATATTAGTTTTTCTTACACTGGTTGATGACTGTTAAAAGTCAATATGCCATATATGAAAACTGCTAAGCCAACAAAAGCAGCAGGAACCAACATACCAGTATAGAAACCTAGCCACGCAAAGTATATCCCTATCTTTTCACCAAAGTATCGGCGAATGACGTCAAGAGGCTGATAGTGGAACATTTTACCCCACCGAGCCCAAGTTTCGACAAGACGCCTTCTGTCAACGTCGGGACCGTCAAAAAATTGTAAATTTTTTTTGATTTTTGCCGGAGGTAGTTCGTGAAGAGGAAAGTATGATTTGTAAATTCCTCTGTTAACAAGACCAGCTATTCCGTGTTTTAATGTATCATCTTTATCATTTTCAGGATATTTTGCTCTTTGAAGAAATTCATGAGCAATTAGACTTCTTTCAGCATTCGTAAAGAATGACTCTTCATTTTGAATATCAAATCTACAAAGGATAAAAGATTGTCAGTCTTTTACGAAATACACTAAATTATTGGTTTTTTGTCATACAAATTCATATCTTTCTTGGTAAAGATGGCTGAAAAAAAATCATCGTCCGGTCCAGTAATTACTTCGTTGGGTAGGAAACAGGGACACATTGCGCAATCAGCTCCAAAATCTTCTAAATCGGATCTCATTTCAAATTTTAGCCTCTTTTGTAATTTAATAAGTTCCGCTCCGCGTACAAGACCATCCCAGGTTACGTGGAGTTTAATAAAATTAGTTGTCTGATTAACGGAATTCTAAAATTAACAAGAAAAATAATTAATATAGGCTTAGAGTCAATTTAAATGTATAATTTATGCAATATATAGTATATTCGTAATTATTAATATAGAGTTTATAGGACTAGTGAATAATACGTTCAAGAATTAAACTAATGCTCTACGACTGTACTGTACATATAGTACATACATATTAGCATATACTATAAATTTATACGTATATACGTATATTGTTAATATACATAGTATGTATATTTACCGTTTTTGGCTCTACTTCTAATTCAATACCATGATTTTGCAATTCTTCTTCAAATTTTAGCTTTTGAAGTAATTTGAATTGAAGATCGTCTTCCGAATTTGGCAAATCTTCGTAGGTTATAATAAAGTCAATCCGTCTTCGTCCATCTCTGAAGAACATGGTATCCTTATTCTCCAATCCATTTGTATCAACGTAAGGCTAAAAACAATGATTTAAAAGAATTCATTAAATCCTTGTGAAAGACTGTATCAATTTAATTTTACGGAAATATCAATATCACACTCTTTATTAAGAACGGTTTTATAACCGGTATAGCTCATTTCTATCTTCCTGTAAAATGACCGTTCTTGTACAATACAACTTTGTCTTATCGATTAAAATAATATTACCAATCTAAAGGTCAACTTATCATAATAGCACTTTTAATTTATTCATTATTCTAACTTTTTACCTGTGATGGCGCTGCAAATCCATCATTGTGATTATCATCCATACCGTGTTCTTTATCTTCCACCCTGATATCTTTTAATCCTATATCGTTGTCTGAAGAAAAAAAAGAGGGGGTTGATTTAATGTAGAAGATAAGCTTAATACGAGTTAATGGATCATTTGTAAAAGTAAAAAAATCCTGTTTTTAAATGAAACCATATTCTACAGTATGTAAAGCTAAAAAAACTCTTACCTGTCATGGCTGGATTAGATATTCCCGAGTTTCGTGGACTACTATAATCTCTAGACGAATCTAGCGGCACTATGGAACGGTGGAAAAGAAAGGAAAAAACAAATATATTAACAAATAAATCAATGAATATATACGAATAACTTGTATATATTGTATATATAAATATACATATACATACATAAACAAGAAAAAGAAATCAAAATGTGAATAATAGACCGAGTATCGTTGCTCCTTTGTATATTTTTGGTGAAAATTAAAGAGAATTACTAAAAAGTATGAAAAAGGGAGAGAGAGAGAGAGAGAGGAAGAGAACGTTAAAATGATAAAAGGAAGGAAATAGAAGAAAATATAATATATAAATAAAAAAAAAAAAATATAAGCGTCTTCTAACTAATAAAAGTAAAATGTGTAAATATTCCACAATTCGTAAGTAATTGTTAACTACTAAAGAAATAATTCATTTTTTTCTATATATATCTATATATATATATATACTAATATATATATATATTATATGTTTGTCTATTAATATAAATAATAGAATCAGAATTAACTATTGATATGTAATTCTTTAGACAAAAGAATCTTTATAAGTGCTTAGGTCTATGAAAAAGATGAAACTAGGCTTTCTTTGTAGGGAAAAATTTAATACTGTCCAAACAGATAGCAGAAGAGAAAATAGGCGTGTTCTAAATGTTTCTCATATTTCTATGTATTAATCTACGGTATACAGTGCTAAGAATATACTTGTTGTGTATACAGTATTAGTTTTATATTGCTTTTCAGTTTGATATGAAAAAAAGACGTTAGATAGTACACTACGCATAATATATATATATATATATATATATATATATATATATATATATATATAAAATACGCAGAACAATAAACTTGTTAAGTTTTACTATACAAAGTAAACATTATATACTTATAGAATTACGTTGTATCTATTTACTAATATTGAAAAAGACACACTTTTCTCTATTATTAATACATTCCTTTATTTTATTCTGTTTCTAAATCTATCTCCTTACCTTCTTCTCAAACTTATTTTATATATTATCATTCTATTTATACTGTATACATTTTTTGTATAGACTTCTAATTCAAAAGGATTTTTACTTGAAACTGTTACCTACCACAGCAGCAAATTGTCAAACACTTAACGCACGATCTTCTAGCTGTCATCAATATTTACATGTAAATTACAACCATTATTTTTTATGTTTTAGTCATTCAACAATCAAAATAATTTGCCAGATTTATTGTTTTCTTTTTAGAAGCTCCAAGTATTAATTAGACGCCTAAAAGCGCTTTCATTTTGCAGGTTTTAAGTATTATTCTATCTTTGACGCGAAAAGATTATATTGAAGCAAAAAACTCTTTTGACTATCGTATGTAAAGGCTAATCTATAATATCTGTCAGTGGTATGGGCAATTTAGGACGGGCCTATCAAAAAAATATAATCTAGGTTTCGCAACGATGATAGAGAAAAAAAAATAAGTTTTTTCAGAAGAAAATATATCACCTGTAGATGGCGTATAGAGAAAATAATGCTTATTCCATAGCCGTTTTGCTTATTAGCAAAATAGGAGTGGAATAGATGAAAATTTTTTTGATTTGCTTAGTCATTGAGAGAGATTGCAAAGAAAAAAAGTAAGAGAGGGCCTTCCCACCTCCCTCTTTTACATCCCTGTATGAATTTCTATACTTAGATATGTCCGTTACTAACAGAAAGAAGTTAAATACTGTATTAAAATGTCATTTAATAGATGGATTCTCCCTTTCTTTTTGTAAAATCATCAAAAAACATCACCCTTGTTCAAACTACTCGATTGAATTCATTAATTGAATATAATTAAAGAATACATTTAATATGTTTACCATTATAATATTGAGTATTAAATAATTCATTGAAAATTGATAAATTGTATAAAATGAAAAGATCCGGAAACGGGGCGAGTATTGCCTTTTCTCAGAAGGATACGAAATGTCTTTTCCCACTAGGCTCTTTTACCCACCCATTTCCTATGAATAAGTCATTTTAGGCTTTTTTTATTTTAGTCATTTTAGAAAAATGATCAACTCGGCTATGTTTCTTTAATTATGAATAAATTAACACTACAACGAAATGTGTAATAATTCAATTTTCTTTTATAAATGATAAAGAAGGTTAACAAGAACTTAATGGCGTATTTACGCCTTTTTTTTGCTTTTAGTTACCTTATTTTTAATTAGACAAGACAGTAAAAGTGGAAAAGATGTTAAAGTTATAGTTAACAAGATAATAATAATAATAAAAGAGAATGGCGATTTCAACGAAACCATCATAAATTTACTTGAAAGAATTCAGCTATGAATAGATTTATATTGATAGATTCATTATATTGAAAACGTTCACGGACTATAGGTTGTATATCTTTAAAACAATTAGGAAGAAAGTACAACTTACCATTGGAGTTGTATGACATAACGTCGTTTTTTGGGAAGATCTCAGTAGTTAGGTATATAACTCATATACACGCGCACTCTTACACACACCCTTGGTATATTGGAAAGGTGAATAGCTATGTTTTATACTAAAGCAAACCTATTGATCATTTAATAATATTGAAAAAAGCCGTTGGTCTATTCCCTTTGCGCAAAGTCTCTGTCCTCTCTCCCCTTCCCCCTCTTTCTCTCTCTTTCTCTTTCATAAATCTCTATTATTACTTTACTTTTTATTAAAGAATATCTACTTAAAATCACTTCTTAAAATGTTAACCATATAATGAGCTTCGCAACCGTCAATTAAATTCCGATATAATCGATTACCTAATCGATAAATTTCATTTCCAATTTCATCAATAAATTATATCTGCAAGATTTTTTTGTATTATGATCACAGTGCTTTAAAAGTAACATATTTACTTTAAAGACAGAGAGAGAGAGAGAGACGTTCACGCACACACAGAGAAAGACACGCCGACAGACAGCCAGATAGACTGATAGGAAGACAAAAACCAAACATTTTATCAGCAAGTGAAATATATTAACGCATAGTTTTTATAATAAATGAAAGAACAAAGCGAAGAAATAAACAAAAAATAACCAAATAAACAATAAAAGACAGACAATAAAAAAATGCCATAGGGAATTTTAATACTTATTTTTTTAATACTTTAGCTGGTGTGCTCAAGGAGGAAAAATATTTTTCTTTTCTAAGTTTTACTTCTTTAAACGAATTAAAAATAATATTACAATAAAAGTTACATATACTGTTTATTAATATATGAAAACCACACATATTCTCTTCTCCATCTTCATCTTTATGAATATCACTTTGCTTTTTGTTCTGTTTTGTTCTTGTTTAAGTTTTATCTTTATTTCAACATTCGTCAACTGCAGCGAAAATTGCAGGAACTGTGTAAGGACTGTGGTGAATGCCGAAAGAAAAGGCTGGCGCCTGTTTCTTGTGAATAATAACTTTCTCTGGAGAATGTTGACCTGGTCCTGGCTTTCTTGTTGCATCACCAGGAGGAACATGTCTGCTTGTCATGCTGTGTTTGATATTTTTTTTTAGATAATTGTTTTGCAAATAATTACCTTTAATTGGATATTCAATTGTTTTGTACCTGTATAACGGCTCTCTAGACTTAAAAACATTGGGATCAGTTACGTTATAATTTCCAGGTCCAGGTGTTTTTTGCAGATCTTCATCAAAGCCTCCTATTTTTGGTCTAGAATATAAACTAAATTTTGGAGCTTGTTCCTTTCCAGCTTCGATCGATCTACCCAAGAGCGAAGGTAAGCTATAGTTGTTGGGTGCAGGGTTCTTATCCTCCTTTCTCATTTTGGTTCTGCTTCCCATAGTGTAGGCTGGTGCCCTTGGTGAAGCCGAAGGTCCAGATTTCTCAGGCGAGTAAGAGCCCGCTCCAGGCGCTTTAAATGTCTTTGGTGTTTTCGGTCTAGACTTCTGTGTAAAACAGGGCGCCCCGTCCTTTCCTGGTTAAGTAGAATTATTAATCTCAATTGCAAATTATTCATGCAAATAATGGAACATGTCGTTAAGAAAGAGCTTGTAAATAATTACCTGTTCTAGTTACTTCTGATGGCAAGGAATAAACAGGTCCAGGACTAGAATTGGTAGACAGTTTTCCATGCCTTATACCAAACTTCCAAGACGGTCTTTTTTCTCTAGTAAAATCATGGCTTTGCGAACCAATGGTAGACGGCAAGGAATAAGTTGCAGGACCTGGGCTATTATATTCAGCCATAATAGGTTGTCTAGGTTTCGTGTATTCGTATCCTCCCATATTTGCTGTTTAAAAATGAAAATAATGATAGTAACTACAATACTAAAGAATACTTTTAAGAGAAGAAACAAAAACAAAGTAAGATTACGGAGTGAAGAGTATGAAGAGCATTATATTCTTAAGCAAATAATAGAAAAAAAGTATAAACTGCCGGGAATTAAGTGATTTCCTTTGATTTATTTTTTTTTAAATCCGGATTTATTCGGCCCTTAGCCACGTATTAACCTAGCAATTTATGTTATTGAATAAAGTGTCAATCACCGCCAAAAATTTTGAAATTCTTCAAATAAATTCACAAAGAGAGAAAATAAAAGATAAAATTAATATGTTCAATTTGAATATATTAATATAATTCATTCTTATTCTTCATTCCATATTTAAAAAGGAGAAAACACCAATCTTTAATTAATCTATAATCCAGTAGACTTGTACTTATGAAAAGGAAATTATGAAAAAGAGAAACAAACATGACCAAACAACGTTCTGTGTAGGCTTATACTATTCATAGGCGTCTCTCTATAAGCAATTCGGTTGGACAAAAGAAAATCGAAGTGCACGAACAATAAGTTCTACTTTTTGAATGAGTGAGATTAATGTCGGTTTTTTGAATGTTATGCGATGTCTAATATTTGGTTAATACCTATTAATTATGCTTTTCTAAGCCAGTTAGAAGTGACTTCAACTGTTCTGATTACGTTCCAACACTATTTCCATTTGATTAATAGCGCACAAAAAATGATGTAAATAGTTAAACATTCAATTCAAATTAGCCTTTTTTCGAATATCAGTTACATTGACCTTGCTGAAATCTTATATAAGATACGACTAGTTAGAGAATGACGCGTGGGAAAAAAAACTGCCAACTTTGACAAGCGAGTTTGTCTCCTTCCTTCTGACGTGTTAGAAAAGTTCGTTTTAATAAGATTTAACTCACCTGTTCTTAATTAACCAGTTAACCACTCAAGCGCTCTTGGATGGTGTGTGAACTGAAGCGGTTTCCTTAGATACTTGGCTAGGTGGCGCTACAGTTATTTTAATTAGCTGATCTAGCTCTATATATTGTATTGAAGTGTTCATAAATAGGAAAGACAGAAAATACAAAGCTGTTTTGGAGAGGCTAATAAATAATATATATTCATTTTTTATAGAGATTATATTTTGTATAGAAAATTCTAAATGAAAATAAAAATTCAGATCAGTAGTCCATATTTTAATGACTTGTAGTTTTCTTTCTATTACCAATTCTTGTCTCTTCTTTTTGTCTCCTGTGTGTCTGTATACGTGTAAAAGAGCGAGGGAGAGAGAGAGAGCTAAGGGATGTAACACTCTCTACGCTTTCTGCCTCTTCCTTTTCTTCGTTTTTTTCTCTATTTCATTCTATTCTTATTTATGAGCATCAGATTCTTAGCATACATTTTATTCCACCAGCTCACATTGTAATAACCGAAGTGATAAGCAAATATTGAAACGGCAATTGGAACTACTAATCTTATAGGCTTTCCACCGACTCATTTTTTACACACGATACTATTGCCATCTCTCGGTTCTTTCTTAATTAATTAAGATAAGGGTATTTATACACATTTAATATATAATATTACATATTGACAATAACTGTGGGCTGTTTTCAAGATTGTGCTCTACTTTTTTATTATTCCATTTCTTCTTCCGCCTACACTAGTTTGTCCCGTCTTACTTTGTATATTCTGTGTACAGTATATTTATTCCACTGTCTCTATTTCAATCATGTTCTAAACTCTGATACATAAATATTATTTAAAGTCTATTTACAAGAAATTAATCTATTTTCTATAGTAATGTATGAAAGTCGTGATAGAGCTCAGAAATTGATCATTAGATCAATTATCATGGAAATCTAATAAATAAATAAAAATGCTCCTTATTTTTCCTTCTTTCTCGCTCTTCTTTTCCTCCTTCTCGACTCTTTTCGTCTGATTGAATTCCTTATCTTTTTTTCATTATTCGAAAATTCAAAATTGATGAATATATCTAATTATACGCACTTCCAATTTGTTGATAAAGTTGTTAAGCGTCTATTCTCTAGGCAAGAAAGATTTACATTTGAAAAGGGTTTTCCTATTAATCCCACAGGAAGCTGTGTTTGGCAGAAATGTGTTAAAAGTATATAGTATAAACCGCAATTGATAACATGAAAAGGGGTCATTTTGAGCTGAGTATAAAATACAACAAGAATAAATAAATGTCATTTAGGAAAATTACCAACTGCAATTAACTAGACTGTTTTTTTTTTATCTCTAATTAAGTCCTCTATATAAGCAAATTGTTATCAGTTTCTCGCCGCATATATACGCATATATATATATATCTATTATTATTCTCGTTAGTGATAGTAGACAGTGTTTCTTATAACTTTGAAACAATCAGATTTTTATAACAGTGCTTATTATAAAGATAAAGACAATACAAAAGAGAACAATGAGAGAAATTGTACACATTCAAGCTGGCCAATGTGGTAATCAGGTTGGTACCAAGTTTTGGGAAGTCATTTCCGGAGAACACGGTATTGGACCCGATGGAAGATTTGATGCAGAATCCGATGCGGCGCAATCTTTTAATAAAGAATTACTATTGGAAAGAAGTTCGGTTTATTTTAACGAGGCAGAAGACGGAAATTTCGTACCCAGATCAATTTGTGTTGATTTAGAACCGGGAACGATCGACGTATTGAAGGGAAGTTTAATGGGCAGAATGTATAGGCCTGACAACATGGTTTGCGCCCAAAGTGGTGCCGGAAATAATTGGGCTAAAGGTCAGTCAAAGGAGAAATTTGAATAACAATTTAATTCCCTTTGATTTTTACTGCAGGCCACTATACCGAGGGAGCGGAATTAGTTGATACAGTTCTCGAAGTTGTTAGGAAAGAGACCGAAGCCTGCGATTGTCTTCAAGGCTTCCAACTATGTCATTCATTAGGAGGAGGAACTGGATCTGGTATGGGAACTTTACTCATTTCAAAGATTAGGGAAGAGTTCCCAGATAGAATTATGAATACTTATTCTGTTGCACCATCTCCCAAGGTAAGAGTTAACAATGTTTCGCTGGTTAAATATATATTATTAAAAACTAGAAAATTATGTGTAATTCTCCTAAAAGGTTTCCGATACCGTTGTAGAGCCGTATAACGCCACATTATCCATTCATCAGCTCATTGAAAACACGGATGAAACCTATTGCATAGACAACGAAGCTCTTTACGATATTTGTCATAGAACATTAAAATTGTCCCAACCGAATTATGGAGACTTAAATCGATTGGTTTCTTCTACAATGTCAGGAGTGACAACCTGCTTAAGGTTTCCCGGCCAACTAAACGCCGACCTTCGAAAATTAGCTGTTAACATGGTTCCTTTCCCTCGGCTCCACTTTTTTATAACTGGTTTTGCTCCTCTAACTGCTGCACAAAGCCAGGCCTATAGATCCCTAACTGTAGCTGATTTGACCCAGCAGTTGTTCGATTCCAAGAATATGATGGCTGCTTGTGATCCTCGTCACGGCAAATATCTGACTGTTGCTGCCATGTTTCGGGGTAAAATGTCAATGAAAGAGGTTGAAGATCAGATGCTTAGCGTACAAAATAAGAATAACAGCTATTTTGTCGAATGGATTCCGAATAATGTGAAAACGGCAGTTTGCGATGTTCCTCCGAAAGGCCTAAAATTATCCGCAACGTTCGTTGGTAATAGCACATCGATTCAGGAAATGTTTAAGAGAATTCATGAGCAATTTACTGCAATGTTTAAAAGAAAGGCTTTTCTACATTGGTACACTGGAGAAGGAATGGACGAGATGGAATTTAATGAAGCAGCCTCTAATCTAGTTGATTTGGTTTCAGAGTATGAGCAGTATCAATCGGCAGAAGTCGAAGATGACATGCAAGAAATCGGTGATGAAGAGTACCTCGATTAATGTTCCCCCATTGGTTAATGGTTTTTTTCGTTCTACATCTAGTGTCTTTTTTTTTTAATGTTTTTTATTAATCAGTTAATTAATTAATGATTATTAGATTCTTTGAATATTATAATATTAGTAGTCAGAATTAATTTTTAATAAAATTAAAAGAGTATATTAGTTAATGAAAAAGATAGTAAGAAAGTACACAGTACATCAAAAAATTGCAATATAATACTTTTGTATTTTCCAATTTCTATATAAATAAAACATGTATATATACTAATATATGTATATATAGTATGAAGGGGCTTAACTTGTAGGTGTAATATATATATATATATATATAGTAATACATACTGTACATGCATATACCTTTTATATTCATTAAGGAATTAAAGACATTTTTATGATTTAGTCTCATTTTTTATGATTGTTAATAGAAATGTTTTGCTCTTCTGCAAGACGACCAAATTGAGAATTCATAAGAACGACACCAATCGAGAAAGAAACAAGGGAATACGTATATACTATATATTTTAATTGTAAACATTTCAATGCTTTAAAATTCCCATTTGCTTTTTAGACTGGTCATTTTTGAATTCATAATTCTTAACTTCATGCATTTCAATACTGGGGTTACTACCGGCTCCATTTCCATTTCCAGTTCCATTAATACTGGGCCTAGAGTCAAAATGACTAATCTGCGTATTTTGGTAAGCACTATCTCTTCTGGGCGCCTTGCAGCAAGGGCAAGAGATTCTTAGGTGTGTCATCACTTCGCTATTGAAGAAACAGAAGATAAGGGAGACGAAAATGCCCTGTGGGAAAAGTGGAAGAGAAAGAGTTATAGGGTATAATTGATGATAATTGAGAAGAAAACATTTGAGGGAAAAATAATCCTAAAGAGATATAGGAGAGAAAAAGTAAAAGTTTGCCGCTAACAAAGTTAATAATAAGAAATAGAAGAGAATTAATTAGGTTTCTGAGAATAAGAAATATCGTCCCAGCCTACACATTGCATGTCCTACTAATTTCATTCATAGAAAGTATTTTGCTTCGGTTTACTTGCGAATTAGTGACGAAAACGTGCACGCCTTCATAAATCTCTTTTCCTGCTGCGCCTCTTGGAGGATTATAAATTGTTAGAAAAAATTGTAGCCCAAATAAAGGTACCAACATAAAAGCGGCTTTTAATCCTCGTCTATAAAAATAAATAAATGTTTTCCTTTAAATATCACGTTTCTCCTTAAAAATCAAAGTCACTACCTGAAATTAGACGGCTCGTGTGGATGCGAATGCAATTGAAATAGCAGAATTCTAAGGATATTGCAGAGAAAGATGAGATTAATCTGTGAAAAGTATTTAGAAATATAAAAACAGTTGTTGTCTTTGGTTAAAATGAGGGATGTTTTTATTTTGTCGTCTTTATAACGAACCGTTAGACACAATAAATTTGGAACGTAATAAATCCATTGATAATTTCCGTAACTTTGTGCCCAACAACTGTGACAAATTATCTGTTAATTGTACGGTAAATAGTAAAAAGATAATGGGAAACGTACCTTTCGTTCGCCAACACAGCCCGGATGATGGCGTAAGCGGTTACCGCGAAAACTGGGAATCCTGTTAGAATAAAAATTGTAATATAATAGTTTTAAGTAGATATAATGAGAAAGGAAACAAATGAAGCATATAAGTAGAGCGGAATAGTCGAAGGGAAATTTTAGACAGGGCGAGAAGAAGAGGAAATAGGCTGGAGATGAAAAGAGAAAGAGAATGAGACAGAGAGAAAGAGAAAGAGCGAGTGAAAGTCTAAGATAGGAGATGATGAACCGTAAGATCGAACGAGTCAGCGAGTGTCTGAATAAAATAGATAGAAATGGAAAGGAAAAAGGATTACAAAAAAGAGAAACAAGATAGACGAAATACGAAGAGCCAGCTAACTCTATCTAGAGATAGGCAGCTAGCAGACAGTTTAGAATTTGAGTGGGAATGAGGAAAAATATTTTTAACGCAATGAATAATTTATACTTTAAATAGAGCTTAATAACTGGTACCTCTTCAATACATATATATATATATATACACTGTATATATATATATATTGTATATACAGTAAAGATAGATAGTATATATACAGTATACATATATTCTAATATATATACTGACCCCAGCCTATGAAGTATAGTGGCAGGAGTGTTTTCGGTGGCTCAAAAGCCTGCGTGATGAGTCTGTGCAGATAATATCCTTCGCAAAACATCCATAAATATATGCACGCCATAAAGTATATCTTGAAATAGGACAAAAGACGGCACCAAACCTAAAAATAGACACGTAAAAAAAGGAAAAACAAAAAATAAGCTCTTTCAACATCTTCTTTAATTTGAGGAGTTACGCGCTCTTTTTTCGAATAATTGCTTAATTAATTAATTAATTACCGGATTTCTTTGAAAAGCTGTCTCCGAATATCTTTCGTTCAGTAACATATCCAAATGAACAAGTGTTGTCCACAGGATGTTAGTTGTTGAATAAGCAATCAATGACACAAAGAAATGAATATGTAATTTGACTCTATCTTGCCTTCTCAAATCTCTGAATGTTAAAAAAGAGTAATTTACCTTTTGGTTCCATCTTAACATATAAAAAGGTAGATATAATTTGCTTACTTGTAAATACAAAAAATAATTATGGCTGGCACTAGGCAGACAATACTGGCAATACTGGCACCCAAACTAATGTAACCAGATATGATGGTCTCATCCTTAGTTAGGCACGAAGTGTAATCAGTCCAGGGACGTTTTTTTTTCTTTAGCCAAGTTGCATTTACCAAACAGGTTTTCTCAGCACGTTCTGTAAGAAGGAAGTTTTTTAATTGGTTAAATAAAACTCATCAATAAAGGCAATTAAGATTGCTTTCTAATATAGCTTTTATTTTTTTATTATTTATTTTTAGAGGTTTGTCTATTCCCTCTTTATTCCATAATATTGTTTCTATTTATAACAAAGTGGAAACAAACTTTCTGCCTTATAAGTTCGCAGAGACAAAAGAAAAGAGTTGTAGAAAAGAGGAAGAAGAAAACTTTTTTGTGGTTTCGTTAAGAAAAATAATTTCACCATTAATTATTCTCTTTCTTCCCCTCTCCTCTTAAAAAATGTATGAACATTGATTAATAAATGTTTTCTTTTTCCTTTACTGCTTCTTTGTTAGTTTTCAAGTTTTTAATTACATAATTGACAACACATATACATGTCTATATATATATACTGTATAGTTTATATATTCATATTAGCTTCACTTCTTAACTAGTCTGCTTTCTATTTACAAAGGCTTACGAAAAAATCGATAATTTTTTTAAAGAAACTTGTCACGTGACCGACTAGAAATTACAGCTTCTGAAAGCTTATAACATTATGGAGAGAAAGCTTTTTTCATTTTTTTTTAAAAAAAAAAAGACCCTGTTTCTAGTGCATGTAACAATATATTACCGCATGTACTATTTATCTTAAGTGAAAGCTTGCGGAACTAAAGTGAAATCAGTTGATTCTCTTCTCTCTTTACTCAGACGCTTTCGCAACAGAAAGCCGCTAACTTTTCCCCCTCTCTGTCGAAAATCACTTCTCCCTTTCTTTTCCTATTTCCTCTTTGTTTAGCTATCTATCTACCTATTTATCTATTATGCTTATTTCTTACTCTTCTTCGCGTCTCTTTCTAATAGACCTACCCGTCTCGTTCAATATGAAAATATAATTAAGCACGCTCAAAGGTGTACGGGACTTGTTATATTTTTTTACTTACGTCATCATCTTGAGGTGCTCAACTGTCAATTAAGCGTGTAAACAATAGCACCTGAGAGAAATCATAAAATACCTACTTATTAATCTATTGAAAATTGCCGCCTATCTAATATTCATAGAAGCTAAAAGATTGTCGACTAGCTGTGAAAATATTTATTGCATTGAGTGCTAAGTTTTATAATCAGTATTAAGATAAAAATTTGATACGAAAAGCGTGAATATTCAAAGAGGGATTGAAAATTGTTTAACACAGGCCTATTAATAAAAGATAACATACTAAATAGTATACTTCAAAGGTTTTAAAAAAATATGTATCTAAGCATAAATATTCCATAAGTACTTTTAGAAAGAGAGAGAGAGAGAGAGAGGGAGGGGAGGGGGGAATCGAGCAAGATAATTGTTTTGCTTATTTATTAATTGTTTATTTTCTTTCTAAAGCAGAAAAGCTTTCCTCCTAAATGGCCAAGAAAATGTATTTTTATCTACAATTTCTATATTTATTGGAGGCCTAAGCTACAACTTTCTTGACCTACTATAATATACATATATATATATATATATATATATATATATATATATATACAGTATATATACTTTTAAATAATCTCTCTATTTGCTACGATAAAAAAATACTACCTTTCTATAATTAGTGATTGCCTGGTATTGTATTTATAGACATATCTAAAGAAATGTTATACTTTTAATATGTATCGCTTATATATACTTATTAATCGTAGAATGATACTATACATTTCTTATATATTATATAAGTGTATTAGTATGCAAGCGTATAGTGTATTTTTATTAATAGCTACTGAGAATATATTATACTGTATAGTCTACAATCGTACAAGTAAAGTACATAAGCTTTTTTTAGCCCTTTGCCTTGTCTTATTCCACTTAAATAAAAAGAATATGAAAAAGCAACACAATAGCTCACATTCTTTTTAAAAATTTTTAAAAGATAGAAAGAAGAAAGGTACTGTCCTCTAAACCGGAAGTTTGAATTGTCTCTCTATACGCTTACACTTACAAGCATCCTATGTTATATACTTTAGCTTATTAGTAAAAATATTTACAATTTAATGATTGAAAAAAAAAACATGATATAAATAAGATTAGGCCTATTAAATAATGTATTTATACATTAGAAATAATTGCCTTGAGTTGTCGACAATTACCTAATTAACATTCCTCTGTAGGTTTTTACTGATTGACCTTAAGCTACGGCTACATCTGCCTTATCGTTTATTATAAAGAGATTAAAGAGTTTGTAAATTTTTTAAATACTATGTAGATTTATAGTGGAAACTCGAATAAAGTAAACCAACATTCGTTTCAACTTCTCATACAACTTAAAAAGTTATTAACTATATCCACCCGATTTAACCTTTGGCTAATACTCAAAGACAGATGGATGACGTTTTAGTTAATTTTCCTTTCGTGTATAAATACTCCATTTGGTAAAGAAAATACTAATGAAAGAGGACGATATTAGCAGGAAGTTGGTATATTTTTCATCTAGACAATGTAATGGTTTGTTATTTGATAAGGTACTTACTGGTAGTTACCATATTGGGCACGAAATCGGGACATTGCTGATAAGTATGATGGCCAGCTTTCTGCTGATTCCAGCATTTATATCCATCCCAAATGGCGTGACACGAGTCAGGTGTGTTTTTAGCCTTTCTTTGAAGCTTACAACATTTTATAGCATCTCTACAGCAAGTTTTCCATCTGTCACAGTGATCCTTTTTCATACCAAACGCGCACACTTTATCGATAGTTGAGACGTTATCCGCTCTTGGACGGTGAATACTTTTGGATGAGTTACTTATCAGCAAAAGATAAGGATTCTAGTAATAAGACGCCCAGAGTTTTATATACCTTTGAAAGAGCCGTCATTTATATAACGTTTAGGAGAAACTATGATAATATGAATGTACTCAGCTAGTCTACATCGTGTTTACGAAAAGACG